ATATGTCTTAACCTATTTGAGATTATAAATAAGTTTAAGATGTCAAGTGACCAATGATGTAGTTGATTGACATATCCGAAGTTTACAAAAAGACATTCAACATTACATAAACATTATCAATGGGTTATCATATAAGCATTTATGTGACGTTCATATGATATTAAAACATTTTAAAGTTTATTATGATCCGAATTAATTTTATATGTTTTCTTCATGAAGTTGTTTCAAGATTATAAGCTTGAGGTGTCAATCAATACTCAATTTTGATGAATCAAATGAACAAAAGAATGTGAAAAGAGAAGTATCTAAAATATCTTAAATATTCCTTATCTCAGTCATGCTTGAAAATCTAATCAATCTTAATAAACTAAGAGATCCACATACATCAAGGGGAGTAGAGGAAGAGTAGGGTTGAATCAAAGAACATAATCCTTACCTACTCTTCAATTGGATCAACTCTTCTCACCAAGAGAGTCTCAAGAAAAAGAGAATGCAATAAGAAAATAAAACTCATTCATTCAAGACTTAAAGAGATTCATAAAATATAAATAAAATACAATACATGTGACTACTTGGTTAACTCTTGGAGTAATTCAAGAGATTTCTTCCTCAAAAGTTTTTGGACATGCCTCCCTCAGTGAAGTTCTTGGCTTCCTCTCCCAAGCAAAGAATGATCTTCTTTCTCTTTAAATGACCTTTTATTCTTCTCTTGGTCATGCCCATTGTCAACCCTTAAATCAAGAAGGGGAGTACACAATCATTGGAGGTGGGCGGCTCCTAGGGTGTCTTCTCACCTTCCCTCACCCTAGGACTTATATCGGCCCTTATATTGGGCTGATTGAGGGGCTGAGATAGTCCCAAAGGTTGCCTAAGGACGAAGAGGGCGTGACCAATGACAAGAGGCCACCTAGCCCCTTTGACTCCTTCAAAGGAGGAAGGTGGTTTCCGCCTTCCTTTGGTGGTGGGCTTCCCCTCTTAAGGCCCATGGGGCTTCCTTTGTTTGTATGGGTCTTTTAATTGGCCCATGGGCATATTAAGCATGTACTAAACTAATAAAAGTAAATTATATAATTATTTTAAATAAATAGCAAAAATAACTGCATAGGCAAATAATCTCTCTCTAGATTATAAATTAATTATGTATGAGATGACTTTTTTAAGACTTAGGAAATAAATGGTAGATCATACAAAATATATGTATTATACTAATTAATCATGATTTTTTTAAAAAAATGAAACCTTATAATAATAATTAGATGATAATTTATTTAATAAAATCTCATGATCTAATACACATACATCAATTCAATTTCTCATGCTTTAAAATCAGTCATTCGTATGAAATGTATAATTCATGAATTAACTTTAATAGCATGCTAATTATAATAATATAATCATGTAAAATATGTATAGTAACTCATATTAATAAGTAGAATTAGCATGTTATCAATTATCATCTAAGCAGTTCATTAGCTTAATGTCATCTTCATTGATATCTCGAGAACATTAGCAACATGCTGACGTAGAAATCCAGATTGCACAAAAGGAGAAGAACCCATAGAGAGTGACACATCAGATTGGGCCCGAAAAAGAGGAGAAAATAAAGATCATTGTGAAGTAGGGGACTCATAGTAGAGTATTTGTGGTGGAGGAAAGTGGTAAAAGCTTCATGTGAACAAGAGAGAAAGAGATGGTTACATAGGAGTATGGTGTGGAGAACAATAACTGATGGTTCACACTAGAGGACAAAAGAATATTACAAGGAAAGACAGGAATAATGTGAGGGGAGAGGGATAGAAGAGGATAATGACCCTTTGAGCGGTTCAAACTCTCAAGCACCCTTAGAGTGGATGAGAATCCATTACTCCTCCCCTCCACTTCCTCCTCATCATATATAGCTGATAGTAGAAGACGGTTACTCACAATCTAGTGTAACATGGTCAATGTTTTCTGGAGGAGACGCCTAAGTTATAGAAGTTGGGATGAGCCGACCCTTACATGGAGTTGACCATTTCTTTTGACCCACGTGGAGACATCCAAAGATATAGCAGAAAACCTAGAGAGGGGAAAGCAAAATGACGATCAGGACCTCAAGGAAGATGCAGCACCTGCTCGCGTGCATGGTTGCAGTTACAATTCCACTGAATTCGACCTCCCTTGCCTCTCCAACAGACCAGCGTGGGAGGAAGACGACCAGTGAGATCTCAACGCCCCTCTTCTTTTCTCCTCTACACCTTCTTGCCGGCCCCCTCTTCCTCTATCTTATTCTCTCTCTCTCTCTCTCTCTCTCTCTCTCTCTCTCTCATCTGGCCGCCGTCAAGGAACGTTGGTCTATAGAAATGAACATTTCCTGATGCTTCCTTGATTGATTTAGAAATGAGTGGACCCCATAGGCACAGAAAGATCCCCACGCGGCGTCTGACCAAAAGACTTGGAGAATATGGATGAGCCATCTATCCAATTTCATATTACACGAAGATACGCTTCGTTGGCCGGCCCATTAATGGTACCATGGGCTCGGATTCCTCTGTACACGTCCTGGGCTCTAGAATCTTAGTAACGGACCTCGTTACTCTATGGGCCTGATCCTCAAAATCTGGCCCATAAACGAAAAAGGCCTTCTCAATGTCAGTGGACAGTATTTGGGGCCAAACTCTCAGAGAGAGAGAGAGAGAGAGAGCGAGCCGAACCCTCGTTTGGTAAACTAGTTGTCTTATTTGACGACATTAAATAAAATGTAATAGTAGAATAATAAAAAATGATGTAGCATCATCGTCCGCTTAATTTCCTACGGCGATAAAAAATAAAAGAAAAGGGGGGGGGGCGACAAAGATCCTACGGAATTCAAAGGGTTGGGTCTGACATCTTCGACATCTCCCTGTTGGCCACGGCGAATGCTTCTCTGGATCCGCACTTCGATGATGGAGGCTTCCAGGTAGTCCCTTCTTGTCAGTCGTCAGCCCCATTTCTCGCTTGTTGACCGCCGAGACGAAGCGAGGCGAATCGAACCCTCGTTTGGTGTCTCGCTCTCCGCGCTGCCGCCGTCTCCCCGGCCGATCGCTGCCAGGGTAAGTGTATCGCTGCTCGGCGTCCATTTCTTCTCGTCGAACGGTCTGAATTCTTTCCATTCGGTGGGTTTATCTGTGTTGCCTCTGTATCTCTCGGAGTAGGAATGTGTGGTGCGAACGTGCGATTTGGCTGCGAAACCCTAATCCTTGTGGCAAATCTCCTTAATTTCGAAGCTTTATTGACGATTTGGTATCGGCGCACCAATTCGCTCCCGCCATATCGAACTCTCGGAGGTTGGTCGGCTGTGTCTGGTAAATAGCCCACAAATGGCCTTAGCCTTCAATTGATTATAACTTGGTTATTCTTGCGCTCGTCCAGATCTAGATCTTCGTGTTTTTGGCCTCGTGAAACTCTGGACGGTCGTCACGCCAAGCGCAAGCTAATTACTTCGTGGTTTATTCTATAGGATGCCCGCGGTTTTCTCGGTGGGAGGGAGTCATCATTAGGAACCGGGTACTGGTGCAATTATTCCAGTCCCTGCTAGCCGTTTCAATCACTGGTAAAACGTCTGGGTCTTTAGATCGTATCCGAGGGAGATATGCCAACCTAGTGGTTCGTTTTCCCTTCCACTGGCGTTTAAGCCGATCAGAAATGCATAATTTCACTGTTTCAGTGTGGTTCTTTCACCATCTTCGAATGCAATTGCTTAGTTAGGCTCACTATAAGTGTATTGAAAACATGACAGAGATTGTTATCGAATGTAACGTAACCCGTGTGTACATCCGATAATAACAGCTGTCGTGCAATTAATAATAATTGGGGGTTTCGTTGTGGGTACATTATCCAGGATCTAAGGTGAGACGGCTCCCTATTCTACTGCTAATATTTCGTGGTTTAATATATTTCTGACTAGTTCCCTGGTGGAAGATGCCGTTTTCCGGCTTTCTTGAGATTCAGAAGTTTTTTAATCCTGACATGATGTTCATAGATTAAGCTGTTGTTTCACGTGCTCTTGAATTTCATTAAACGTCCACGAGGAGTTGTTTCTTGTTTCCCTAGAAGAGGGTGATTTCATCTGTAGCTACAATGTGTTTGGGTGATAATCTTAGTGCAATGTGTGCTGGAGTAATATTATCCCAAATAACATATGAAAAATCCTATATTCTGCCTGTACACTGGTTTGCTGATTTTTTTGAACTGAAAATGTATTAATTTTTGGACCAACGTTCAGTTCCCTGGTTAAAATTCCTCATGACTTGGGGTTTTTTTGGTAAATCACCATCATCGGAATTGTCTAGTGGGGCTTACTGTGACACTGGATGTGTAGCTGGCATAAGCTGGGATTTTTGTACATGCCGTCTTTATTAGTATGTATATCATTCTTGGGGTGACAAATCTGATTGGATAGTGCTAGTCCTGTCTGAGGAGTTATAATCAAGGCAATATAATAAGAGTAATATAAGATTAATCCTTCTGCGGTGAAAGAATAATGTATTACTGTATTAATGCTGAATGGGACGCGGGGGGGTGGGGGGGGGGGTAATCTTTTTAACTTTTTTGGGTATTTGACATTTGAGTACTTTTTGATCACGGATTGATGGGATAATGCACAAAAATGAAGACACCGGAGGATTTGAAATGTCTTAGCTGTGTTATATTTTTCCTGAGTTTGAAAGTAATTGTGAATATGTATTGCTATTAAAACGTGTCTTCTTTTGTGCTTCTTTATATATGATGCATTCTTAAAGCATTACTGATTTTTTTTATGTTTCTTTTTGCAATGACATTTACAGGGTTTTTCTTTCAGTTTGCCTTCAGTCTTACCTGTAAACTTTGGTTATCAATTTGCGGACTATGGTCATAGTGCTCAAACGTCGCATTGAAGTTTAAGGTGCTCGTGCTACATTGGATTTGATGGGCATGTTATACAGAATTCTTTTATTGACCGTTCTCATTTTCAAATTTGCAGATAAAAGTTTTCTGACTAAGAAATGGGAATATATCTTAGTACCCCTAAAACCGAGAAATTTTCTGAAGATGGTGGAAACGAAAGACTTAGATTCGGATTGTCATCTATGCAAGGATGGCGCGCCTCCATGGAAGATGCTGTGAGTTGTAATTTGAGCTTCTCATTCATTTCATGTCTTTTCTTCTAAGATATAGGAGGACCATATCGACCTGTTGGTGTCGTGTTCTGTTTCGGAAACAGAAGGCACGGGCACATCTGTTCGAATCAAAAGAACAAAGTCTAAGATCACCAAGAAGGAAAGCTAAGAGAGTTTTCCGGGAATATACCAGACGATTAAGATAATAGAGCTTAAAATGAGACTATGAACATCAATGCTTCATGAAATCTTCACTTCCACAATATTTTTCCCAAATCTATCTTTTTATCATCCTTCACCTCAACATATGACCCCATCTGAAACCAGATAATAGAGAGCATCATAGGATAGTAATTAAACAGTTGAAACCATCACAATGACATCCTTAAACTCTTGTTCGTCAAGGCTCGGATGACCACCACATGGAAACTTTATGGTATTTGTCTGCTTAAGATATCACTTGAATCTTCTGGGAACCTGAATCTCATCCTTTCAAGGTTTTCAACACTGAATATGTGCCCAGCAACCTCTGAATACTTGGATTATAGTCATGTTATTCTATAAGTGAAATAGGAGCAATCTGAAATTTTATTTAAATACAGAGAAGAGAATACCAGAACTTGGACCATGCTTTGTTACTTTTTTAAAAACTGTAGATGCATTTCCATAGGCTCTGAGATAAACGCTTCTTGGTTTGAAGAATTGGTCTCTAGGGATACTCATTCTATAAACCCATTCGCTGTTATGGACAACATTGACACTGTTTCTTATTGTATGGGCTCATGTATCCACTTACAGGTGGGTAAGGCATGCTTGCAAGTAATCTATGTATTAATGCTGCCTATTCCTGACATTTAGACAATACCAGGGTGGGAACAAATAACTATTCAGTGAGCAATGAAATCCTACCCTTGAGACCTGGTATTTGGGTTTTGCTGAAATTGGACAACGCGGATATAATTTCTTCCTTTCTTAATGAATTTCCTTCCTTTTCTTGACCCTGAGGTACAACAGAAAAGGGATAAAAGGTGCTTTCGAACCTCCTTTATGTTTTGGCTAGTGTTGTCTCCAGGTGGTGTTGACAATCGAATTGATCACCCCTGATGTGCACATGAGAATATTTTTTTAATAAAGAATCAACGAACTTCTGTCATTTTTTTCTTCTCATTTATCCCTTGTGTTGCCTGTTTGAAGTTATGCATTTTTTATGATAGTAAAAAGCATAATGACTGGGGTAGATGTAAAAAGCTCCTGATGTATATTTATGCTACAAATGTAAATGGTTGTGTGTGCATTTCTGTTACGTAGGTCATGTAGCTGTTTGTGAGTGTTGTATGAGGCCATCCTGCAGGTTATAGTGTCATGTGGCATAATATTTTGATAATTTTTTGTCTATTTGTGCACCGAAGCGCTCAAAAGATGGTTACTAATTTGATGATAGTATCCGTGTATTCCATATTTGCAAGTTTCCTGGGTCATTTCTATAACTTCTTGCATCTGATTCTCATTTGTTTTTATTTTTCTTCTTTTTCTCAGCATGCTGCCTTGCCTGATTTAGACAATTGCACTTCATTTTTTGGTGTTTATGACGGACACGGAGGTACCAGCCATTGCCATTATCCTGTTGAATTTTGTATTCTTTCGTTTTGATTGGAATTAATTAAATCTCTTTCCCAAACCACAAACTTATTTTTCTTACTGGCTGCTATATTTAGTTATGTCCTTTATGACTTTCTGGTATCTTCATGGTTCTTTAAAAAATTGCAAATGCTCGGATAAAATTGTATTTTTTCTCTTCAGAAAACAGCAATTTACGAATGTACTATTTGTCTTTTAATGTATTTCAGTTCAATGTGAAAATTATCTCTTCAGGGTTGTAATCACTATCTACATTTGTTTTCTGATAATTTAGTTTACGGTCACAGTAGGAACATAATGAAATATCTGAACACTCAAGTATGCCATAGCGAAAAGGAGACGTCAAGAAATCAATGCGAATATGTTAAAATGTTCAATCTGCTATTATGGAGATTACACTTTGGGGAGCTAATGGATCGTTTCATGTGTTTGACAAATCAATATTTAGTCAGTTTTAATCCAAATCCTCATCTAACTACAAGAAAACCTAAGTGATCTGACCAGCATGCGAATTTCGTTGATAAAAGTTCATGCATATTTTGTATGGAAAGATTAATTATACATTATATCCATCTGTCTCTGTCTCTCTCTCCACTCCCTCCCCATTTTAATATATGCTGGCGCGATTTTATTCCAGCCGGATACAAGAAAGAGAGGAAAAGAGAAGAAGTGGGAGAATAGGGAATAGAGGAGAATAAGGAAGGAAGGAAATAGGATAAATGAGAAAATGTGTTATTAAGCACTTTTCTTAGAAAGGGACTAGATCTCATTCGAACAGGTGACAGTGCCAGAAGGCTAGATGACAACAGTGATTTGTGTCCAAAGGGACTTAGATCACATTCGACTAAAATCAAGGAAGAAGAGAGGAAAAGTGGGGAGAAGTTGTATTTCTTGAGAAAAAGTCAAACAAGGATATGCTTATCTGGACCAGAGAATAATATGTAATGGATCCTGTCAAGAAACAGGCATGTTTAGAAGAAAGACAATTTACGTCCAATTCCTTCAGACCAACACAAAGTGTTGAAGAGCCATTATTGTAATTAATAAAGATATTGGATAGATGGCTCAATGCCTGTGGTCTCATTCAGGTCAGAAACAGTTGTTCTTTATCGCTACATCGAGGTTTGATGCTATTAGATCGTCATAACTTTACTTGCTGCTGTATAAATTTTCACTGAAAAAAATCCAAAACATATCATTTCAATGATGAGTCTAGTTGTCATTAATAATCATGTTACGTTTGCAGAGAAAACTGTTAGAAAGTTCTATGCATTATGTACGTTCTTCTTTGAGAAGTCTTATTATTGGTATTGACTAATTATGTTGCTTTTGCAGGTAAAGTTGTTGCAAAGTTCTGTGCAAAATTCCTGCACGTTCAAGTTCTCAAGAATGAGGCCAACTCGGCTGGTGATTTGGGTACCTCTGTTCAGAAGGCTTTCTTCAGGTTTATTTTTGCTTTGCTCATTGTTGTTGTGGTTTTTATCGATTTTAGAACAACGTGCCACAACTACGCTTATTTGCATGATGATAGTTGACTGGAAGACTTATCAATCAAAGATCAATAGTTAACTGAGCCCCCTACATTCTTCCATTATTTTTGTGTTCTTTTTTTGTGAATTGAACAAGAGAGCATATAGTTATTTCACAAAATTTTTGTAAATTTTACAGTCTCGCAAAACTTTTACAAATTTTGGAATTGCCTATTTAAACTTCCTTCTTCCGTAAAAAATCTGACTGGGGTAAAAAAAGAAAAGAAAAAGAAAGGCGAATTGGTGAATTATATCCTCCCTGAAGCAAACCCCTTCAAAACATGAAAACATTCAGTCAATGTTATTTCTTTTGTCACAGAATGGATGAAATGATGCGGGGACAGAGAGGCTGGAGAGAATTAGCTGTCTTGGGAGATAAAATAAACAAGTGGACTGGCATGATAGAAGGCTTAATATGGTCCCCAAGGGGTGGAGAGTCTCGTGAGCAAGTTGAAGACTGGGCTTTCGAGGAGGTATTTTTTATTGTGTGTATTTATGCTATGTATGCCTTATTTTTCTTTCTGTTTCTTTACCTTAGTTGTCAACGAGCTTAAATCTTTCTGATTGATCCTCTCAGTGTATGACTATGTGATTCATAAGCCGTTTAGGAAAAAAACCTGCCTTTTCAGTGCTACATTTCTGAAAATCTTGAATAGCGAACTTCGTTTGGATGGGCTGTATCATTAAATTTTCGCTTCTCGTGGTAGGGTCTAACTTATACTCAATCAGAAACTGGCTAAAAGGGATTGATTTAAATATGAATAATTAAACTTTACTAGTTTGTGACTGATGCCATATCAAACTGATTATTATGATGTTCAACGATTTCAATGTAAAAGACAGTAGAAGAGACAACTTGAACAGTAAAACATAAGGACTTCCTTTTGGAGACGAAATCTGCTTCTAACACTGGCACTGCTAACACAGCCTATGCATGTGGGGTGATCTTGCACCCCGTACCGGAGGCCAAATCCTACATATGGTTCTAAGAAAACAGTGAGAAAGCTTTAGTCAATGTTGGCAGAAAGTTGGCGCAACAAAGCTGCTCTCATTTGCTTCTCAAATTTTAATTTCTCCCTCTTCTCTCTTTCTTTTCCTTTTCCTTCTATGTTTCTTCCATGGAGGAACTTCCACCTAAAAGCTCCACCTTCAGTGAACTGTATCACCTCCACTTCATGGAACGTGCTTGAGTTTGTCCAAACTACCATGGTTTTCGGGGATCCAGCTTGGATCTCGATTCTGAGTTGGCTAAAACTTTTGGATACAGGAGATTAATTCATCAAATATTGGATTACTACATTTTATTTTTATCATTTTTGGACCTAAAACGGTTAAAATTTTGTAAATAGGGTATTTCCACCCGAATTTGTTTTTCGGTCTCTTGATCTTTTGGGGTTAACTGTAAGGCAGTGTCACCACGAAGTAATAGTATCTTAAAAAATACAGAATTTATTATCAAATCAATTGTTGTTTGTTGTGAAGCTTTGGTCAGTGATGCTTGGTTACCTAAAAAACCTCAAATCTTCTTTGATGAGGGAAAAAATTCTCATCCATTGAGTAAGTTTCCACTCAAGAGTAGCTTTCAATGGTAACAGTTTATATATTATTTATCTTTATAGTAATAATGTTAACTTTCTACAGTTGTTATCTTTGAAAAAAAGCTTTTGGCACGTGATTAAACCACTTTTGAGATTTTTAAAAATTTGATGACAAAAATTCCCATCTGTTACTGCTATTTTCTTATCTTTGTAGTTTGTGATCAGGGACCCCACTCTGATTTTGCTGGACCCACATCCGGTTGTACAGCATGTGTAGCTCTCATTAGGAACAATCAATTGATTGTTGCAAATGCTGGTGACTCTCGCTGTGTGATCTCAAGGAAGGGTCAGGTAAATCTTGACTGTAAACTATCATAGTGAGTTCTGGTGAACATTCATCAGGTACTCCAATGTTTTTCGGTTTTTTTTTCTCAGGCATACAACCTGTCAAGAGATCACAAGCCAGATCTTGAGGCTGAAAGAGAGAGAATTCTTAAGGCCGGTGGTTTCATCCATGCAGGACGAGTCAATGGAAGTTTAAACTTAGCAAGAGCTATCGGTAATTTGATCATGCCACTCGTCAACTTGGAGTTTGTTTTCATAACGGAAAATAATGAATTGAATTTTTCTGGGTTTCAGGTGACATGGAATTTAAGCAGAACAAGTTTTTGCCTGCTGACAAGCAAATTGTGACTGCTAATCCTGACATAAATATTGTGAGTACTGAAGGACTGTTTCAGTTACTATTTTGACGTTTTCCACCTTTGGGCTTCTTACTATTTTATGCTTGTGGCCATTACAGGTTGAACTCTGTGATGATGATGAGTTCATTGTTCTAGCATGTGATGGAATTTGGTAAGTTTAATTCAGGGTGTTTCAAGTTTTATTGCTTGTGTGCTAAAAAGATGAGTTGATTAAATGTGTCATCCTCTTGAAATTATCACCTATACTATCCGAATGTATCATCCGCACATAATTATCTCCTATTATGTCCAAAGGAGTTATTAGATTTTTGGTATTTTATTTACTCAAAAGAGTATTATTTAGAGTTACGTTAATCTAACTGGTGTGATCACCTATACTAGTTTGGAATCTACAAGGTTATTGATCAGTTCGTTCTGATGAGCATAACATACAGCAACTGGTATTGCTAATTACTGATACATTAATGGTTAAATTTAATTTCTTCTGACTGAACTCAAAATATCTAGTAACCTGAAACTATTCGAAAAATAATTCCGTTTGAAATTCAGTTTCTTGAAATGGATAAGGTGGTTGGCATATGAAATTCCGTCTTGGCAGCTTTTCATCGTTGAACTTATGGCCATTTAGAGATCTCACCGGAGTGCTGCAAATTCTGATACCGTGTTAAACATCCAACCTCTATTTAAAAATTGGCCGGCCGGATAATGCTTAGCTTTAATTTAAGGAAACATTTGTGACAAGATCTAGTGGTGTAGTTGATAAAATAACTGTAATTTCTTTTAGATTTTATTTTTTAAAGTTAAAAATGTAAACAAATCTTTAAAGGGAAGACTTAAAGGGTATGTTAATATGGAAAAATGGTTGTCATGAATCTTGGGCACAACTTAGTCCCGCATCTACTGGAAATGCCCAAATTTAAGACCTTGCTTGCTCAGAGGTTACAATTCTTGGGAACCAGCCATAAGATACTGGCTTAATATACTTTTCTTGTGTGATATTTGATAACCTTCGCCTTATGTCCTACTCTTGTGGTGGGTGGCGGAGAGTGGTTGACATCCCTGATCTTTCAAATTTCATGTCCTCTTCCTTATTTTCAGCCGATTCCCTCATGTCCTTCATGCCATCCTCTGCATCATCTCTCACCGCAGAACCTGGCCTAAGTGCTTTAAATGATACTATTTTATTGGTTTTTTTTAATGTTTATATAAAATAATTATATGTTGATATTTACGTAGGGTGTTCATAAACTGATAAAGCAACATTCGGAGAATATAATTCGATAAAATAATAGCATAGTAATTTATATTGCATAGTTCAGTGATTATTGCTAAATTTCTGTTGTAAACGTTTATAAAAGAAAACCGGTCATGGGCTCAAACTAGAAGCCCATGCCCGTTGGGTCCTCCAGGACTCTTGAAGAATGATTTTGATTATTTTGATTTCATTGTCAAAAAGCATTGATAGCGTTCTGATTAACTTTTCAACATAGATGGCATCATTTGTTTCTCTCATGCAGTAATGTTTTCTCGACCGCAGTCCACTTTGGCTCAGTGAATAAACTCTGTCGATATCTTTTCTGTTCTTCAGGGACTGTATGACAAGCCAGCAACTCGTCGACTTCATACACGAGCACATAAACGTGGTATGCAACGCATCCCATCCATTCAATTGCCATTTTTGTCCATTCAACCGATTCTTTTTACTGGTCCATCCGGGTAGGCCAATCCGGCGATGCTGTCCCTTGATTCTGTCTGGATCATGATGGTCACTGCTGATCTTGTTCTATTCTGGCCACTGTGCTTGCCGACAGGCCCCAATGTAGTCTTCAAGGCTCTCTGATGGGATGATTACCATTGGATATATATTTATGGAAATGGTTCCGAGTCTCCTAGTTTTGGAAATAGCACCCCTCCTCCAATGGCCCGACTGATTCTTCCGGGTTCTCTCTGAATGTTCCTCTCTCTTGGGGCTTTTTCTGTGGACGCAGGAGAGCAGTCTCTCTTCAGTGTGCGAGAGAGTGTTAGACAGGTGCCTGGCCCCTTCAACGGCCACTGGAGAGGGCTGCGACAACATGACCATGATCCTGGTGCAGTTCAAGAAGCCTCATCTCAACAGGAACTCCAGTGGAGTCGAGCCGCCACTGCCGCCACTGCTGCCAGCCCAACCTGATCCAGCCGACGGTCCACAGTGAGCCAGATCGTGATAACCTTGAGAACAATAGTACATCTGTAGAGAGTGATTGCCCCTTACTGAAGGAATTTGCTCCCTTTAAGGAGGGACCTCCATTTGTGATGATCTACGTGCATTACTGGATTGATTGTTCATAAAGCCTGTATATTTTCAAACTAACTGGCTTTCTGCAGTTGCTCTGAGGTGAGATTATGGCCTGCAAGGAGCCAGTATCAGAGACGGCTAGTTCAGAGGTTAGTGTACCGTTCACTGTGCAGATTTCATCCGCTTTTCTTCTCTGTATGTGGTTCCATTCCTCCCCCTTCTGACTTTACAGCAAAAAGTCAGAAGGGGAGGAAGCGGACGACCTGGGTGGGTAAATTTGGCCCTATAGGTTCTACTTTTTACATTAGTGTTAGGAAATGTAACCAGATTTAGGACTTAATGGGCCTAAGATTAATGTGATACCATAGTGGAAGGAAGAGAGCATGAGTGTAGAATGTCTGCAAGAAAAATGAATAATATGGAGACGGTATAGTATGTGTGTTCTAAAGAGGATATAGATACAGTACAAGCATTAAATGAAAACAAGTAAGAAAAGGAACAAAGTACTAAAACGTATGAAGTTAATGAAGCTTTAATACCAACCACCAAATGAGAGAATAGAAGTTAGAATCTTATTTTCAATTGGAGAGAAGTTGATTTGTCAGGCCCTTTATTTTTCTCTCTTTCTCTCTCCCTAATACTCTCTTAATATGTGTATTACAAAGGCGACTAGGTTGGTTTCATACTTGAAACCAATCTTAAACAAAGGCATAAAGGTGGGATAAGGTCTAGATGGGCATCTCTTAAAATAAGGGTCAACCAAGTCGCCTTTACAAATTTCTTTCTTGACTTGGCCAGTATGAACTTCTTCAAAACTTTGTATTGAAAACTTCATAAGTTCCTCATAGCTGTGATAAAAAATAAAAGTTGTATACTTTCTTCAAATAAGAGGTTATTTGCCAATGTTATTAACTTTGATCAAGTTTAAACAATGTTGAAACTTTGAAGATAAAAGAGCTTTTGTTTACATGTTAATTGACTTATATTTGGTACCAATCTTCTGCACATTAATTTCTCTTTTGAAAATTATATCATGAATAAAATATAACTAACATCAATGTGCCTTGTCTTTTTGTGATACATTTAATCTTTACTTGATGAAATCACTTTGACTATCACAATGAACTATAATCAAATTTGAACATAAGTTAAATTTATAGAACAAATAACTTGACCATTTAGCACCCTTTAAGTGTTCTAAACTCTACTTATGTAGTGGATAAGTAATTGTAGACTATAAGGAAACTTTTCAACTAATAAACTTGACTAAATGTGTCGCACAATGGCTTAGGTAAACTTCTTCTCACTTTGTTCTTCAAAGGCCATTTTTGAATGGTTCCTCAAAGGTATCTAGTTTATCCACCAAATTAGATTTTGATGGCTATACTAGCTAGGATGACTAGAGAGGGTAGATTGTTTATCATGTGGGAATTTCCACCAATTTATCTATTTTCTTCAACATTATGAGCAAAATTTGACAATATGGGCTTTCTATATTGAGATGAGGTAAAAAAATCAAAGATGATTTTCTAGGGTGCTTCTTCACTCATCTTGGAACTATGAAGCCATAGATCTCTCTCTTTTTTTTGCTGAAACTTTCTTCTGATTCATCTCACACTATACTCTTTGAAACATTACATAGACAGATTGACAAGAGAGAGAGAGAGAGAGAGAGAGGGTGGTAATGTTCTCATCCCTTCACTCCCATCCATCTATCTCTTCATCAGTCTATATTCAAGACTGCCTGACTAGAGGTAGAGATGACAAGTGTTCCTCCCCATGGGTTTGAATGAATAATGCATAGGAGCCTCTTTTCTTATAAGTTAAGGTCCAATTTATCCCTTTTCTTCATTTGTGTTTTAACTTTTCATTGACAATTTAATAGATGATCACATGGGATGATGATGAGAAAATTTAATTGTAAGATATCAAATTTGATAAAGAATTTGAACAAAGAAAAGTCAAACACCACATGAATTTACATGTGAGACCACTTGAGTACCAATTGATCAGAATTCCTATTGAAGTGCAACCATGGGTTGCATGAGCAAGAAAGTGCACTATGGGTTCCCCCTCAAATAATGATCAAGGTATAAATTAGAAACTTGTTGGTAAACTCTTGCACTTAACTTCGATCAAAATAATTTTAGTATATGATGTTTACCCTAGAGAATATAATTTATTAATGTTTATATTTTTGAAATATGAGAAGTTACTTTAATTAATAACTTCACATATAATTTTTTTAGGATTGACATTTTGGAGGAGCCAAGTACATCAAGCTTTATATATAATTGACTTTTATAATTAAATCTATGAAATACATGATTATTTTAACAAGTACCACAAGATAATTGAATTGTAGAATACCATCATATATGAAGCACAATATCTCTATATAAATCAAGGACAAGTAGCAATGTAAGGTGAGTATATATATAAATCAATATATCGTGTAATATTTCAATACATTGATTTTGTATTGCAATATAAGTTGGTTTACAATGTCTCAAATCTTAATCGATTGAATTTATCTTACAATCTAATTCAAAATATAAATTAGTATATCTAAATTTATAGATTCTATATATGTTGTATATCTCAATGTATAAAATTTATATTGCATAAAAAAGTTTATTGACAATACATTGTATCAAATGTATATATCAATATATGCGACATATATTAATGTATATGAAAATAATATGATAATTTATACACCTAACCCTTTAGAATCATCCAATAGTATGAGATAAGCACCATTTTGTAGTAATAAAAGAATACCACACAATTTCCAACCTCATAATAGAACGATCACCCTAGAGTAGCATAGGGAAAACTATTGAATCATAGCCTTAGTTGAATGTCAATGAAAAAAATTGAATGAGAGTTGGATTTTCATAAATAGAGAGAATTCCAAATCCAAAGTTATGCGTAAAGAAAGATCTAATGAAGTATGACAAATTCAATTTATAAGCTCAGGTGAGGATAAGATCAATTTTTTTTTCAACTTGGTAATAGTAAGTGAATGCATTCAAGATGATCTTCATCAATAATTTTTCAAGAAGTTAAGAGTTTTAAGATTAAGTTTCAATTATCAGTCAAATGTTGCATTGCAATAATGTTTTGGAATAAAAAAATGTACTCTTTGTTTTGTTCTCATTGATACTATTTAGTTCATAGTGACTCAAGTATCTAACTAGTAGTAAGTGTTTGAAGGCACTTAGCATCATTAGAGTCATGAATCTATATAGATGAGCTAACACTATATTTTTAGTAATTAACTACCTTGAGCATTTGCATTTAAACCAGTGTGGTGAGGGTACTCATAGTACTAGAGTCATGAAATCAATAATTGTAAGGTTTAATTCAGTTATAGTTGATACTATTTACTTCATAGTGATGGAAGTATATCACTAGTAGTAACTGTTTGAAGGCACTTAAGCATTCGTAGAGTAGTGAATCTATAAAGATGAGCTAGCAGCAGATTTTTAGTATTTAACCACCTTAAGCATTGAATTTAAACCTGAGTGGTGAGGGTACTAGTACTACTAGAGACTAGCGGATGCCTAGTGCTCAGTTGTCTGTATCATCTGTGGATAGTGAAACTCAGAGACGATGTCTCTAGAGACTGGAGTAGGTTATACAGCCCAATCTACTATAATTGCATGTTCTGTTGCTTTTTTTGTCTTAGATATTCATAAGAGTTGACTCGGATTATAACGTTCCTCTTCTGCTGCATCAGATTTCTTTCCATCTCAACTCATTAGGAAAAGGTAACCAATTCACTCCCTCCCCCTCATTCCTTCTTGGTTTCTCTATGGCCTCATCAGACCCTACACCCTATGGTGCAAATCGTTCAGTCCTTTCCCTGCACTCATGGAATCCAAGAGAAAGAAGGAAAGAGATAACTAGACCGTGGGTTCACTCTGCTATCGTTCGCTGCCACCTCTAGTCTTGATAAGTATCACGTGATAAGCTGACGCTGCATCGGCTGGGGAGTGAAACCAAGGAGATGTTTTTCTTTTCTGTGGGACTAAACCCTTTTGGGTCTGGATTTGTGTAGGGGCCTAGTCTAAACTCGAGGATCTGCATCTAGGAGTGAAATAGGGGAGGAGAGGCAACCGAAGAGAGGTGAGGAAGGAGATCGAAATCGAGAGGGCACTCGCCATGAGGCAGTTCCACGAGGGGACCCTTTCTTCTTCAAATACTTAGCTATTTTTTGTTCCAAGGAAAATTAAAAAACAAAAGGATAATTCAATACCCATATTGATTAGATTGTCGAAAACCTTTCACGTGGTATTATAGATCACATGTTTTAAATTATATCAATTTCTCCCAATATAATGACAAGAAACGGTTGGTCTGGGTGTTTTTCCAGCACATTTTTGCTTCAGAGGTTGGTTTTCAGGGTATGATATCTGCCGAGAAGGTGATCGGTGATACGCCGGCGAGGATGAAGCTGCAAAAATGGCGACGTCTGGTTTAGTGGCTCGGTTCCGAGATCATCTTTCCGTGTGAGGATAATATCTGGTTGCAATCGACGACCGACCCATTTCCATTGACTTTCTAAATGATTGGATGACGTTTCCTGCCCAGTGGTTTCGAAGATTCGTGCACTTGTTTATTGATTGACCAAAAATTTGTTTTCCTTCTTCTGTTATCGGTGGCCAGAGTTCAACAGACGATTGGGCTTCCGGGCTGTGTCAAGTCAGAACCACCACCAGCGAGGCGCTGACTGAACTCAGCGGCCGAGGGAGAACAGGTCAATGGCAGAGGAAGAAATCACTGCTGGCGATCATCTAGAAGCCCGTTCTGAGGGAGAAGATGCCTGCGGAAGACGGAGAAGGTGTGAGATCTCCTTCAGAAGCTTTCTATCTTTCGGAGCTTCTCTGCAACTTCCGGGGAGGAGAATAGCAGTGCAGAGGCCGTGCCCAATGGAGCTTCTCGTACAGTTTCCGAAAATGCGTGACTGAGAAATCATCAACGTGTCCATCTCCTGTCCATTGACCTAACGACCGGAGGTCCACCGCTTGATCAAGCCCCGCGCTTATCAACCACCAGCCCTCTCCTCGTCCGCGTCGGATCCAGATCGGCTCGAATGGTCGCCTCGTTCCCCACGTGATCGACGAGCTGCCGGACTTTTGTCGGAGATGCATCATGATCGAGGGTAGTTTAAGCTAGGTCCAGTTTTCATGATAATCGGCACGTGCAAAAAATTACTACACGAGATGGTCGGTCAATGGCCAAGGCCTGTCGAACCACATGTCAAACAGAGAGATGGAGAGGGCGGCATAATCGTCGTTACTAATACGCACAGACTTTGAATGCCCAAATAGGGAAAATAATTGACTAGATCTAGTCAACTCTGCGTTTACTTAACTCCGGAGATAACGCGTCACTTCACCTCGTCACGGGACGCGTGGGAGAAATATCATTTTTGACCTGGTAAAATAGGAATTATCCATTAACAAAAGAGCTTTCCACGTGTCAAGCCATTTCGCAGCAAAAGACCCGGTCGGCCGTTAGTCTCGGGACGGAAATCCCCCCGAGAGACAAAACGGTTAATATGTGGGGCCCATTTTGAGTACACGTATCGCAATCTCGGGGCCCGTGCGCGATCGTGGCAGGATAAGCGGGAAAAAGATTCGTACTGTTGGACCCCGGGGAGAGGATAAGGACGTCCGCACGTTTTCGACGCCGCGTAAGCTCCCACGCGACTCTCTGTCCCTCGCTTTTTACCCGTAGAAAAGTCGGATAAGGTTGCTTCGCCGCGCCGGCAGCCTTCGCTCTCGCTCTATAAATAGGGTGGGGGCCTAGCCGATGGACGTGGTATCTGCAATCCAGTTTCTGTTACGGCGAGGCGTCAGTGGCTTCTCTGACATTGTGAGGATTTGCGATCGGTCCTTCTTCGCCCGGTTTTCTTTTCTTCCTCCGGGAAAGCGGTGGTGATCGAGCATCGGATCTTGTGGAAGCGACCGGGAGAGGAGGTGAAAGAGATGGCTATTGCGATGGGATCGGTCGGATCGTCTGCGGCGGCGAGCATCGGTCAGGGTTTTGCCAAGGGTGGAAAGGGGCGGAAGATGGGCGGTGGAAGTGCAAGCCGTGTCGTCTGCTCCGCCGCGTCTCCGGCAGCTTCTTACTACACGAGCGGCCTGACGGAACAGTACCAGACGCTGAGAGTCCAGCCCGGTGCGTCTGAGAAGGAGGTGAAGAAGGCCTTCAGGCAATTGGCCCTGCAGGTAACTTTCCCTTTCCCTTTTTTCTCGATCCTCTTTTTCGCCCCCTTTTTCCTTCTGTTACTGTCCCATTAGCAGCGAATGGAGAGGGGAAAGAAATATGGATTTCGGCCGTCTCTGTTGGATCCCAAAAATTAATCCACCTTTCTATAATTCTTCTGCAGTATCATCCAGATGTCTGCAAGGGAAGCAACTGCGGCATTCAATTCCACCGCATCAACGAAGCCTACGACGTAAGCGTCTCTCTCTCTCTCTACCGGCCACTAATCTTTTCAGTCGTTGGCCATCTCCACTCTTTTTTCGTTGATTACAATTCTTCCCGTACCGATCGAGGCTGCGCGTCTTTCCTCTGCAGATCGTGATGAGCAGTCTGAGGGAGCCGGAAGAAGAACCGCAGTGGTGCGAAGATGCGCAGGTGGACGACGAGATGAGGGGGATGTACGACCCGAGCTGGGACCTCTGGGAGGAGTGGATGGGCTGGGAAGGAGCCTGCACGCGGGACTACTCTTCTCACATCAACCCCTACATCTGATCTCTCCTCCACCATTCATTGCCCCCCTCGTGCAGACCACCATCAAGCGGTGTACATCAACCCCTACATCTGATCTCTCCTCCACCATTCCTTGCCCCCCTCGTGCGGACCACCATCAAGCGGTGTACATACACATTCGCGAGAGCCCCCTTGTAAATCGTCTTCCCCCTCAGAAAGATGCGGACCGAAAGCTCTGCGAAGTTTTGAGCAGATCGCCGTCCCTCTTTCTTATTTGTTTTATATTTCCTTCGGATAAATTATCTATTAAAAGAAGTTTCCCGATCCACTCTAGCATTGCCGCCAGGCCCATTAATCTCTCCACTTCCACGTGTTAATGGACCGGAATGATCGGACTAATTATCTTAAAAAAGGGGCCCAGTAGTTTCCGATTTCCCTCCCCCGTCCACCAACGGAAGCACTTTCCTTTAATATCATAGTATTTACCTTTTCTATTTATTTTATCGCCGGCCAATCTTTGATTCTACGTAAAAAGAATCGCGGCTCTGTGGGATTTCCCCGTCTTTACATACCAAAAGGGATCGCCCGCGGAGAAGATGGCGCGAAATTTGAAGGACCTCAGACCTTCAGCGCCACCTGATCCTGCCACGAGACCTTCCTCTTCCCTCTCCGGCTGCTGCCGCCGCCGCCGCCGGCGTCTCTGCAGATCGGGGACTTGAGGAGTCCTCCGGGGAGGTCCCCCTCCGGAGTACGTCTTCTCGACGACGACTCCGCGAGAGGAGGCCTGGAACCTCCGCTTGGAACCGCATCTCCTTCCGGCAGGTACCTTCTTGATGACTCCATAGGCGGAGCTTCCGATGGGGATTGAAATTCTGCCTCCTCCCCTTCCTGCGAACAAGAAGGTGCGTCGCCCCTCAGATCTCCCTCAAAATGATGAATGAATGTTGTCAGAAATCTCCGAGCGCGGGTGGTGCGAGGTGATTACTGGTAATGAGATCTGGTTCAGGTCTAGAATTCCAGAGGTTTTCGGAAGAGTAGCCTCCTCCGCTGTGTGGCTTCCATCGTCCCGACCAACAGCGTCGACTCTGATTGGGGATCTCCGCTCCCTGAGTTTCAGCGCATTGGAGGTCTTCTGCGGACGAGTTTTTAGCTTGTAAGGGATGGGAGATGCGTTCTGGATTAGGAATTTATATCTTCTACGCAAGAATCTGACCAAAAGTGAAGAAAAACTGAGTCAGGTTATCAAACATCAGGGCATATGGTAAACATGGGATAGAAAGGATCGTCGACGAAATTTACCTGACTTCGTCGTTGAGTTTCCGAGCTCTCTGCCTAGCCATCGTCAATCTCCTCCTCTTTACTGCGGCGTCCTGGATAAGAAAATTATGATTTACGGTTCATATTCTTTTCTGAACGATTACCGGGAAAGGATCCCTCGCCTCCTGGAAGGAAATTACGAGAGGAATACGGAGAACCGAGGATCAAAGATTGATACGGCAGAGAACAATAAAAGGCAAGTTCGGAAACCCTAGCCTGAGTAGAACAATGACATCGCAGAGAGGGAAAGCACAGATCTGCATCTTACTATATTTCCAGGAGAGGGGAAAAACTAAAGAGTGCAATTGTTTCGATACGTCAATGGATAGAAAGAAAAAAATGCAGGAAAAAAAAGAAGATCCCCAAAATTGAAGAAAACAGCCTCGAATCGAATCTCCACACCGGAACGAGAAAGATGCGGCAAGGGAAGCAGAAGAATCCTTCATATGCTTCAAGTTTTGGTCAGAAATCAGAGTGAAATGAAAGTGACAACAGGATGATGAAAAGAAACAGAAGAAACAGAAGGATCCGGGGATTTAAACCTTCTGAAGGTCTTCGTAGTCCTGCTTCAGATGCTGGAGCTTGAACCACGCCCTGTCGTCCTCACTAATCACCGGGTACGGGTGATGAGGAAGAGCCGCCTCTGCGGGAGCCGCCCTCGCCTTCTTCATCTCCCGAATCCGAAGCAATCAACACTAGAGAGAAAACGGCGAAGAGGAAGGAGGTGGACAAAGCTCAGAACAGAAGGGGGAAGGGGAAGATCAAGGACTCGACGGCGGGCGGAAAACCACAGAGGGAGGCAGGGGAGGAGGAGGAGAAGGCCGATGGACCAAAGGGGCTGCGAGGAAGGAGAAGAATAGGGACGGAGAGGGATGTGGTGAAGACGAAGATAATACAGGAAATAATAAAGGCTGAGGGAGGGGAGAAGGAGACGGAAGAGAGAGAGAGAAGGGGGGGAACAGGAAGGGGAGACGCCCTTCTTCTCTCTCTCTCTCTGACCCGGCGAAAATTCCAAAAGCCCCCACATAATTCGGGAACAGGAAAGCGGCCGCTGGCGAGGAGCGAGTTTCCGTTGATCCCCTTGAGGAGCTGTAGATTTTGCAGAGAAGGTGGGGAAGGAGGGGCATTTCAGGGAAGTGGCCGGTCGTCGGCATCTTTGTTTTTGCGGGGTCGAAGATGGGGGAAGACGGGCATCTGGTTGGAAGAGAGAGAACGAGAGGCAGCTTTAGAGAGAGAGAGAGAGAGAGAGAGATGGATACATCATGAAGACATCCATCCAACCCCAACGCCAACCCCCCTTCTTATTCCGACCCGTCTTACCTCTCCTTCCTCTTTATCCTGTACTCTTCTTCCGGAGAAACTTCCTTCTCCCACCCGGGGACACCGGAGGAAGAAGGGCATGTAGAGAGAGAAATCATCATCATCTCCCTGCACGATTCCTTCCTCTCCCTCTCTCTCTTTCTACCCCCTTCTCTCCCATCTTTGCCCGCTGAAGGATGCGGCGTCTGGGAGGGCTTTCCGCCGAGGAAACTGCTGAGGAAAGCAGCGATAAACGTCTGACCCTCCAGTGATGTTTCAGTCGTTGTCCTTCCCCCATCGTCCTCATCCTCCACCCCGCCCCCCCCCCTCCATCGTGGTCCTCACGGAGCAGGTGGACGACCGGGCACGGTCTTTCCCTCATTAAATATTCCCCAAATTCTTCTCAATACCCCTACTTTCTCCCAACCAGTTCTCCTTTTTCTCCCCTTCCCTCTCTCTCTCTCTCTCTCTACAAAGGCCGCCGTCTGCTGTCTGCAACTGCGCCGCAGGGCAGGGACAGGCTGGTTCTTCTTCCTCCCCTCCTCACGTGTCGCCAACATCATTGGCCGCGGAGGACGGCGGGGGGTGAAGAGGCCCACTTGCGACCTCCGACTCCTCTCCGGCCCTCTCGCCGCAAAGGGATGCGTCTGCAGCAGAGGTGATCATGATAGATGAATATGCGATGCGTAACTTGGCCGATTCTCTCTCTAAACTGAACTCATCTACTTCCAGTTCTTAATTTTTCTTTCCGGAAGGTGATGTGGGCTAGCGTCGAGTAGTCGGGATCAAGGGGTCACTGTCCGAGAAGAGTCTTCTTCATCGTCTTCCACCAGACTGAAACAGAATGTCGCGGAAGGAGGGGAGAGAGAGAGGGATTCGCTTGGAAAGTTATTGTTTTGCATGGGAATACAATGCTCGTCCGGTTAGCTTGAATTCTTCAAACCCCTTTTACACCCCACTTAACCTGATCGGGCTTCAATCGATTCATCTGTAGAGAGAGAGAGAGAGAGAGAGAGAGAGAGAGAAGGCGAAGAGCTTCAATCGGCAGACGGAGCTAAGACTTGGGCAAAAGCGAGCCAGCCAGGAAAGACTTGAAAAGTTGGAAAGCCCTCTTGGGTTGGAAAAGAGGGACCTCGTGCCCGGCGCCTCTCACAGTCGCAAAAGTCAACCCTTCATAGATCTCGGTCCATCCTCCTACCTGTACACGCCATCGAGGTCAGAACCCCGTGTGGATCGGATCACACGCCGATGGGAAAAAAAGTCAACGCGTGTGTTGGGCTCGGGATGTGAACGTACCTCTCGACCGCAGTACCATGGATACCAGGGGACCTTGACGGTGATGTTGAGGTGGCTCAAGGAGAACCTCGTGGCCGTCACCGGAACCACGGAGTCCGTGTCCCCGCTGCGACGAATTACCAAGAAGAAGTCAGTTTTTTAACGAAGACGACGATCTCAGTCAAAAGATCCTTAGTGAGAGGACATCCACCAGCTGCCCTAACCTGAAAACCCACACCCGAAGGCCAGCCGCCATTAACTGCCGGTAAGTCGGCAACATGGAGAACTCCGAGTCGCCCCAGTTCTTGATGAGCACGTCGCTGCAGCAAGAAGCTTCAGTAATCGTCGGACATACTGATAAATCATGCAAACTCAGAGGCCAAAACTCCGGCGTACCTGCAGGCGGTCCACTTATAGGGGATGCTACCGGTAGCGTTGGCGTGCAGGGCCTCCTGCACCTCCCGCCGGTTGTAGTACTTCTCGGCGTGGCTCTCCGTGCAGGGGTCGTAGCCGTAGGACCGGCGGCGGAGGACGGTACCACGGAGCCGCAGGGGGCGGCTGGTGGCGTTGCGCGCGGCGGCGTTGCAGGCTGGCGTGTAGATGCTGTACTGATCGATGTCGCCGAATTCGTGGTTCATGGCGTAGTCGACTGCGTTGTCGCACTTGGCGGTGTTCTTCACCGCCGTGAAGTTGCAGTGGGCGAGGATCGTCTTGTAGGTCTTGTCGGAGATCATTGCGTGCGTCCACCAGTAGGCCACCGTTCCGATCCCGTCGTAATGGTTGTCCGTCACCGCATTCCCTACCTTCAACGATATACGCAGCAGGATCAGATGCAGGTTGTGCCCATCTCTCTCTCTCTAGCGACATACCAGGAAACCCTTGAGGTTGATGAAAGGTTTGGTGAGGGACTTGTTGTAGTCAACGATCTTTTTGGCCAGCTGAGGAACGTAATGCCCTGGGAATCCAAAGTCGCCCAGTAAGACCTCGTTTCACTCGTCGGATGATCGACCCAGGTGAGTATTACCTGCGTAGCTCTCCCCGGAGATGTAGAAGTCCCTGTGCTTGTATTGGGGGAACCGCTGCATCCATCTGGTCAGAAAAGTCAACGCATCTCGGGCTGCGCGGATGAAATCTCCGGTCATCAGTCCACCCAAATAGTCAACGGTGATAGAAGAAAAAAACGCCGGGGAGAGGGTGGGATACTCGAAAGCTACCCGTGCGTTCGTCCCCCGACGTCTTGAGATCGGAGCTCGTGTTCGTGTAGGAGAAGCCAACGCCAGCGGGGGATTCCAAGAATAGAAGGTTCGCCTCTGCAGTCGAAGAAGATGACTCCATCAGATCAGCTCCAATGATCGAATCGTGGCGAGAATCTGCATTCGGTTCTGCGGCTTACCTCTGTTCCAGGAGTACTTGTTGAGGAAGAGGGACGAACCAGTGCGGTTGATCCGGAAGGGACCGATCTCCTCCGAAGCCCCGTAGGCCACCGACGAACACCCCGGCCCTGCCGAGAGAACGACGATCAGTCTCCAGCGAAATAATCCGCATTAACTGGCCATTGATTGATCTGAACGACCCATCACAAAAGCTTCTCACTGCTCTATCTCCTGCAACAGGAGCTGCAGGAAGTCGCAGGCCCCCACCAGCGCCACCGCCATTGCTAAGACTGCACCGGCCTGCAGTGCGCCAGGCACCACCAGTGGGCCTCGAGAAGAGCTTCCACTGGCTGGTTCCTCGCGGACTGTATCTACACCGAGTCGAAGCTCATCTCTCTCCCTCGCGTGCATCATAGCAGGGAAGAGGGCGGTGACTCCACTGACGCAGAGGTCTACTCTTCGGGTCAAAAGGAGGTCCCCTGGAAACCTTTTGCCGGCTGGAACCCTAGAGTTGCAGGAGAAAGCTTTTCTTCTTCGGCAAGAGAGAGAGAGAGAGAGGGGTGTTTGGGGTGGGGAGTGAAAGGCAGTGCACTTTCGTGCCTGCAGATTCTCTCTCGTGCATGTTTCCATCCAACACGATGATGGCAGCCACGGATTAGCACAAGGGATAGAGATCTGGACTGAGATAAGGCGCTGCGGCCTTGGATTGTCCCTGCCAGAGGCTGCTGGTGGACGGACGGGTCTCTCTCTCTCCCCTCCTCCCCCTCGTGGGGTGTTAGAGAGAGAGAGAGAGAGAGACGCAGAGCCCGACTCTGTCACTGATACCATAGGAAACATGCTAACTTGCGCTCATGGAGCGGCAGCTTTTTAACCCGGTTTAATGCGGGGCATGCGGATTGTCGGCTTCTCTGGGCGCCGGACACGTGGGCGCATGCAGACAAAAAAACCCAAAACCAGCCCCAACCTTCTCGAGCATTGATGGCAGTAATTATGATAAAACGGCGAAGCGAATGGCCGGCTCATCATTTTGAAATCGAGTGCCCGCTTCCGTTCAAAAGAACGGATTTTTGCCAAGATTCATCCTAATTTCCACACCCCCCATTGGTTACCACTCTACCCATCGATCAACAGCCCTCGTTTTCACGTAATTTTTTATGAAATAATCTCTACGTAGCATGTAGAGAAACGGGGACAATCCGTAGGAGGAGGGGGGGTGGGGGGAGCGAGGAGAACAAGGCATTGGAGAAAGCCGGCGACAGGTAGAAGCAAAGGCTAGTGAGCTCTTGGCACTCACCTCCGTTAAGCCAGAGCACAAGCGGCTTCCTCGCGGCGTCGCCGGCGGCCTCGGTCAGCCAGTAGAAGAGCGCCCTCCCGTTCTTCTCGTGGACCGTGACGTATCCAGAGAACTGAGCGAAGGACACTGGCGGCTGCCCGGGGAGGCTCTTGATGCGGTCGTCCTCGTAGTGGTCGCCGCCGGCGATGTCGGTGACTTGAAGAGAGAAGATGGAGAGGACAAGGAAATGGGAGATGATCTCTCTCACTCGGTGCGCCATTGCCTCTCGCTCGTTCTCAACTCGGTCGCCACTGCGTAAAGGGGGGTGGTGGTGGGGTGGGGGGGCGGGGGGGTAAATAAGGGGAGGAGTGGGATGATCTCACAGGAACGACAGAGGCGCGTGTCCAATTATAGGTTCCGTGTGGTCTTGTAAATCGAATAGTGACATATCTCTACACCCTCCAGCTTGCAGCTTGGTCAGCTACTGGTCCTCCTTCCAAGACAGAAGGCAGTATATAAAACAGGGAGAGAGAGAGAGAGAGACAGACACAGAGATGAATAGTAACGGTGCAGTAGTCACGCATAGGGTCATTAATACCAAATCAGAACTGGGGTTACGATAGGCGAAGGGCCTCATTAATGTGTACGCTTCAGTGCGAAGGTCCTGTTGGGTGTGGTTCTTCAGGTAAACGGGATGGAGAGAAAGCCGGGGAGAAAGAGAGAGAGAGAGAGAGAGAGAGAGAGATAGAGAGAGGACTCAAGCCATATCCCCTTCTTCACATTGTTTTACCGCGCAAGAACACTGAAACTGAGAGCTTCGTCCTCGCTTCTGGAGGGGGCAGCCATTGACATCGCCCGTCCCTTCCGTCCTTGTTTACTCAATGGGGTCTGTACCGTCATCAGGACTTGCGACCTCGAACGAGGGACGCGGACGGTGTTCTTCTGGGCGGCGCCTTTGACTATATTTGACCCAAATATTTTACCTCGCCGCCGCAGCTCTCTAGCTTCTACCCTGGTTCGCTTCACATACGATGAAGGCGAGTGAGTTATCTTTTCCGACCCACATCTTCGTCAACTAGCGTAGCATTCTGCTTGTTTTTTTTTTTCCAGAACTGCGAACACGGTGGGGAGGATTCTCACTTTGAGGTGCCTAGGGTTTCTCTCCTTCTCCGTCGATATGCCAAAGATGGGGGGGCCTGTAATGGTTATGTTCATGAAGATCTTTTTATATTCTGAACTGTTCACAGTTCTCTAACCCTAAAGCCGCTATCCCCAGTTAGATGCCGACGCCTCGCTCCTAGGGTTGCTCTTGTTACTTCATGTTCCTCTTCGACGATTGGGCTTCCCCCTCTTTCGTTGCCTGCGTTCAAATGGATCATAACCCCCCTCGTCCCCTTCTCTCACCCTCTCTATCCATCTTGACTTGGAGATGATTACTGGGTTTATCGTTGTGAGAGAGCTGAATGATCGGGCAAAACTTGAATTCACAGTGAAGACTGCAATGACACAACGTATGACGAGATAATTTTTTTTCACGAAGGGGAATTTAAACGAGCCTTGAATTCTCTCTCCTGGTCCCAATGTTGAGGATGGGATGCGTATTAATGGGTTGCCTTTGACTGCGAGGACCCTCAAATTCTCACCTACTTACCGCGAAAATTTAACAGAAACAGTCGCCGGTGAGGTTTTCTATCCTCTCCGGCGACGTCTAGGTCCGCTGCCCAGGCATTCCTGAGGTCCTTTCGAGCTGCTGGCAGGAGATAAATGAGCGTCCGCCATGGCCGTACAGGCTCCAAGGTGTGAGCGCCTGGGGGAGTGGAGAGTTGCGCGAACCGGAGACCGTATGAACTGCTGCGACCAGACCCCCCATTAAAGCCTGATGCAGCTCCTTCTCTCTTCTGAAGACTTAATATCTTTCGTCTTTCGAGCACGGGGAGAGCAGGAAAGCGGATCACTTTGGAGCGCATTTATGAGATGCAGAACTGCAGGAGCTGCCCTTCAATCTCATTGTCTTTGATTCTTTCCCGCATCCGATGTTCATATCTTACGACGATTTCTGTGAGAGCTTGCTCGGAAATAGCGCACGAATAGTCAATTTTAAGGATACTCTACTTTGATATAATAAGGAAATCCCGAGCTGGTACGAGAATAAGATTTGATCCCCAAAATCATGCTCGTAAAAAATTAATGGACCAAATTCTTCTCATTCTCTGCTTATATTTGGTCTGAGCGACGTGGTTCTACTCCCTCTCTCTCTCTCTCTCTCATATGGTCTTCAACCCCTCAGTTGAGAATCGCTGGCGATTCTCGTCCCATGCGCGGACTCTTCCCGGGTTCCTGAGGTTCGTCTTCTCCCCTCGGCTTATGAGAAGGGTGGGGTAGCCGCATAACTACAAATAAATCCCTCATTAAATTAGAACTTTAATTCCGGACCGAGAAAAAATAAATTGTAAATGGTAGTTTCGGGCCCGGGATCACTAGCGGACAGGTGGCCCGGAAAGTGGAAGGGTGCACGATCTAGGCCCAGTAACGAATGGACCGTACTATCAGTCATGTGGGTTGCAAGGCCCAATAAAGTTACTGGGCCAACAGTTGTCAAGCAAATGATAACAGATCGTGTCGTGGGGCAACCAAAGTCAAAGGAGAAACGGGGCACTAAGGACAATTTGGATCAATCCGAGCTGTGGCCATAATCGAGACACGTGGCACAATTATCACGTGCGAATCTGAGGGCGGCCATTCTCCTTGGACGTGGAAAACGTGATATGAGTAACGGGTTTCGGATCGAAAACCATCACGAACTCGAGGACAAACTCTCAATTCTCTCGGCCTCTCCTTCCGCCGTCGGTCGCCATCGGCGGTTCCTTCCTCTTCTCGAACGTAGCAAAACTCCCCTTAAACGTGCGACGAGGTAAATTACACGTGCGAAAGTCCTAACGGTTAGAGTTCCGAACCATTAAGCCTCCGAAAAGGATCCGGCAGAGGGCAGTTTAGTGGGTTAGGGGGCCAGCTTTTCTTGTCTCTTGGAGGACGACGCTCTTCTCTCATGGGAGATGACAGGGAGAGGCTCCTCCCGCCGAAGCCCTCCACTTCGTCCTCCATCGCCGGCGCCGGCGGCGCCGCCGCCGTCGCGCGGTCGGTCTTGCAAGGGATGGATTACCTTGGCATCAAGAAGCGGGGGCAGGGGGTCCGTTCGTGGATCCGCGTGGACGCCGCCACCGGCAGTTCCCAGATAATGGAGGTAGACAAGTTTAGCATGATGCGACGGTGCGATTTGCCGGCGCGGGATCTCCGGCTTCTGGACCCTCTCTTCGTGTACCCTTCCACCATTCTCGGCCGCGAGAAGGCCATCGTCGTCAACCTGGAGCAGATTAGGTGCATCATCACCGCCGAGGAGGTGCTGGTCCTTAACTCTGTCGACAGCAACGTCCTCCAATACGTGGTGGAGCTTCAGAGGAGACTTGCGGTGCCACAGGGGGATTTCTTTGGCGGGGCAGCCTCGCCGGATTACCTGCCTTTCGAGTTTCGGGCGCTCGAGGTAGCGCTGGAGTCGGCTTGCTCGTTTCTCGACGCGCAGGTGCGGCTGCTTCTACCTGAGTCCTCTCGTCCTTCGATGCTCACTCGTCGTGGTTTTCTGTTGGGATGATGGCGTTGCTTGATTTCTCATCTTGATGCTTTACGATGCACCCATCATTCAAATGATTTCGTGGAAACACGGGAAGCGAATTCTCTCTTTCTCTCTCTTCTTAGCCGAATTGAATATATTTATTTGGCGAGGTAGGTAGAATTTCCAAGTACTGGCAGATATTAAACAATTTCTCGCACCAGATATTCCCCAATCCCTGTCTTCTTCTGAGGTAATGACGCTGAATCACCACCAAGAGACTCACAGATACGCCATTGGGATTTCCTTATCAGGCAGCAGAATTAGAAATCGAAGCATACCCTCTGTTAGACGAGCTAACATCCAAGATCAGCACCTTGAACTTGGAACGCGTGCGAAGGCTGAAGAGCAGGCTTGTTGCCTTGACTCGGAGGGTGCAGAAGGTATTCGAGTGAGTCAAAGGCTGTGCGCAGGTGACTAACCATCTCCCCGCACGACGTTGACCTGAGATTTCCTCCCGCAGGTTCGGGACGAGGTAGAGCAGCTTATGGACGACGACGGAGACATGGCGGAGTTGTATCTCACGGATAAGAAGAGACGAATGGAAGCCTCGTTCTACAGTGACCAGTCATTGACTGGTTTGGGTTTCGCTGGGCTGGGGCACCCTGCTTCCGCCCCCTCATCCCCTGTCTCCTCTCCAGCCGAATCACCGAGGATGGAGAAGCCCCTAAGCATCAGCAGAAGTCGTCACGACAGCTTCAAGAGCCCTGACGGCGGCGGCGCCGAGAACATAGAGGCGTTGGAGATGCTACTGGAAGCTTACTTTGTGGTTATAGACAGCATCCTCAACAAGTTGACGTCGGTATGCTGCGCCTCTCGTGCCCACTGTTGTCTCTGATTGTCCTCATTCTGAGCTGGGCATGACTGAATCTTGGTTCCATTCCAGCTGAAGGAGTACATCGACGACACAGAGGACTTCATCAACATCCAGCTGGTTTGTATTATTATCTAACTTACTATCTGTGCCAATGTCAACTTGATCTTCTTCACCTGAGATTAATAAGGGTTTTGGGTTTGACTTCAACGTGATTGTCTTGGGATCATGACTCAAGTACTGTGATTTCAGGACAACGTCAGGAACCAGCTGATCCAATTCGAGCTGCTGCTGACGACGGCGACATTTGTGGTGGCCATATTCGGCGTGGTAGCCGGAGTTTTTGGTATGAACTTCACAATCCCGCTATTCGATCGACCAAGTGCTTTCCAGTGGGTGCTCATAATCTCTGCAATATGCGGTACGGTCATCTTCAGCACATTTCTGTGGTTCTTCAAGTATAGAAGACTGATGCCCATGTGAAAAGCCAAGAGAAAATCTCAGCTATTGGCGGATTTATCCCCAATGTCCATTACCCACATGCATTCTTCACATAATTCAGATTACAGTGAACGACGGCTGCCTTTGTAAAGATACCACACTACCTTCAACAACTCAATAAATACACAAATTTATTTCAGCTCCACCCCTAACTTTTGCATCTCATCTTTGGTTTATTTCGCGAATTTCACCTCATTATCGTACTGATCAGAGCAATCCTGGTAGCTTGGCAAGGACATAATCATGCCCACAAACATAAATCGGCCCGATAGAAAAGTCTCCAAGTCCAAAAATCTGTCTGCCATCCTCAGACAATCCACCGAGCATTGTATCAGACCATGAGAGCAGACATCATCCATACTGGCCGGAAACCAACACGAGGATCACGGAAAATAATTCAATGGGCGAAGAGCAAAATCGTTTCCGCAGTGGCTCACACCATCTGCTGTTCTGTTATTCACAGCGTCAAGAAAACAAGCCCCAGGGATGAATTCTGGAGAGAGTAGGAAGGAACCCTCTCGAGGGGGCTTCTCTGCGCTATTTGGCCGGCGGCTGACCTGAAGAAAGCCTCTGGCTCCGTGCTTTGTCGGCCTTTTCCAAGTAGTCCTGATGCGACTGGTGCTTCGCTCCTGTTAGAAAGAAGGGTGGTCAGGCAGCGGGGGAAATATGGGCATTCAACACAGAAAACAACGCAAGATACGATCTGAATAACCCAGATGCTTATCACTCACAGATGCTGTAAAATATCCTGCACCTTTCCATTAAAAGAAAAAGAGCCCATCAATGTCACGAGAAAAGGCATACCGACCTTGAATTTATACGGCTCAAAGATCCAAAATTGAGAAACCTTCCTTTTATATCAACTCTGCAACTCCAATAAATACGGTTGAATCCCACCTCACACATCTCAGCTACTCACCGCTACAGATCATGATTCTTTGGCACCATTGTGTTTGTATTTGTCTACATTTCTCTACTTTGTGCAGAAAGCTGCCGATGAAAGACTCTCCGGCACAAAATAAACGGGCTAAGAGCCATTAATAAAAAGGGACAGATGATGTAAAACATGATACAAATGAACTGGAATGATGATTTTTAAGTAATTATGAGTGACATCAACAACTTTCTAAGGAGAAAAAATGTCAAAATGTGTCGTCATACAGAAGCCAATCAGAGATTTGGGATGGGCACGCTCCTAGTCATTCAACCCGAATCCACCACAAAGGGAGAAGAGACATTATATTCCAGGTAACACAGGTAATAGGACTTGTAGGGCAACGAATCCCATTTCAAACAACATCGTCGTGCTGCTATCACAGGCAGGCGAAAGGAAGGCTGCCGTTTTTCACTGATTACCACACTTTTCCAAGGTTTTCGATGCCCGAGGAGCCGGAGTCGGTGGACGGCAAATTTACCTCTGTTCATGTAGACCCACGGCGCCCCGAAGATCACGCCGATGATGGCCATCCCAGCGAGGACATGCTTCTTCTCGCCACTGTAGAGGAAGTGCTCTACCTTGGACCGAAATCCGCCGCCGCCGCTGCCGGCCATTTCTCCCTTCTGTCGTGGAGGTGAAGTCGCGGTGGCGTACTCGCCAAGGTCGTTCTGGTGTCCACGCTATGAAGGGGACTTACTGAGTCGAGGTACTGCCCGATTCCCTCCGGTCTGGGTCGCGGTTCGCGGGATCGGCCGAGTCCGATTCGGATCGGAATCGACGGTCTAATCCGCCTCGATCAGGGGAAGTTTTCTAAAATTTAGAGTCCTCTATACCGCCTTATTTTATGTTAATAAATCATTTTGACGTTGTGGTGGGTGGATCTGACCGTTCAGATCTCGCTTGAGTCGACCACGTGATCTGATCACGGGCGTCGGGGAGACGAATTTGGGCCTGTTGAAGGCCCAACTAAAAATGGGCCGAAAAGATAGTGGTCCATTTAAAACTCCTCGGAGAGGTTACTTCCGTCATTTCATGCGGATTCAGAGGGCGGGAAAATGCGCAGGGTCGTGCCTGGTCGAAAAGGAAGAAGGGCGCTCAGACAACACGGAAGCTAAACCCCCCACTCTCGGCGGGTTCCCTGATCGGAGGATTGCTCTCTGCGATTTACGGTGGCTTTCGTTCTCTGTTGAGCCTCTGTCGGAGATCTTCCGATGGAGAGAATATATGTCACAGTTCGTGCCAGGCCGCTCTCTGCAGAGGACGCCAAATCCAGTCCCTGGAGAATATCGGGAAATTCCATAAACCTCACTAACCAGTCAGCCAAATTCGAGTTTGGTATGTTTTTTTTTTATAGTCCGTAGTTCTTTTTGTATTTTTATATCTTAAATGTGTTTTGCCATTCAATACCGTACGATTGATTACTAAGTTGGTGCAAAATTCAGATAGAATATTCGGGGAAGGATGCACGACCAGGGAGGTCTATGAGGCCCGTACGAAAGAGATTGTAGCTTCTGTTGTACGCGGTTTCAACGGTAAGTGCTGGTATGGTCCTTTCTTCGAAGACGTGTTTACAGCTGCTGCAGACTGATGTCCTAAAGCCACTGAAAGTGCCTTTGTCCTTTGTCATGGATTGTCCTACCCTTCATCAACATTGAAAGAGTCAAACGTTATTTCTGTTTTTCCATTCAAACATTGGATTTTATTTTGAAAGCTCTTGTATGGGTCCATGAAGAGAAGTTGTACGATAGATGGGTTACTCATCAAGGAGAGCGCTTAAAATGGTTACATTCCCGCATTCAGTTTCTTTTGGAGAATGACATAATGTCTCTACTTCCATTTTCTTTCGATGCTTAGTTAACATGTGGTACTGTCCACTTTCAGAAGACAACATAAAGCTTTTGTAGCGTGAAGAGGTAATTCGCCTCTGATCTTTTGTATGTATTGATTTGTTCGTAAGAACAGAATCAATTCTATACCGGAACACTATTAGCATTGCATGCCTCATAATTTGTGGTGGAGATGGGGATCCAAACCTTAGTGGCTGCTTTGGCACCGAAAGGTTTCGGTTTTCCAACTTTTATTTCATTACAAGTGCTCATTACCTTTTGTTATTGGATTCCTGTTTTCCTAGTTAATGCGTAATCTGGTTTAAGTATTCATGTATATCTTTTCAGGTACTGTATTTGCTTATGGGCAAACTAATAGTGGGAAGACTCACACTATGAGAGGATCAATAACTGAACCGGGGATAATCCCCCTTGCTGTTCATGATTTATTCCAAAGCATAGAAGAGGTTTTTCTCTTTGTCCTCTCTCTTGCTCACGTTATCTCCTGTACCCCTTTTAATATACCTCTAAAACGTACCAGAGGTTTCTTCATGGTCGTACATGTGTTTGTACCTCTAATTAGGGATATTGATGAGCTGGGTTGGAGAACTCAAGCCTTACTAAAATGACAGCTTGAGCATTGTTCCAAGCTTCATTTTTTGGCGCTGCCAAAGCCGTCCTGCATAATTTCATGCAGGCTTTCATGCCTGCGTGTGCTTGTGTAATTTTATTATCAACATATGAATTCTACTTTATATTGTGTCATTATCATATATTTGCTCGTGCTTTTGGGATTCAGCTTTTGCCAAGTTTAACACATTCAGATGACTATTGATGCATCATTCTTCTTGCTGTACCGCGTGTAACAATTCATATGAAGTTATTCTTCTAACCCAGTCTGGCCACTGATGCTCAATCCTGACTAAGATATTGGGCGTTGGTAGCATACTGATGTCCCCATTCATAATCCTCAGGAATATGCATTCGGGGACGTCAAAAATTTGATTTTTACTCTAATGACAACGGAATGAATGATAACTTCATATGAAAACAAAGAGTGTTGGATTTTCTCTGCTAATGCCTGAGATAATTTCATTGATCTGAAGCAATTTTAGAATCCGAGGGCATAAAATGTTATTCAGCAGATTAATTCGGAAGAAATTAGATTTTGGTTTTTGACAAGGCAAAGTTTCACTTTATTGTAAAATTTTGACATAGATTCTGGAATATTTCTTTATCATCGGAATTGAAAAGTTCAGAAAAGCTAAGATTGTGTTGAGTTTGGAGTTGTTGCACTGGTAGTAGCTCGACATATTACTCTACCTTTTCCAAACATTATGGTCTTTTCTAATGCGTTGTTTTGTTTTGGGTTCCTGGAACGGGGATATCTTTGAATAATTATAAGTCGTTTATCTTTTCAGAACTCAGACAGGGAATTTCTTGTCCGCATGTCATACATGGAAATATATAATGAGGAGATCAATGACTTGTTGGCGCCAGAGCACCGAAGATTACAAATTCATGAAAGCCTTGAGGTAAATATTTTGCATTTATAAACTGGACTAACACATCTTATGTTCTCTGACTATCCTCTCGCTACGATTTGAAAGAGAGGTATATTTGTTGCTGGATTGAGAGAAGAAATAGTTGTCTCTCCTGAACAAATCATTGACTTAATGGAGTTTGGAGAATGTGAGTTTCCCCCATCCACTTGATATCTACCTTTTCTTTGTGCTTGAATTTAAGTTGTGGTACTTTCAACTGTACAGCACATCGCCACGTTGGGGAGACAAATATGAACGTTCATAGTAGTAGATCTCATACAATTTTTCGCATGGTAATGCTATCACCCAAGGCATCCATCCATAGTTTCTGAACTTTAATTTGGGAATTTTAATGTAATGTTATTGTGGTTGACAACTAGATTATTGAGAGTAGGGAGAAGACTGATGACCATGCTGATGCTGATGCGGATAGTCAGTGTGATGCTGTTCGTGTATCTATACTGGTAAGGGCAGATTATTAGTTCATTAAAATATTTTATTATAAGTTTCTTACTCGAAGTATAATTTGTTTTCCTGCTTTCCATATTTCCTGGCTTCCAGAATTTAGTGGATCTAGCTGGCTCCGAACGTGCTGCTAAGACTGGTGCTGAAGGGGTAAGATTGAAAGAGGGTTCCCATATAAATAAAAGTTTAATGACGCTTGGAACTGTGATAAAGAAGCTCAGCGAAGGCACTGAGAGCCAAGGGTGATCTTTCTCTACAAGTGTATGTCATTCCTGTGTTTTTTCGCTGAAGGTCCCATTTAACTTTTTTCATTCTTTCTGATGTAGGGGTCATGTGCCATATCGGGACAGCAAACTTACTCGCATTTTGCAACCTGCATTGGGTGGAAATGCAAATACAGCTATCATCTGCAATATTACTCTTGCTCAGGTGATTCTGTAAAATCTTGATAGCTTATAACATTTCTTGGTCTTTACCTTTTTATTCTCGTTGCATCAATGTTTCCTTCTTTTTTAATTATGAGAGGACTCTTATATTGTGGATAACTGCTGAGTGTTACTTCTGTGGGTTATCCTCACTGTATATTCACCCACCCAACCAACATTCTGAAACCTGTGGGTGTTGAACCTCGGACCTTGCTCCTTGAGGCAAGCTCCCCAAATCACCAACCCTACGGTCAGCAGGTAATCTTCTTCTCTTACTGTTTTAGCAATCAGTCAACCTTATTGTTGTAGACAGTTAGAGGTACTCATTGGATGCTTGTAAGCCGGCATTCCCTCATTTTAGGCTTCGTGACTGTTGAGCGTGGGGTCCTTTCTGAGGCAGGGCACCACAAGATATCCTCTATCACCACTGGGTAGTTACCATTGTTTCCTGGAAATGAAGCTAGTGTGGGAGTCTGATAAGGCCCCAAGTATTATTACTTATGCTCGGAGGGGGAAAGTTCCATCAGAGTGGAGGTTCATAGATAAGAATGAATGAAGGTAACATTTTGGGTTTTCAAAGTGTAGCCATCATTTTTCCCAATGTTGAAATGAATGAATGAGGTATGTGACTATTTCCAATCCAATTGCTTGTCTGATTCAAAAAAGGATAGACCAATCAGTCCTGATGTGACACTTCCTGGGCGGATGGCTGTAAGTTGTTGATGTGATATTTGGCTGAAACCAAATGACTGTTCATGTTTTGCATAATTTGTTAGCTGAAATGAATGGTATATGTTTTGTGTTTTGAGAATCGGGATGGCTATTCATTACCCTATGATTCAGCTGTGTAACGTTATTGGATAATGTTAGAAATGGAGAAAAAACCTTGTCACGAAGGATGGAGGGGAGAACGGCGGAAACTGCCTCAAGATTCATTCAACTCTAACCCCCATTATATAGGGAGTAACAATACACAACTTTTGCCAAAACACCCTCAACTAATTACACTGTTTTCCTACAGCCTAGAAGTTCTAACACCCACCCTCAAGATGAACTTTGAAAAATTCATCTTGACTAAATTGGTGATGACAAAACTTTTTGCTCTCTGAACATTCATTTGTTGGTGATGACGAAGACCTGTTGTGGCAGCAACTCTCTCTTTGATGGTAGTCATAGATGACCGCCATTGAGGCTGTGGATTCGCCGACACCTCTGGCTCCTCTGATGCTTGTCATGCCCCAAGGACAGCTTACCATGGATATGATAGCGCCAAACACCTGAAACTTGATCATGATGCTCACTATGTCCTAGCGTTGTAGAGCCTGGCTTGGAGTCATGAGATAGTTGATAGGGTGGCACCAAGCATGCGGAGAGTATCCCTCTGCTTGGAGATCTCCATAGTACCAAGATCTGATGCAAAGGCTCTCAGCTATAACGATTGATGTGATGATGGGGCTTAGCTCTCAGGAATGATGTAGGCTAGCACCCCTCCCACCGATTGAGTAATAAACTCGCAGAGGAACTGGAAGGTGAAGGCCATTTCAACGAAAGCAGAGGTGAGCAGACAGCACCAGACAACATGGACTGTAGCAATGTGGAGTGTGGAGAACTTTGGTCCCCAGACTAAGGAAGACAGAACTGATGCTTAATAGAGGGAGACAGACTGAGGAGGACAAAGTACGACACTAGATTGAGACAAGCGTGAATAAGAGGTTGATTTTACGACACTAGATATTTCAGCCTCTAAATAGAAGGCTTGATGTAGACAGAAATGACGCCAATAAATTTCACGATGTTGTTGACGAACCTGCTATTGATGAACTCAAATATACTGTCAAATAATAGATGAAGATTAGTGCTCTCTCATTGTAGAACTGTCTCGCCAGCAGAGAACTTTGCTGTAAGAGGAGATGATAGTGGACTCGTCGTCCTAGACTAGAGGACTAACAGAAGTAGACTGCGGTAAATGGTGGAAAGAAAACCTGCTCAAAATGGCAAGATATCATACCTATAAACGATGGAAAGATAACACGCCTTTAATGGCGCAATAAGTGCATCAAGATAATGCTAGAAAGAAATTCGGGAGAGGCAGACGGCCTTGCCGGAAAGACACTTGGCAGAGACAAGTGCCTCGCTAGAAAGATACTCGGCAAAGATGGAATGCCTCACCGGAAAGGTACTTGGCAGAGGTGGCAGGCCTCGCCGGACAAAGAGGGGTTTGAAACCCTAGCCTGTAACCTGTCTGTCGTCAGATGCCAGTGATGGTGCCATCGATGCTCCCTCAGACAAGAAATGCCAGGTAGAACTTACACCAAACAGAGGTGACAGCAGTGGAAAGAAGACACCGGATATTGCCAGACTCTGGTGGTGGCGGTGATGGTGCTTCCCCAGACAACAAACGTCGGACAGAGTCAACAAAACTTAGTGGAACGAACCCGCTCTCACACCAGGCCATAAATCCTCCAATCATTATGTTTCTTTTAACAGCTTTTGTGAATTTGATCCCACAATTCTTTCACCGAATGCATGAATAAGAAATTCTCATACATCTTTGGTGTCATTGTACTTAGCAGTCATGTATGGAAATAGCCTCTTATGATTTTCATCCTCTATATTTCGGATCTGACTGCTTCAATGGTTCTTCTATAAGGTAATCTGTTAAGCATCTTCCAAGAAGTGTCAGATCAACAAACTAGCTCCTGTTGATGAAGATTTATCCCATTAAGTTTAAATTTCTCTGGGATATTCGAGAGAGTATGATATAATCTCTCCCTTTCTCTAGTCATCGCTGGAGATGATGCGAGTTCCATGGATGATGAAGAGCCTCCCCCTGAATGTATTCTGAAAGTCTTTTTCCTTTGTACTTTTCAGAATGCCTCAGCTCACTGCTTGCAGAAGGTTTCTTTCTTCCTTGGTATTGCTCTAATACAGAATCATGAAAAACAATATTCAAGAAAGAAGAAACAAGAAGCATCTGATCCTACCAAAATCAACACTGCTCTGATACCATGCTGGAAATAGAGAAAAAACCTCGTCGCGAAGGACGCAGGGGAGAACGGCAGAAGCCGCCTCAAGATTCATTCAACTCTAACCCTCATTATATAGGGAGTAACAATTCACAACTTTTGCTGAAACACCCTCAACTAATTGCACTATTTTCCTACGACCTAGGACTTCCAACAGATAACATTGAGACGTGGATTTGTTCATTTTCTTATATGAAGAAACCGTGTTTTCATTTGATGTCATGTTTTCTTACAACTTGAGTCCGAGTTCCAGCTCTGAACTAATTTTGCCTCCGGGTTACGGTTACTCTTAGTTTTTCCCTAGAGGCTGACGTGAGTTTTTTTTTGTCTGATTGCAGATTCACTCAGAGGAGACAAAGAGCAGTCTCCAATTTGCTAGTAGAGCTATACGCGTGACAAACTGTGCATGTGTAAATGAGGTAGCCTAATGCAGTTTTTGGTTTTTTACTTGGGTATTCCATGTCTGGCAATAACTGCTGCTGTGATTCATTTGTATGCACTAAAATATGATATAGTTTATTGCTTATCTTCCCGTGTCCTCGCTTGCATAGTGACATGACTTAGATGGTATTCTTTTTTGGTGGTATGCTTTTTTCGTCCACAGATATTGACGGATGCTGCTCTGCTTAAGCGTCAGCAGAAAGAGATTGAGGAACTTCGAGCTAGAATGCTGGTCTTCCTTCTCACCAATAGTTTTTTTATTACATTTTGACCTAAAAAATAATGGATGTGATATCTTGATATTTGTATATCAGGCTTCTCATTCTGAGCACTGGGAACAAGAGATCCTTAATTTACGGAATACATTATTGCAAGTATGACAAAAAAAATTTGTTTGCATTTCTCATTAGGAGTGATGAAAATCTGGCTTTTGTTGTTTTCTTTACAATTCCTGTATTTGTTGTTATTTAGAGTGAACTAGAAAAGGAAAGGATAGCTCTCGAGCTGGAGGAGGAAAAGAAAGCCAAAGCACAGCGTGAGAGGAGATTGCAAGAACAGGAGATAAAAATTGCAAATTTAAGCTCTATGGTATTGGACACAAAAAGGGATGACAAGGCCAGCCTCACTAACAAGGTAGAATGTATATTGATATGTGGACTTTTTTTATTGAAACATGTTTCCTTATTATATCCTCTAATTGTTCCCAATGATTAAAAGAGATTTTCTTGTTTCAATCATCTTTTGACAATCTCTTCTTTAGCTACATACCCTAGTCTCTATCACCTGTTATTAATCAATTCGATTGGACTTTTCTCTTCATTCAGAGTACCAGACGAAACACTTGGTGCCCAGGTCCCTTAGCGTTGAACCCTGGCAATGGTGTAAGTGATTGCTTAATTTAGGGTAGCCAATTGGTTTTCTACTGTCAAGAATATCTTAAAAATTCCAGTATTCAAGGATCATGGATTGAATAAAAAATAGAAACTTCGTATAGTTCTTTATGCTGTTTTCAGCTTTGTAATTTTATTTAATCTTCATTTTTCTCTCTCGTTCTTTATCATATTCATTTGACACGCACGTTTATGTACCTCTATTTCTTTTTCCAGAAGCGATCTTATGAAAAACAGACATGTTTCGCAGGGTAAAGTTTTCCCTCGAGTAGCTTACTCTCTTGGCCAAAAACTAATGCCAAATAGTCATCTTGATGAAAGATATTTTCTGCTCACTTATCCCTTCATTGCCCATTTTTCCTAGTTCACACATTATGTTCTGGGATAAGGAATTTGTCCATCTTGTTTTTAATTTTTCTCGCTATGTTCACTTGGCTTATTTTTGGCTCTTTTCATGTCATACCGGGATTCCTGTGGTTATAGATTCCTGTGGATTGACTGGGTAGCCCTTGCTTTGATTCTTGTTTACGCTTTGAATTGCCTTTTTCTGTTCTTTAGAGTTTAGAGCTAAGTTTTAGGATAAAGAAAACGAAATTTTATCTGTAAGGAACATAAGAGTCACATGATACAAAGAAGCATTTATGCTATTCTGTTCTTGAAGATGGGCAGTTCGCGGATCAGAAAAACTCATAGTCTGTGCGTACCCTATTTGGAAACCCTAATTTGGAGAGGTGTGTAATTATCCCAGTCCTTGAATAAAAGTAAGTAAGAACGTCACCTAACAATAAGCTCTGGGATCCATACTATTTTGTTCATGATTTACATTTTCACCCATTTCTCTCAATAATCTGAATACCAACCTTTGACCGTTGTTTTGTAATTTTTTATACCACAAGTTCCAAACCTTCACCACCTTCTTCTCAAAACAGTCTTCTCTCGCTTGTCTAACAAGAGCCATCATTAGAAGGTTGAGGCAGGTATATGAAGTTGACAATCATTTCTGGATTATCTTTACATGGATGGTGAGGAAACCAGCAGGGATACATGTCACCGAATATGACGTGATCATTCTTTTCCTTAGACCTAGATGGCTCTCTTTCTATTGCCCTTCCTATCATTATTAAGGAATGTTGTGTTGAAGGGGGGGGGGGGGGGAGAGACACTCAAACTACCAAGGTAAATTGGGAAGAAGCAAATCAAAAAGTTGTGTGCATGCCAATGATTCAGATGTTTCTGAGTATTCCTAGATTCGTTTTCATCCTTTTTTGCTTAGCTTGACTATCGTTCAGTAGTCGTCGGATATTTCATATAAATTTGGGCACTCTTGTCCTAATGCAATAACTACTGGTTTGGATCAAATCTCACCATAATTGGCATCCAATGTCCTACTTGAATCCCTTGTTTAAACTACTGTTTTGGACCGAATACCCAATAGTCATTGAAATTCATTTTTAAGCCGGTGATAAGATTTCGATTTTCAGTACTTGGTTAAGTATTATAAACCAAAATTCTGTAAGCTTTTAGAATGGAAATTTTTACAATGTTTAATTAAATTCTGAAATCTGGTAGAGAAAAAACTATTTATCAGATAAACATACTTAAGAAATGCTGTCTTAGATGTAGATAGTAAATCTTCATAACAGATATACTCGGGTCGAATGTACATGTTCGTATACTTATTAGGCTCTCTTACTTCATGTGTCAATTGCTAGCTTTATTTCTGGGTCGATCAAAACTTTTTGTCATTGTTATCCATATCTTTGGTCCAAAAGGTTAGATCGGGTATCTGTTCCATTCAATAAATGTTATCTGTCAAACTTTTTCAAGCTTGAAGATCCATCAACCTAAACCTTGAATCTGGAGAAACAAAAAGAAATATCTTATCCTTTTGTTGAGACTTCTAGTGTTCAGTTCTCGTAATACATTTACCACCAATTAGCAGGTTGGTGCCAAGAAAAATGTGGATTTGCCGGTTCCATTTGAAGATTTGGTGGAAAAAAATGGCGCTGCAATGCTGGAAGACATACCTGAAGATGTTTTAGCACCAAAAGATACCCTTTCAGGTGGTGATTGTAGCCTTCCTGATGCACGTGCATTGTTGCATGTTACCAGCCGTAGGAAAGTTCAGCACAAAAATGCAGGCTCTCCAATGGTACGTCTCCTGCTTTCTTTTTGCAAAAGGGACTACATTCACATCTTTTCTCCATGGCTGAGGTTATGGAAGGCGATTGACACCTAATTTCCACTGGCAAAACGTGATTTCATGCTCCTTTCCCCTAAGTTTCTGTCACCTTTAACACTTTTAGTTTCTATGTGCTTCAAGTAAAATACTTCTTGGTTGATTCATTTCCCCAGGGAAAAGAAATCAATACAGAGATTGAACTTGCTGAAAAGGAATCAAAATTCTTCCAAGACTGGATATCTGTTGAAAATGGATGCATCATGGAAGAGGACTCAGAATGTTCATCAGGTTGGACAAGTTCTATGTCCCAGCCAAAAGAAAGTGTCTTGTCTGAGGATGAGCGCACAACTTTAAGAGACTCAGACGTTGGTCTGATCAAGCAACTCCAGGTGCTTGTCCTCGACCTAGTGCGCAATTATGACTCATTATTTGAACTTTGTTTGTCACATCACTCTTCGTATTATGTTATTCACTGCTTTCAAGAAAAGGCTATGTTATTGACATAACTACTGTAGACGGATATATCTTTTTGACCCTGAGGAATCAGATAATGATGGTGAAGCAACATACTATTGTTTGGAAGAAAATATACTTATAACTCTTTTCTTACCATTGTACCATAGAATTTTAATTCCCGTAAACGTGTGGCTTCTTTTTGGATCTCTTTTAGAAGTTTACTAGAAAGTGCAGAATTTGATGGATTTGACATAGTCAAAAATTCAGCAGTTTGATATGCTATCTTGAGAGCGAGATGACTTACAGATTTTTGTAAAGAAACTTCAGCAGTTTAGCACAGGTTGAATTCTTTGTAGCAAGTTATATAAGTGATCATTTCACTACTCTGGTCAAATTAGGATTGGGACCCCCTGGTCCATTTGTTGGGGGATTTCGATTCCCTTGAACGATCTAGGCCTAACACGGCATATCAGCTGATCTATGAAATGAATCGGCCTGAAATTGAATGCTTTGGTTCGAACTTATTTGGATTGGCCAGTTCCCAAGTAGGTACTGCTAGCAGACGGAGAGGAGGAAAAGTAGAAAAGGAAAGGGTGAAAAATCGTTATCAACTGCTATGGACTGCCATTGGCAGCTGTAGCATCTGTAGGCAGCTACTGACATCAGCCACCTCCACTTTGTATGCTTCTCCTGCCAAATGACCCAGTGATCAGGCTCGGGTGTGGGGTTTTTGTATAAATGACAGCGTTAATATTTTATTTTGTGAAACATTTTAGATATCATAATTTTATCGTAAAACTATTACCATATAATATTTCTTCTTTAATCCAAACCCCCCACTTGCGTTATATCCAATGATCTGGTTAAGATGATCTTGAGTTTATGGACTATGTGCCACAAGGAGCTGAGGTGAGCACAGCATTTTGGTAAGCATGGGAAGTCTCTAATCTAATAATAAAGGTGATTTACATTTGAGGAACATTTGTCATTCAACCTGTTTAAATAAATTTCCTTTATTTTAATGTATTCGACTTATGATACTTAACGTGCCTAGCAGCCCTAGTAAGCATATTTTTACTAATGTAATGGTCCGCTTTCTGATATATACACTGGAGATTCATTGCAGTGATTATGCTGTTTGTTTCTTCTCTCTTAACATTGTATCAGGGCAAGTTCAGGCTTTCACTGCCTTTCTGACTTGACTTTTCGCCAACCTCCTTGAAATGTGAGCTGACCACTGTTATCCTTTTCTTTAGTAGCCACGCGGTGCTTTAGTGGCCATCAACTCTTCTATCATCATTGAATCCATCTTCCTACTCCTTGTGCCCCTTAGTTGTCCCTTCTTCCTAGATGGTCATTGTGTTGTTGTTTGACAAGCAGTTCCCTCCAGCCATACAGCAGCCACTCATCAAATGGAACCACTTCCAAGCCTTTCCACCCACTGCATTTCTGTCTTGCTCTGTTGCTGCTGGAGAATATCATCCTCCTTGACATAATAGCCCTCTTCTCTCTTCTTCCTTCCTCTTTAACGAAAGATGTGCAAATAACATCTAGAACTTTTTCTAGCTGTTGTCGCATGTGCATTTTGGGTGTCCTCTGGGGCCTCTTCCCCTTTCTGTGAACGCAGTTGGATCCCAACTACTACAGTATCCAATTTGACTTATTTGCAACCACGATTTCCGTCTGATCACCATCTCTCACGGTGATGACATGGAAAGCTATCATTCTTGCTCTTTTGCATGTTTTCTCTCCTCCATTCTGGACTTTATCCGTGCAAAACACTACTTGATGCAACTAAGGAGAGTCACCATCGCTCTTATGTTGTCTGAATCTCTCTTCTTCTCGCTTAGGATGGGAGGAGTCTGTTGAATATAATACTCTTCGTTTTCTAGATGCACATCTTCTCAATAGATTTTTTTTAGCTGGGATTATTGCCTGCCCTATTGTTTTGCTGCATGCTACCGTTGCTCAATTGATTGTTCTGCTATTACTACATGCCTCCTGGTATTGTCCGTACACAATCTTTTTCCTGTGGTGATACTCTATAATGGCTTCCTCCACATATTCTGTCATAAAACCATTAAGGAGTCACCATTTTCTGTCTTATGTAATGATCTGGAACACGATTGATATGCTCCACCTTGTATGAGAGTGTTATAATATGTAGTTTTTTTATGACAGTGGGTGGCCCAGTTGGCTTAAAGGAAATCAGTCACAATCTAACTACAAGAATACTATTAGACTTGTATGTTTAATATATATGTTGGCATGGAATGCCAAACTGAGTACAAATGTTAAAAACTTGAAGACATGAGATCACAATGAACAAAGAAAAATCAAGGAAAAAGGCTAATACAGCCGCAAACTGTGTCACCTACGTAACCATTAACTTGCGTAGAGCAATTACTAGGATCGGAAATTCTGATTGAAAATAGTGAATAAGGTCATGACGTTGCCGTTTGAGTGAAACATGGATCCTTCATAAAATTTCCTTCATCCGGATGATATTTATCTGGAATATCTAGGCATTCAGGAAATAACCAAATGCTAATATTCTAAGGGCATAAAGGTCATCTACTCTATTCTGAATGACTTGGATTATAATTGAGTCGCTATTTGGAGCAGCGCTTCATTCGTTTTATTCTCCTTTTTAGTTGGTGATTTCAAAATGATTCCTACTTGTTATTTTTTTCCCTCTGATAATAAGATCCTACATCCCTCCATAAAGATTCTAGCTTTAGTTCTTTTTATTGCATTAAGCTTTTAGCTCTTTTCGCTAATTTGAAACCATAAATTTAAAATGTTTTGCCAGGAAAATATGGTGAACATTTTTATTGAGAACATACAAGATGTAGCATTTGAAGTTCAGCACTCAAGTGATACTATTGAGGAGGCATCTTCCTTTATTGAGGATCTCTTCCCGGCCTTCTCTGCCTTTTTGAAAACATTCCTGGTAATCATTTCTTACCGCTTTCATCCTTTGTAGACGATGCGAAGGGGAAAGCGAACTTGGTGAGCTGTAACACCATGGGGTTAGCAATATATATGCTTCCGTTTATGGTCTGTGGTGCAGTGAATTCAATGGAAATTTAGAGTTGCAGATCATTGTAAATTTTCTTCTCCTTTTCCACTTAATCTTCGTAACAGCATCTTCATTTTCTATTACTGTTGCACAGGAACTGAAAGCACTGGCATCGCAAAGTATGGAGCAGATCAAGGTCATTGCTGATGGTCATGAGAAACTGCATGGCTTTATGAAAACAAAGAATGCTGAACTTGAAATTGAAAAGGTATAGCTTGAAATGAAATAACATTCGTATTATGCTGCCCATGGAAGTTTCATGGGACTTACTTGATATCATTATTCAAGAGTGCAGGGTCTTTTGCACCAACAAACCTCTGATCTCCACAAACGCATTCAGGAGCTTCTTTTGGATTCACAAGAAAGGGAAAGGGCAATGAATGTAAGCGACTAACTAGTCATTTATTATTCTCTATTTTTGGCGTTTATTCGTTTCAAAGTTTTTTATTTCTTTACAGGAAGCGGCTCATCAACATAAATCGGAGAAGGATAAACTTCTTGATCAAATTCATGGTCTCCAAAAAGAAGTTTCATGTCTCTCATCTTCTTCGTTGGTGAAAGAAAAGGAAGCTACGTGGAAGGAGCTCGAAAAGACAAAATCAAAGTTAAAAGATACTGAATCGAAGCTTAGGAATACCATACAAGATAAAGTCAGACTAGAGGTTTCTGGAATCCAGTGTTCTGCTGTTCCTTCTGACCGGTCCAGTTTATGTTTTTGTACTTAAACATTATTTTTCATTGGTATGGACTAAATTGTTCTCTTACCAGAGTGAGAAAGCACAAGCTGAACGAGAGATAAAGCATTTGCATAGTCAGAGAAATCTTCTTGAACGTGACGTCAGCAAGCGCGAGTCAATTGCTAGGCGTGAGTCGAAAGCTCATGATTTTAATAAATCAAAGGGTCATGGTGGCCCAGCCAATCAAATTCGCCAGGTAGTTATGAGTTTCAAAGGCACTCTTCTTTTAAACTTCACCTGAGAAATGCTTGTTCAAGGTTTTGCCTGGATGCATCCTTTGCAAAGGTTACGTCAGAGCTTTTATAATAATTCTTTGATATCTTTCAATGCCTGCGAAAGTCAAGCTGCACTTCTTCACTGGTAAAACATTCTTCTGCTTCTTGGGTGTTGTCTCGAATGACATTTACTGTCTTGGAGTTTGGTATGAAATTGTTTCTTAGGTGACTGTTTGGTTTTCCTTTGGAAATATAGGATTTTTCTATTTTAACTGTTGATTATCGTGGTGGGTACCTAGATGTAGAATGAAAAAAACCAGAAAAATAGGCAAAATCTTTCCTCCAAATCTATGAAGTTGCGACTATCAGTCAGTAGAGAAGGATGAAAGGATGAGATAATACATGGACAACAGCAGTACCAAGGAGATGACAATCTAATAAAAATGTTGTCGAGCACAATGGAAATGGAACTGAAAATAGTAGCAATAAAATCGTAGTCAATACTACCACAATAAGTAAACTGTAGAATCAAAAATCTCTATGAAGCTGATTTATGCAATGACAAGATGCAGACTACTCTCCTCATCATATGTAGGTTTATTGCCCTTTATTAGACATAGACATGTGTTTGCTTTTTTTCCCAAGTGTGAATCCCATTGTGGAAAGTGAATGAGAATGCCAAAATGTTTTTGTGGTTGAGATCGGATGTACAGAACAATGTAACTTGGGAACAAAATAAACGAAAACGATTCCTTTGTATGGTGCCAGGTAAGTGTACCGATCTGTTGAAAAATGTTCACTAACAAAATCTCCCCCAAATGTTTTCAAGGTTTTTTTTCTAAATCAAATTTATTAGTTTTTTTTTTCCAGATTTGGAGTTTAGCAACTCGTGTGTTTTCCTATCTTTGGTGAACATCTGTCCAGCCCATTGACTTGTTGACTGAGCTATCGGTCTTTTAGAAAGTGCATTATACTATACATTCATAAAATGTCAAAGGGAAAATCGTAATCCTATTGTAATTTTACTTTGAGTATTTAGGCTGACTATGAGAAGCTGGAAATCTGCGCATTTGAAATGGAGGCGGAGATTGCCTCTTTGGAAGAAAAATTGATGGCTGCAATTACCCAAAAAGAAGAAGTTTTTGTCAAAAATGTCTTCCTTGAGGAGGAGCTGGAAGCCTTGTCCAACAAGTTGAACACTGCTGACTCAGAGTTGAATTTAATGAGAGAAGAAATTGGCAGCATGGTACACGCCATCTATCAATTTATATTTGATTAAACACACTTTTATTTGAACAGCTAATTCTCCCAAATTGTTCCACATTTCAATATTGCATATAAAACTTTCATGATGTTACAGACTCTCAAGTTGGATGAATGCGAGTGTACTCGTGGAGAACTAGAAGCTTCCCATGATTTGATATCCAGAGAGAAAGAAGAGATGGCTATGGTGAGTCACAATGAAAGTTCACATACAATATTGATGTCGTACAGTTTATCCCCGTGTGAGTATAATTTACGGATTTAATTTCTATGTTCCAGCAACTTACTGATGCCTTGCTAGAATTTGAGGCCGAGAAGTCTGCATGGTCTACTACGGAAAAGGCTTTATTGGATTCTGATGAAAAATCTAGAAATGAGATTGCATTGCTATCTGAAAGTTTTTTAAAGGTATCGAGATAAATAATTGAATTTTGTCAGATATTAAGTTGTTGCTGATAAGATTCTTTAGAATTCATAATTCTCTGGGCTTTTGCTTTTGAGTTTTGTTTATATCATCCTCCATCGTGAGGTCTAACGCAGGTCTGTGCCCAGCTTCATAACTGTGTTTATAATCTGTGTTTCAGCTTCTGTGGTGATCCCTAATTGATGCGAGCTGCTTAAAGACATCAATGATCATGACTTTAGAAATGTTGCTTTTTTGTTCTTTTGCTATGACAGTGCTTATAATCGCTCCCACCTGTTTTCTTTCCCTTGCTAATTTCAGTGCACACTGTCTGTAATGTCTTGCCATCTGTAGAAAATATTTTTCTGTGCATCTCTTTTAAATGTTTATCTATTGCCACGTCTACCTGTAGAATGTACGGGTTTGATTCCCCAGGCCTGTATGTGTTTAGCCACTCTCATACAACCAGCCCTTTTCTCCTATGTTACGGTCTACCTAGCCCTTTGTTCACATGTTAAGAGAAGTGAACGTGTGATCTACGGTCTACTGTTTCTGATGTAGAAGACCTTTCTAGGCATCGCACGGATGACCTTTATACTGCTGTGCCAAGTAATCAAGCATTTATTACCATAACTGACCTAATATTTTTCAGGAGATCAAGTAAACGGAGATTGATCTTATTTTGATACAAATCCTGGAAGTACCAGAGACCACAATGCTTTGAGATAACCTTAGCCGGGTTAACCAATGGATCGATACTTGCGTTGCTTATCATTTGAGGAATTATTTCTTATTAGTATTCCCGAAAAATGCGATAAAATTATCAGTTTCCAATTATTTTTAATCTCCGAATGCCTTCGTCTAAAACAGAATTCGCCATAACATCTCTGTTATCTTCATTTTCATTAATTAAAATACACCATTTTCATTAAATGAGTTATGATGTGGAACCTGTGAAGTTCTTTGGTGTCTACTTCTGAAGTTTAATAATTTCCATAAATTCTTTTTGATGAAATAGGTAAAGGGTGAACTGGAATCTTGCTGTAAACAGTCTGAAATTCTTGAGAGGAGGTTGGCTCTTTCTAAAGAAAATTCAGAAACAGAGAGAGAAAGCAGGTAAAGGATTATTTTCCCCAGATTTAGCTATTCATGGTCTCAATTACTGTCATGAGTGTTTATCTCATCCAATAATTTTCATTCACCATGTTAGTTTTGATCCTCACATTCGTGATTAGATTTCTTCCTCGTAAATTTTACTTGTTTCATTCAATGCCGCGTAACGATGCCATTTTTACCAGCTATGGTTTAAAGGAAAAACAATTTAGTAGTTCGTCAGTTCTGGTCAGAAGTTTCAGAATGATTCAGGATCGTGTTGGAAAATGATGATCGCGACAGCAACGCTAAGATTTGTACCAGAAGAGATAAAAAAAATAGGGCTACAAATGGACTGGATTCACCTGTTCCCCTCTCCTAATATTATGCGCATAATATAATCCCATCTAATGAACTTATCCTCTCATTTTTCAAGAGATATCCATTTGGCGGTTTCTTTATTATATCAAACGACTAATCAATTTCGGCATCTTCAATGTAAATGTGCGAGGTTCTCTTAGTTTTATCCAGCTTTCCTCTTATATCCTAAAGATGCTTAAACATACTGATTTACCCGTCCATCGAAGGCTTGATCGATGAGATTGCAGTCAAAGGACGAAGCATGTTACTGAGCGAAATGTGTCCTCTATGACTGTGCACATAGTAATAATTGCCTTTTTGGGGTTCCCTTGTTTAATGAACTGATCTCAGTGTCTTTCTAGTCATGGTGAATAATCTTCTTTCATCAAATCAAGTCTTAACCTTTGTAAGTACTGAGTTGAATCCTAGTGTCCACATTTAATTTAATGTCTTCTTTGGTGTAGCTTAGCGAAGTTGTTGGAGATTGCCCAGCTGAGAAGTGATCTTGAGAAGCTTGAAATCGACAGCCTCGTATACGAGGATGTAAGCAGCTCGTGATGCGTTTTCGGGTAGTCATTAATGCTAGATTAATTTTTGGATTGACTTTCATGTACTATGTTTCATGTACCTTTGCTTAGGTTGTCAAGTCAACTATTGAGGTCCTGTCATTAGAACATAATGGTGCATGCGAGCAGCTAGACAGACTACGGAGACAACTGCACTCTTTTCAGGACACAGAAAGGTCTCATTACCAATCCAAGCTGGATGAGATATCGGGTCAACTAGGCTGCCAGGTTTGCCTTTTCCATATATGCCCGTGCGCCTACTCTGATCTCACTTGGTCAATACATAGAACGGGACCCTTTTTCAAGAAATTGATGGAATCTTGGACTCCGCATTTCTCCACATCATTCATTGAGTTGACTTGTTTCCTCGTGAAAAGTAACTTCTTTTTCCGGAGACAGGTGACGATCGCTAGAAAGGATGTGAAGGAATTGTCTGAGCAGATACTCAACATGGAAGTCAAGGCACACCAAGTGGGTTTCCTGAAATTCTTAGTTTTATTGCCTCTAGACCTGCCAGTGGGCTGTGTAAGCTCACTGTCCAGTCATGCTGGGGCTTTGACTTTCTTCATGTCCACAAAGAAAAGTCAGCCCGGCCCAATCCCATCCGGGTTGAGTCCAAGGCTATTGATTATCTTCTTTCATAATGTTACCTGTCTTTCACATCGCCTGACCAACTCCTCCTGTCCACTCCCACAGGAAGCTCTGTCCAATGGCATCGAAAGAACGAAGCTTAGGAGGAGGTTAGGGTGGACGCAGGCAAAGCTGGATGCCTACCGAGGGAGGTACCTAGAAGCCGTAGAGGAGATGGGCCTCATGAACAGGAAGTTCGAGGAGGCATCCGCTAGACTGAAGGAGAAGCTGGCCTCCTACGGCATCCAGATTCTGAACCTCAAGAAGCAGCTCTCCACCAGAGATTGAGCCGAAACCAACACGAATCGCTGTAACCTATAGTTTTCTCTGTTATGTTAATTTTATTATCTGATCTAGTTTTAGGGCCTTGCGGTTGATGAGATGACCACATCGTCTTCGTTGACTAAAGTTTTAGCGAATTATGTGCATATGCTTGACTCTAGGATCTTCCAGCTGGACCCCGTCTGCACCCCTCGTGCTGGAGTAGGTCCTCGCAGATTCGGTTGGATTGACCTTTTCTAGTATAAAATAGACTGGACTCTCGGGCCTCGTCTTCTCCATGCCGTTGACCTTGGCACTCTATTTCTCGATATTTGATCTGCCACTGTCTATCTTTCTAAGTCTTTACATCAATGACAGCTTATGCTAACATGGGCACTGTCTGTGTACATGTATGTATACTGAGCGAAGTACTTGGAAGTTGTGGAGCAAAAAGTTTGAGTCTTTAAATCTCAAAAATGCCTTAAGATTTTGTTCATGAGGCCCATTTCTACGGCTTTTAGGTATATCCCTCAGTACGTGTATGTACACATACACATATGATGGCCATGTTAGCATTGGTTGCCATTTCCCTTCATAACTTGCTTTCACCGTGTACCCTGTTAAAAAGTTGACAATAAAGGGGAGAAAATTATAGAAAATTGTGTACTCATGGAGAAGAAGAAATGTATCACAATGATATTATGATGTGTATAAACATTGTCTTAAATATCAACTTTTCAACATTATGTCACTCACATCCACCATGCTTAGAAACATTCATATTTCATCCTGATTTTGTTGGGTTTAATGATTTTGGAGGGATATTGTTGGATTTAATGATTTTGATGTCAATAAATTAATTGCATAAAGTTAATATGAAAATCTATAAGAAAATATGTTTGAATATACTAGTTTATGAATCATCATTTAAATTCTTAGATCTAGTTTAATTTGTTGTATAAACACATCTTTCAGTTCTCAAATAAAGACAATGTACACCAAAATTATATAAAGTATCAAATTCGGTCAAAATAAAAGAGAATATATAATTTAGAAGATAAAATTGAAGAGAGAGAGAATGAGTAATCCATGTGTTGGCTCACATGAGGAGAAAGAAGCATGTCACCTCACAAAAGTATGTCTACTTATTTTTGGTCAGGAGAGCATGTCATCGTACTTTTTAGAATCTCATTTTGTAGTATAAAAAATGATTTTTCAGAAAATTACAACGTATTTTAATAATAGAAAAGCATTTCTAACAAAAATGATGTATTCAAAAGTTTGTCAAAAGCAGATCAAATTGATAATATGGCCGTGCCTAACCATGCAACCTATAAGTGGATAGACACATGAGTTGACCCAAATAATATTTGACTAATCATATCTCAATGATCTGAAGTCAAACGATCTAGATTTTGCACTCTATCAATAGCCCTTTGTAAGAACTTTGAAATAGTTCATAACAATATAAAATCTAAGTAAATTTTACTGCATTTTGATGAGCAGACAAACTTACTCAGCTCAAATTATCTACATAAGCTATAAAGCTATTAATTCAACAGCTACAACTGAATAGTTTATCATTTCACTATGAGACCCATGAGATCTATTAAATTTTATTGTTCCCATTAAATTAAGATATATTTCTCTAAGCGGGAAGAACATAAATCAAGGGTAAAACTCCTATAAAGTAAACATAGGCTAAGGAAAGACATAATCACTAAAAATTCTTGTTTGACATGATCTAAAATTTAGTGTGCCAACTATTGTCGACATAGCCAGGTCAACTAATGTGTCAACCCATTATGTCAACCCACTACGGTTTGTATTGTCTCACTTTTCTTTGAAAATTTTATAAAAATAATTTTAATTAATGAAAAATGCTAAAACACTCAAAGAAGCTAATTCACCCACCTATCGATATGCATTTAATCTGCTAGAGAACCAACGTTGCACCTAATGGCCATGCTAACATCAATTGTTAGTGATGTGAAAGGTTATAAAGATAGATCATGGGCAGACCAAATATTGAGAAATAGAGTGCCAAGGTCAACGGTATAGATAAGATGATGGCAGGGGAATCCATAATATATTTTATACCACAAATAGTCAATCTGACCTAATCTGCAGGTCATACTCCAGCACAAGGGGTGCAGATGGCGTCCTACTAGAGTTCCTAGAGTTAAAATATGCACATAATTTGCTTAAACTTTAGTCATGAAGATGATGATAGTAAGTCATCATCAACCAAAAAGGCCTTATTAGAAAGATGGACCACTTTCTAATCTTCATTTTCAAGAGATAGAGTGAATCTAGAACGTTGTTTCTTTTTATGGGTCAGTTGAGAGATCCCTAGCTCATTGCTTCTTGATGGAATAACAACCTAAATTCATTATTTCAGAGATAATAATGAATGGGGTCCTACCTAAAAGCATCCTCCTTTTGGATCAAAGGCAAGATGCGCGTACGTGTACTTGTGCACGTACGTGTATGTACTTATCTTCAGCGCGTATCCAGAACTTGGGTGTGGGCGCCGTCTTGCCGTGTGGACGTCGTCATCTGGCCGCGCCACACCAAAAAGCGGAGCTCGCGAGGAAGGAGCCGCACGTTCTCCTTCAAAAATCTCCGACAGGAGCTCCCGCCGCCGCCACCACGACTGCCTGCCTTCCGCCGCTCTTGATCTTCCGCTCGCGGTGATGGCGGAGTCGATGTCGCTCGGCGGAACGGCGCGGTTGCCCGAGAGACGGGCATGGCGGGAGGGACGGTGGGTGTGTTGCTCAGCTCGAGGCAGTCAGTCGATGGAGGATAGGAACAACAAGGTGTCCAAGGAGCTGGGTCGGTCTCGCTTTCCTTTCCTCCCTCCCTCCCCCCCTCTGTTCTCCCCTGGCTGAATTAGAGCCCCTCTGGTGGTTGTCGCCGATTGCTCGTTTCCCCCCCGCCGTCGCGGTATTCTCCGTCCGCTCGTGAACTGATTTCATCCATACCTGTGGTAATCTGCTGGGGATGGGGTTTTGCGCGACGGAAAGAGCGTCCGCATCGTTGAATTCAAGTAGGCTTGAGTCAACTTCGAGCCGCCGCTTTGTCCTGGCTTGCGGGGACATGAAATGGACGGAGATCGCTCCTCAAAATATTGACATCCTCCGAACTTGTACTCCGCTAGGTTTCTTTTCCTTCAAGAAGAAGATTGAAGACGCAGTTTCTCGTGCTCAAATGATTGCATCGGCAGCCCTCGAAGCAGAAGAAGCCAGACGAGTCGAGCAGGAGGAGGTTCTCCTTCGATACAATCTGTGGGATGACCCGACAAGATCCAGTGAATCTCTCAGAAGATTATCTAACGCCACCAAAGCTGTGAATGCTCTCAAGGACCTGCAATATAAGGTGCTGTGCTACCACAATAGCATAACGTGAGTCTACCAAACATCTGGCAAATTTACTGAGTGGGTGGACAGCACTCTTCTTCTGATCCTGCCACTGAAAATTCTTAGTTTCGCCACATAATTCTTCCGTCTCTCCTCATTTTTACCGATGTTCCTCCCCGCTCACCCCTGGAGTTCAATCTCTTGAAGAGCGCCATCCGTCTTTTTGTACTCTGCTTGAATAGGAATCAATGGATGCGCTCGAACTTCTGTTTGCGTTTCGATTGATCGATCCGTCCTCTGTCGTTGTTTCTCCGATCCTGCGCTACTTTCAGCCGGCAGTTTTCCTTTGTTTGTTGTCTTTTGGATTGCAGCCAACTTCTTAAGGTCAGCCAGGCCGATGATGGAAGATCTTTCCTCTTAACTGTGCAGGCTGAAGAAGCAAAACTAATAACAGAGCTGGCGGAGATGGACTCCATAAACCATCAACTATTCAAGCAGGCGTACGATGCCTCGGTGGATGTAAATAAATTTTTGGACCAATACGAGATGTCTAAGCTACTTACTGGTCCTTATGATCGGGAGGGAGCCTGTGTGACCATCACTGCTGAATCAGAAGATATTGCTTCTCAGGTACGAGGATCACAGTCTAAGCATGCATTTTTCTGTCAGTTTGAGCCCAGCCCAGATTGATGGGATGAACATAATTTTTTTCTCCTTCCTTTCGAAAATTTTAAGTTTCTATGGCCGCACATGATGATCGGTTAGATGGTAGAAATGAGATGGTTTACGATGGTGAGATGCTGATGTTATTTTCAGATTCCATGGGATTCCACAATGGATGAGGACTCATGAATACCAGTCAACTGTTCTTATTTTTCTTCTTCTGCTCAGAATTTCACGTGCTGTTGATGTCACTGGTAGGCGACGGCATTTATGGGCTTCCATTTTGCAGATGTGGGCGGAAAAGCTTGTAAGGATGTACACCAGATGGTCTGGAAGGCATGGCTATGAAGCGAGGGTTGTAGAAAGGGTCTCATCGCAGGGCATTGGTGTAAGTTTGGCGACCATCGAGCTTGAATCAGAATACGTTTATGGGTATCTCTCCGGAGAGACGGGAGCTCATCTGATGATCAACAACAGTTCCTCCAATGGATCGACTTCGCAGGAGGTACCCATCTTCTGCAATTTTAGATCGTAGAATGTCTGTCCCCATATGGGTTCCTTCTAAATTCGTGGAATTTCTGGCGTCACCCATGGCTTCATCCAGGAATTCTCTCCCCTTTTCCGGGTAGAAACCATGGAGGGAAATTTCATTGTCGTGTTAAATACGATTCGATTTGATTGATGATTTTCGCTCGCCATTTACAGTGATGAGGCATCCATAATCAGCTCCTGTTCCATGTTCGACGCAAATTTTCAGGCCATCTCGGCTGCTGTGGACGTCATCCCCCTCTTCCTGGAGTCGACTGCTGAGCTCCACGTTGATGAAGCTGACTTGGAGATATCCTCTCCTTCTCGTCACGACGGAGCGCCGTCAGGCCATGAAATGGGGTCTGCTGTCGCGATCCGCCACATTCCCACCGGCATCATCGTCCAGTGCTCAGGTCAAAAGCCCCTTCCCTGCCGTTGACTTTCTCGCTGGGTAGTCTGTCTGCTTTGGTTCATCGTAGATCTGATTATTGATTGCTGTAGGTTTTCCGTCCTTATAAGAATGTGGATAATTATTATGATTTCGACTGAAACTTGATGAACTGGGTTGGGGAGGGAAAGAACATATACATAAAAACCAAGAAAAAAGAGAGAAAAAAAGGAGAATCTAACTCGGCCCATCTCCGGTCCACGCGCAGGTGAGAGGAGCCGCTTTGCGAACAAGATGAAGGCTCTCAATCGTCTGAAAGCGAAGCTCCTGGTGATCTCCAGGGAGCAACAGGAAGCGGCGAATCCTAATGGGATCAGGAAGCCCGAGGTTCGGCGGAGGTACTTGCTCCGTCCCCAGAGGCTGGTCCAAGACGTGAAGACGGGCGTGCAGCTGCCGGGCCTCAACTCCATATTGGACGGCAACATCGAGCCGCTCATCAGAGCCCACATCTCTCTCAGGCGAGGGAGATACCCAGAGTTTTGAAGGCATCCCCGCCTTCCTCCTCCGGTTCTGGGATCATATTTCAAAACTGCGATTGTGTTTTAATCCATATCGCACGTGTCCTCATCCAATTCGGTCAAGCACACGTGTCAATTGTCCTGCTTCGTCATCCCTTTTATCTCGCCAGGTGGGTAACCTGTGTGTGCGTGTTTGTCTCAGAGAGAGAGAGAGAGAGAGAGAGAGAGAGAGAGAGAGAGAGAGAGATGTCGTCGTCGAGGAGCTGGAGGAACAATGCGGACACGCACAAGATGAGCCCGGAGGAGGTGAAGAAGTACGGGCTGGAGGGGTCGAAACGGCCACCGGGGCAGAACCCGGGGGGTGTGTTGCACCAGCGGCGCCACTTGCCGTACAGCCCCGCCGCCATGGCCGTCGCCGGCTTGCTCATCGTGGGCACCATCGGCTACCTCACCCTCTACACAAAGGCCAAGCCAGGGACCACGCCCAGCGAGGTCGCCAAGGTCGCCGCCGGCGTCTCCGACGACGACGTACCTCGCCAGCCTAACAAGTAGCCCCCTCTTCCTCTTCTTCTTCCACCTGCTGCTGCTGCTGCTGCTCTCTCTCTGTCTTTTTCTTCTGTGTGTGTGTGTGTGTGTGGAGTTTACGAGTTTTCCTTGGCATCCATGAACTCCGTAAGGGGAGTGAGGTTTTCAGTTTCAATGGCTTCTGTTTTCTTTCCTACCTATCAACGATCTTCTTCGGCTGAGGAACGGCGAAGGTACGGAGGGAATGGTGAGGTGGAGGACGTCGTAGAGAAGACGGAGGGAGGGAGGCCGTCGCGTCGGAGGATGCAACGAGACCCGGCTCGCCGATCAGTCTGGATGCGGGAGGGGTTTTGATTTTGGGCCAAGTTGGGTTTGGGTTGGAACGTTGACAGCCAGCCATTGAGGTAGATAGGTAGCAATCTGAACTAAGATAATTTGCTCGTGATGGATTCCTACAATAATCTCGTTAAAATTATTTTAATGAATTTATTTATGTATTTTATTTATGGGTATGTTAATGGGTGACTGAGGTTTGACACAAGGCAGACGTCCAAATTTGTTGTATCTTGTGCTAACATTGGGTGTACTCCCAACCCCAGCTCAGGCTTAATGTAAGTATATCTCTTATAACTAGAACTCCTAAGATACCGATCACAAGGGGGTGGATCATGTCTCTTAAAATAGATAAGAAAACTTAGATAATTAATCTTATTATCGATGTGAGATAAATTATTTATTCATAAGACGATGTCAACATAATCAGTCACAGTCATATGCTTCCTTCAAACTATTGTGACACGTGCCCATTGTGCCACACATACACATTGTGTCACACACATTTGTTGTCTCTAGCATTATTTGTCAACTATGAAGTTTTGATGCTAGAATCTTACTCCATCTAACAGTCTTAGTGACATTCTCCCCCTTCTTAAAACTTAAATGACCTCGTCTGATGTTGGCGTGCTTGATATTACTAGTTAAATATTGAATTACCATGTCCGTGTCTTTTTTGTATGTGGCCAGTTCTTTTAGGTGGTCATATCCCACATCTTGTTGATAATATTTAGTATTATGATTCATATGAGGCATCATCTACATCGATGCATCTCTAGCTTAGTTGGTTAGTTAATGTCTCTACTTTGTGAATTGATATACTATCAGCCAATACCCTGGTATGTGTTACTTCACTAGCTTGAGAGGTGTCAAGGGTTGTTGTTTTGTATCTTGAGAGCTGACTTGAAGAGCGAGTTCCTTAAGATACAACATAGTTTTTGTATCTTATGGGTTAATTGAACAATGTTGAATAGCTCAACTCAATCATCTTACTTAGTTAATAAATAATGGTCCAGGTACTCTTCGAGCATGTTGTTCACTATATGTCTGTAGACGAAAAGCTGTGAAAAAGTTTAACTTTGTTCCAAGTAAAGTGAAAAACGTTGATCATAAGCATTGAGTAAGTTGAAAGTTTTGATTAGAAGTGTGATGGTACATATGTTCCACATCTTGACAATGTATGTCAAGGAAAACTTGGACACCTCCTCTACCTAATAGTCCAACTATGTGAGATGAATGTTATATACTTAGAGAATAATCCATCATGACAAAAATTGAGTCATGTTTGTCTATTATGGAGAAATCCATGATGAAGTTCATCAACAAGGGTTTATAAGGTTGCTCAGGTATGGGTAGAGGTTACAATGTCTTGGCCAATTTCCTCTAGACTATATTATTTTGTTGACATATTAGTCTAGTGTTTCTAGACAAAAGTGATTTCTAGCCAATAGTGTCATAGCGTGTTGTTGTCTCATATGTCTTGTGATGGTGCATTGTGAGTCTCCTATAAGAAACATCAACAAAGCTTGACGTTGTGTGGCACATTTAGTTGATGACCATTCACGTAGAGGATTCCATTCTCCACTTAGAAGCAATATGTTTCATCCCCTTATGTCAATTGTATGAGGTGTTCATCAACTTCATTTATTGTACAAGTCACTCGGATCCATGATGTTCTTGCTGCTTTTTGACACAACCACCACACCCTTCATTACTTTTTTGAGGCTTAAGATGTCTATAACAATATTAGTACAACTTGGTTTATACTAAAGTGAGAAATCATACTCTACCACAAAATATTACCACATTATTTAATTGGACAAAAATTTCTTCTACAAGTTGAAACAACTAATAGCCACATTTTATGTGAAGACTTTAAAAGTGTCCAAAAACATATAATGTCTTCACACCTATAAGTAGTGTGCAATTACTCTAAGTTCTTTCTCATGCACCAAGTAATATTGCTTGACCTCATTTAACTTTTGACTCTCAAAGGCCATCATATGCCCCTCCTACATAAGGTCTCCAATTATAGTTACATTTGAAACATTCTTATCGAATTCAAAAGCTTTGTAATTTTAGGTAATTATATCATATATTCTCTAGTGATGGCTTCTCATATTGTGTCAAAGACTTACTGACATTTCTTGACTAATAGTTCATATCTTAATTATGTCGAAGAACTTGTTGACATTCTCCATCCAACTCCATTGACAATCCTTCTTGAGCAACTTAGTGAGAAAGGTCTGCTAGTTGAGAGATTCTTCTTATTGAACTTCCAATTATAATTTGCCAATTAAGAATTATAAAAATTTAGAGACCTCTTATGGTTTAGATCACTCATCTATATATTTCACCTTCTTGCAAGTTTTTGATTAACTTTCGGTGCCTCCATCACTTGTCGCAAGTTTTCATCATCTTTGCCTATGGAGCAAATGTAAATAAATATGTCATTCAAGTAGATTATTAGGAATCATTCAAGATAAGAATAGAAGATAAATTTCATTAATGAAAAAAAAGTGAGATATATATATATATATATATGTTTGTGAGATCAAAATATATTTTGATAAAGTCAATAGATCTAAGTAACATTTTATTCAAATTGTTTTAGGTTCCACTCTTTGGAGTGTATATCACAATATTTGCTTTTGAGGTCAAAATTGAAAAAGATCTTGTGCTACTAACTTAATCAATGATCTTGGTTGTATAAAATATTAAATGTTTTATTCTTACAATTTTTTTGATCAAAGCCATAGAATCCACTTACAATCGTAGTGTTTTATAATTCTTCTACTTGAATAAGATAGGTGTCTTAAATAGCACTTGCAAGAGGTGGATGTATAACCTCTAATAGCTCATCAAGTTGACTTAGCTCTTTAAGGTGCATCAAAGGCATCTTGTAGGGTACTCACATAGGCTGATGCTCTTAGGATCAAGTCAATGGCATGATCATTTTTTTGTCATAGGAAAGGCTTAAATGGGAGTTTCTTTGGCATAATATCTCAAAATTCCATAAATAAATGTCTTACTTAAGTGGGTTGTGGATTTGCTCCATCCTTTGTCAGGGCTTGACCATCTATCTTGTCTTCTAGTTCTCATTGGGTATTGAAGAAGGCATAGCCTGCCTTTAATTGCAAGATTGAAATCATTTGAGAACTAATTTGTGTGCCTTTTATGCTAGAGACAAAACTTGGTTGCTCACCACCACCAATAAAGATCATGTTGAAATGAAGAAAGATATATGTATCGAGTTGAAATAAGAAGCCAAATCATAGGATGACATCAAAGTCATCTACTGAATCAATAAGAAAATTCAACCAGTCTTACCTCAGCCTCATGCGAATTGTCACACCTTACACCACTCTAGTTGGGGCTCACACCTTGAAGACAATAGCCATCACATGACTCTCTATCTAGGCCAGCTCCAATCCCAAGTATTTGGCTTCAGGCTTTGATAAGAATTTGTGTATTTCCTCACTATCAATAATTGCCTTCATAGTTGTCATTGATCAAAGTTTTCATGAAGAGTAGGCTTTGTGATTCGCTTAGGGTGGCTCAGCCCTATAATGCTCCCATTATTTCTAGGGGGTTGAGTGTTTGAAGCTCTTCAATTACTAAGGGTGGTTGATCTTGTACCTTCTTGGAGTTAAGATATGCCCACACTCAATGTCAATCCACATGATCATGGTAGTATGATTGCAGTGTAGTCCACCAACATGAACCCTTGATTTCCAGAAGTGCACCCTTGTCTAGTGCTTCTTTACTTCTGTCCTAAGCTTCTCCCTTTCTTGCTCCCCCTAGGTTTGTTCTCCCCTAACCACAGCCATTGCCCTGACCATGCCTTCCTTGTTGCTCTGGTTCATTGATTGTCTTCATCTGTTATTTTCAGCTATAGTCTTGTAGAGATTCTGCTGCTATGATTATATTATTGAGGTCCCCTACCCACTTTTGCCAAAGCTTGATCTGAGCTCATGGCTGCAAGTTCACTATGAAATCATAAATCTTGTTCATTTCGGACATATTAAGTGCTTCAACTGCAAACAATAGAAGAGATAGCTTCTCCGCATATTTGTGCATGGTGCTTCCTGTGTTTAAGTTGTTGCAATGTTTCTTGAGTTGCTAGTATGATGTTCGTTGGAGAAAATTATTCTTTGATTTCTTTGTTAAATTCAGGCCAACATGCTTAAGAGTACTTTGTGCTTGAGTACCCAACCCCAAATCCTTCTTTAGAGAGAGAGAGAGAGAGAGAGAGAGAGATGCATAGGAGGTCATTGATTTTTCTCCTTAGCTCATTTTCTAGTTGATCATTGTCCTTAATTGAGCCCAACCCATTTAAACCTCTAAATCTTGGTTTTCTAACCCACATGAGACAGAAACAATGTATTAGTCAATATTCCTTTCTTATAATAATTTTCACTATTTTCCTAGAAGTTTTTATACATAACATATGATGTTGAAATTTCGACAAAGAGTGTGACTTATATTTTCCAGTTTTTTCTTCACTAAGGAATGAGAGCTACAACCTCTAGAGGGAGCATCTATATTATAATTGATGCAGTTGTAATTATGTGGAGATAAAATCTTGTCATTGAACCCACAATAAATGAAGTCTTTGAAAAGAAGTCATACCCTAAAATCACAAAACTTAGACAATTCAACTCTTGAATCCATAGAAGAGTTTGGGTCAAGAAGATCAAGGTGTTCCAACAAGACATAACTCACTTAGGGCTACCATATGGACCTTTACAAGAGGTGAGAAAGAGTTAGGAAGTAGAAGAGGGTGAAGGGTTGAGCTAGCGAGGAAGACTAAAGTCAATTTATGAACTATTTTGTTGAGGGGTCTATATTCATAAAGCAATAAGTGTTTATTTTTTGACGTATGAATTATATGTTTTTCTTCATTAGAACGGATCTCAGATACTATTCTTTCCAAAAAATAAATCTCATGATAACTTTGTATCCGATGACCTCAAAGAATCTCAAGAGCTCTCGTTGAGAATAATAATAACAATACTAACCACATGGAATATAGGTCTGTTTGAGTCTGGGCACTCTGCCCATCTGTTGACTAAAGATCCTCAAGATCAAATGCACTGAAGATAGAGAGTGCACCAGTGTAAATTCATACAGAAATCTAAGAGAGTCAAACAGATAGCATTCAACTTACCCTCAAAAACTAATGCGGAGCTTGTGATAGGCTGGGGAATAAGATCATATCCGACTGTTAGAAGGTGGAAGCCCTTGCAAAGCTTGAAAATCTGGAGTGGTTATCTTTCAGAAGAACCTCTGGGTTTCCTTGCTCCACCTGCAGAGACATAGGTGAGGAATCAGTTGGCTGATTAGTATGAGCCCGGTGCTGGCCATCAAATGTAAAGGGTAAGCTACTTCTTGGAACCCGCCCAGGGATGAACCAACTTCATGGGTAACCATCACCATCCTCAGATGTACAGCATTTTTGTCTTATAAATATGAGTACAAGGGTTATCTATCTACTTATTTATTTAACTGCATGGAGGAGGGCACGCAGTGCGGAGTAAGTATCGAACGAACAGGAATTTATTCTAGTAGATGGACGCAAGAATCATATCAAAAGGGCACTTTGGGAAGCATCACCGAGTTTGATTCATTCTACACATAGAATAGAGAGAAGAGGAGGATGAATACCAGGACTCCGTGGTCTAGGACGAGAACACTGTCCATGTTCAGAACCATTGCGATGCGATGAGCAATTGTGACCACCGTCATGTCCTTACACTCCCTGTAAATCGTCTTCTGGATCCTCGATGCAGTCTGAGTGTCGATATTGGCTGTACATTCATCGAGGCAAAGTACCTGCAGGTAAAAGATCATCCTGATGAGGAGAGTCGGAGGTTATCAAAATGTCTTCTGCGGATAATCGACTGAGAAGGCCGAGAGTACCTTGGAAGACTTGAGCAGTGCACGCGCAAGGCATATAAGCTGTCTCTGTCCCACTGAAAATGACCCGCCGGCTTCCTTCACCTGGGCGTCCAAACCCCCAGCCGCCGCTATGTCTTCCTTGACATTGCATTTATGGAGGGCTTCCCAAATCATGGAGTCGCTTGCCAGGCCAAACGGGTCAAGATTTTCCCTGATAATTCAGAAGACAGTGTAACAGGGAAATCAGCCATCTGAAATTATAAAGAAAAGATAGGTGAGTTGATGGGCCGTATGACTGCTGTAGTTAGACCACCTGAGGGAACCCTCAAACAAGAACGGCCTCTGAGGAACGACGGCAAGGCGAGACCGAAGTTCTCTCACTAGAATATGGGAGATGTCGACGTCGTCCACGAGGATTCGTCCTCGACAGATTGGGTTCATGCGAAAAAGAGCGTTTATGATGCTGGATTTTCCTGCGCCAGTCCTCCCGATGATACCAACCTAGCGTCATTTCAGTCATCCATCTGTTAGGAAATAGCTCGCAAATGCCAGGGATAAGCTTCGAAAACAGCAGGAATAAATCAGCATTCATGAATATATTGCAGCGTTCTGGCTAATTTCTTGCTGACCTGTGTCCCTTGCAGGATGCTAAATGAAATATCATCAAGAGCAGCTGGGAATGATGGCCGATATCTCAGAGTCACATGTTCAAACTCTATCATGCCTTGCGTTGGCCAATCTGGATGTGGGGCCTGTGTTCCCCCAAGTTCTTCCGGGAGAATATCCCTGTACTACTTGCAATGGGCCAGAGTTTAATGTTTTTCGGATATTCGGACTAATTAAACGAATTATACTCCAACGCACCTCAATCACCCTCTCCACAGAAACCATCTCCTTCTCAGTTTCCGCGAAGCTAGTTAAGAAACCGCTCAAGAGACTGACCACAGGTGCTGCATAAGACAGGGCCAGACCTACCTGCAACGAGAAAAGCCATCGTCTCATTCCAATTGGAGAAAATATTAGAGTCTAATTAGAAATTTTGCAACGGAGAGTTTGTATGGTGAGCTCACTAGCCCAGGCGTTCCGAAGCTAATTGGGAGATCATTACGACAGCCGATGACTGCCATCAGAGCAACGTAGAAGATAATGACTGCTGCCAATAACTAACGAATTCCCATAATGGTTAAGGAGACCATGAGGTTAACATTGTATTTCAATACTTATATTATAAAACATGCGCGAGTTCAATATGAAAGGCTTATGAGAGAAAGGTCTGAAACTTAGTGAAGCAGGAAACGTACCTGAAGCCGGAGAGAAAGCCACAGGCTTGCTGTTGATTCTGAGTAGGATGTTTGCTGATAAGACCCAACGTGTCGCATGAATTCAGACATGAACAGTTCCTGCACGCCTCACAGTCAAAAGGAGCAAAACTTTTCTTCCCTGATCGCATAAATGCACGCTCTCTTTCTTAAAATGGCATGCTACTCGTTGGCGATTACTAATTTATTGGATGGAAAATATTTGAAAGGAGTACTTCAAATGGAAAAAAAAAAACAGGAACTTTTTCTAAGGAAATAAAAGATGAAAATCGGTACTTGGAAAAAGGCACGCACAACTAGTCGAAATGCTGATCCGCTCCATAATTTATGATTTTCATACCTCTTTCTTAAATGCCCTTATGGTAGACGAGCCATCAATGGTTTCAGTGAAAGACGTATAGATGGGCGAACGGGCGACACTGTCCAGTCTTCGCAGTTCCCGGGAAGTTGACCGATAATAGTACTGTAAAAGTAAGCGTATGTACAAAAAACGCAAATTAATCAATAGCGTCAGAACCATCGCCATCAATCCGGGTTGGGTGAAGCATCAATCGGTGAAGAATTTAACAGGAATATTGACCAGCTGTCAACCTGAAATGAACCCCAACTATGTATGGTAAATGCATGCCTTCAACGTTTAGTGATCGAGGTCACATTAAATTGAAATAAGGATTATACCCAAAGATGCGAAGTTTGATAATGGGTGAAAGATCCTCGAAAAAAAACAAAGAGAATATTTGAAGAGAAAAAAAAATCATATATAATAAAAGAAATAACGGCCGAGTTTTTTTCTTCCCGAGCATAAAATTTGGAGTTGAGAGCAAATTTGTTTTTGGCAAGGTCTCTTCATCATATTATCAACAGTTTTAATCACTTGAAATAATTTAAAAACCTGCAAGAAAATTTTAATAATTATCCTGTAAGTTAAAATAATCCTTTAATAAATTTTTCTTTACATCCCTGAAGTCTAGCATGAATCAATTAAAAAAAAGGGAGAAAAAGGAAACAGAGCCCCCTCTCCATTATGAAGCATTCTTCTGGCAAACCTCCGACTCGCACAGGCATAGCCATATATTCAATATTTCACCAATTCTCCTGAACGTCTCTACTTTTAAAAAGAAAACCTCTTCTTCTCTGTAACTTAGTTTTCAGATATAGTAGAGATTAAAAAGACCCAAACATGTCAGCTGCTAAGAACTAGTGAGGTCAAAACAAACACTAAAAATGTGGTTATACGATCTCATTTATGGATTCTCGTGAGGACAATAAAATCTACTCTAAAAGATATCAATACAGCGATATGAAGAGCTACTTGAGAGACAAATTTCAAGATACGTACCTGTAACTTGGTAAATACATAGAAAAATGGAACTAGAAGAAACAAGAAAATAACCTGGAAGGGTTCAAAGATGTGGATTAGACAATCGTGGGTTAGATTAATATTACGATTGAAGACAGCTAAGATAAATAGTCAATGGATAAATTTTCGTAACTGAAAAATATCTTTACCTGTGCGTAGGTTAAAACTATTGCAATTCCCAAGAGATTAATGAAGATCGCTAGAAGAATGTTGAGAATGAATGGAAGGGAATCATCAATTGTATACAGATCTGATGATAATCTGAAATATAACCAAAAGGTTAGCAGGAAAATCTTGAAGGCAAATATTCTCAGATTTAACCGATACCCCACCTGTTAAGTATCCTTCCACTTGGGTTTTGATCAAAAAAGTGCACAGGTGCGTCAATTAATCTTTGTAGGACCTCACTGTGAACACGAGTTGCAGCAGATAAGCCGCCATAGGCGAATGAAAATGCCCTTAGTAAGGTCAACAGAGAATTTACTGCACAAAAGATGGAAAGAACGACCTAGACAAGAAACCATCAAACATATTCAATACAGAGGCCATATTTTTATGATACTTTCAAGACTTCAAAGAAACAGGAGAATAAAATGTCAATCTTATACATATAATTTTTTAGCGTTTTAGAAGTAGACGAGGAAAAAAGTTACCAGATAAAATCTTGTGGAGTACTTTGCTTCCGAAGTGGTATCGACCCAATAAGATAACCAAAGATCATTCCCATTTCGAGATGCTTGCATAAAAGCAGCTGATATACATATTACAGAGACTACAGGCCAGCTACAAAACATAGCATAGCTCCTGAAGCACGGAAACAGATATCATAGACTAACATCAAAGATACTTGAAAATAATAAAATCACCTAAAAAATATGTATGAAGGTAATAATTACTTAGCATGTTAACTGTATCACATGATATCTAGGTGAGCAAGGTTGCAATACAATGTGAGAAGCATAATATGTGCGAACACACAAGCATCAGTACTATCTCAATTAAACGTCGAAAATCCTCGCGGGAAAATTTTCACCAATAATCGTGGTTCACTCACTTGTACACGATAGGTTTAACTGTACCCTCTTGTCTGTATTCTTTTTCAGTACTGTCTTGGCCCTCTTCAGATATATCTGTAGAATCTCTATCTATTGAAACATCAGAAGTCACACTCCCGGAATCAATGGTGGAGCTCTGTTCTAGTTGCTGGCATGATATTTCACTTCTACCTGCTAACATAGAATTTATTGCATATGGGGTTAGGACAAAGCTTGCCATATTCCCATACCACTTTACCGATCCCTTTTCCATGGCAATAATCAGATCTGCTGTAGAAATTGCCTACATAGAAAGAGAGAAAAGTGTTAAGCTATTAACCCCAAAACACTAAGTTGACTTCCTTCTCTAGGGAAGGAGAAAAAGATCTGCAAGTCCAAGGACAATATTTCAGATCTGCGCTTACACATAATGGATACCCCAGTCACAATTCAAGAAGCTATCATTTGATCTAAATAACAATAATTCAACTAGATACTGATCATGGAAGCTTTCGAGTTCATTTCTTAGTTCTGATGTTCAGGACAAATATATGCTCAGATGCCCATCTCGATCGTCATACCAAGTTCGCAGGTGATAAGGTAAATAAAAATTTACCAAGGAAAAAAAACATGTAGGTGTATTGATAGGACAGATAACTTAATCAAGAACGCACGCTGCGTCGAGAAAATATACACTTCAGGGCAAAACTTTGATTCGAGACTGAAAACAGAAAACTTTAAATAAGTCAAGACTCTCAAACCTTCGCATTATGAGTGCATAAGATTCTTGTCTTCTTGTTCATCAAAGGACCCAGAATGGCTTTGTCTAAAATCCAGCGAGAAACATGTGCATCAACCGCACTTAGCACATCATCAAGAAAGTAAATGTCGGACCTTTGGTAGAGGGCCCTGAGAATAATTATTGTGACATTTACGATTAAAAGTAGAAGCGAATGAAAAACTCAAAAAAACTTGTGATACCTTGCGAGAGCAAGGCGTGCTCTCTGACCACCAGATAAATTGACACCTTTCTCTCCAACGTGAGACAGGTCACCTCCCACCATTTTCGAGATATCAATATCAAGTGCGCACGCATGCAGCACATCTGCATACCTGCATACATAGAGCTAAGAGTTTATCCAAGATTTTTTCTTAGAGATGCATCTGATGAATAGAAAGTTAGGCCATCGCCCCCCCAAGAAACAAAATATTAGAGGCTTGCTTTATCGACAAATATTCCACAGATATCACAGTAAAATAGAGTAAATGTTAATAGTTTATTTTCTATGGCAAAGTAGAATGCTTCAATATACCTTCTAGAATCATATTCCTCTCCAAACAGAATATTATTGCGCACAGATCCCGACATAATCCATGGAACCTAGAAATAAATCAATAGATTAAAATTAAATAAAATGAAATGAACTTTATTCATAAATGACGCAATCAATTGGACTCTTAGGAAGAAATAAATATTATCCACGAAAACCTGAGGCACATAGGTGATAGTCCCATGACTACTTATTGATCCACGTAAAAGGCGCATCTCCCCAAGTATTGAATTTAGCATTGCTGACTTGCCTGAACCAACCTGCATTCAATATAAATAAAACATGGTAACTGAATAAAGATCCTGTATTATGTAACTATACTAGGGTAACAACAGGTTTCAATCTGAATCCACCGTAAAAAATCAATATTTATGTCTCATTTGCTAAAATATTTTCGCATTTAATACATAGAAAAAAATGATCTGTAAAAACCCAACCATTGCCGAGCATCAAAGACGTACACAACAAATGCTTCCGAGAATCAAGATAAGTTGTCAATTAGAAAATTATATGTTTGGGCCAGGCAAAACGAGTAAATAGAATATAGAAACACCAGATATGCAAATCTAGGCGATGATTATGAATCTCTCTTACCTTAAAAGTAATAAGGAGAATAAATATGGATCATCTCGGAGGCTTTAACATGCGCTTAACTTCTTAACTCAAATGTGTATTAAAATAAAATTAACATCATCAATTTCACGAAACAAAAGTGACTTTCAAAAACGATAAGAAGCAGTGAGAACAGCACGAAATATTTTCAGTTTACCTACAGTGCGGTACACGTAGGATAAATATTTTGACGACCTTAAGGTTTTAAGTGACACAAATCGAAGACCATATGCACCATTCCTGTTGTGTCCAAGAAATAGGGAACATTTTACAACGTTGCTATATATACGAAGAGATCGACAGCATTCACTCTGATGATTCATCAGGAGCATTATTTGGGAAGTTATGACGGTTTAAAATCTATGAAAATTTGATAAAAAAATAAATTCAGATCAGTAAATAAATTTTGAGCTGACATGTACACTTGCTAGACAAAAAGCTGCGAATAAGAAAACGATAACAGTGAAATCTTTACGCAAAGAAAGTAACCTCTCCAATTACAGCCACAAGGAAACCCCTTGGAATGCGGAGATTTACACAGTTCAAGACCACATTCTGTGCCTCCTGATTGCTGCTTGACCACACACATTCTGCGTCTTGAAAGATGACATCCATATGTCTAAGATCGGCCCCATTACCTTCAACATTAGAGATCGGTAAGGAATCATCTTCGTGAAACAGTTCATCAGATTGTTGCCCCAATCGAAGATTAGACTCAGGACAAGACAAAAAATTGCTTAGCCTCCGTGCAGAAATTATGGCCTGCGATGCACAATCTTGCGTTTCTATCACTATCATAAAATTTTACATATTCAGGAATTAATATGATAGTCTAAAGCTTACATCAATTAATCCATTAATCACCCAGGGGAAAGAATTTAGTGGAGAAATCAACGTATTGAAAAGAGCAACACAAGTGAAAACCTGAAAGTACAAAATATATGCGCATCAGTTTCCAAGGCACCCAATAACTGAAACATAAGTTAAATATTACGTTCTTGATGGTGATACCGTTGCAGCATTCAGTGGATGCCCCGTCAACGTAAATAGCCCAAATGTAAATAAGGAGAAAAGGGTTGGTGTTGTCGCCCAAAAGAATACGCACCACGCATCTAAATATTTTCGAGTCTAGCAGGAGTTGAAATGCTGTTAGAATATGTCCCTATCGACAAGAACCATACGTTGAAATTCTCAGTGTAACAAGAAATGGTCCACACGCCTTAGTGACCCAAATGAAATGATTAAGAAACACTTATACCGATAAATGTTTCACTTCAAGTGATCTTTTCTCCAGCAATCGATCCGCAAAAAGAAGTTCCCAGCCGTATATCTTCAAAGTTCGTATCGATGACAAGAGTTCTCCAGTACTTCTAACCCTGAAATTACGAGGTATCTAATCAGCGATATCTAGTTTCTGTCACATTTGTAGAGTAAGTCCCAAAATGTAGCTACTGCGCTCTCTGAATCTACTTGGAAAACATAATAAATAAAAACTTTCAGTTCATTTAAGACCTTAGATGCACTAAAATTATCTTGTCGTAAAATGAACTCTAAAGACTCTTCATGTATGCCACTGTATCTGGCGATTAAAACGATTCTCGTTTCAAAATGGACATGTCAAAAATATTGTGACATTTAAGAAAACTACTTTATAGTTCCAAATGCATTGATCTTGCTCGTTATTTCTATAGTCGAGAAAAGTTATCAAGTTATTGTAACAGGAACGCAGTTGCTCTACCTCTCATCCTTCTGCTTCATCATTTTCTCTGTTGCACTAGAAATCAATGTTGCAATCCATTTGTTAACTGCGTCAGGGGAAAAAAAGATATGAATCTAAACTATATTCTTAAAAGTTCATCACACTGTTTAGAAGAATTGAATAATTGGAATATCTTTATTAATATTTATGTCGTACGTGAAAATAAAGAGAATTAGTAAACAGCCCAAAACCAAATTGTTTTTAACATCGCTACCTGGGATGAGCAATATCGTTATTGCAGTTCCAGAGATAAAAGCAAATTTGACTTGTGTGTATAGCAGATATAGAGCGACTCCAATCTGCAATGGTAAGCTAGAAGCAGTATGCAATGGTTTAAATGATACGCCCAGTTCATGGCGAAAACATAATTTACTTAGATAAAGCAGAGCAGAAGAGTAAGGAAACTTAACAATTCATGACTACAGAAATGGAAAAACACCTTCAGAGTAATTTAGTTCCTTTTGGAACACCTTGACATCTTCAGAGAATAATTTGATATCTCAAACTGATTTGTGATATCTGACTTGGGTTTTGCTGATTTGTGATTCACATGCGATTGTCAGAGTCGTTAATACAACATGGAGGATTGGTCTCGAGTGTCCAAATTATTAGGGTATGAGGCTTACTTATATGGTACCCTATTACTCGACTTCATTTACACTCGTTGGGTCGTAGAGATGTTGTTCGAGAAGGTTTCACTAATCTTAAGTTAATTTAGTTGTCTGATAAAGGTGAAATATGCTGTAAATTATTCTAATGACATTTTTTTTCGGATATGTTCCCAAATTACTTGGCTTCAGCTTTGTTTAAGATCTACACGATTGAGTTTTTACGTCAGGGTTTGCTCAAATTTCTTTTTCAAACTTGTTATCTTTGTGACTTTTTGGAAGACGTTATTTGTTATCTTTAGATTAGATCCATTTCAATTGTGTTTGAAAATAAATAAATTTCATTGTATAAGAAATTATGTATAAACTAAAATCTGGGGAGGAGTGAATCCCTTTGAAAATTCATGAGATGAAGCATTTTTTAAGAAATATTTCTTGGGTTGAGGCCCGGTAAAGAAGTGTTTGGGATGAAATCCATTGAAATATGACTTAAAGCTCGTTTCATGGTTCATGAATTGTAAACCACTTAAACATGGAATGAAATTCATTAAAAATGTATAGGTTGAGGTTCATATGATGCGAATCTTTTCTAAATGTGTGGGATGATACTCGTTTTTTCAATTAAAAAAATCAGTCTCAGTCGACAAGCATGTGAGATTAGGCTTCAAAAAATATCTTTGCAATCTAGGGAAATTAAAAACATCATAAAGGCTGACGCTCATTTCACGAATCTACAAAATAGAATCATTTTCACTGAATCAGATCACTAGACTTCAGGCAAGCATAGGTTTTATCAGACCTTTAACTCACCTCCATCTCGATATAAGGTCTTAATGGATGTATAGCCGTTTAATTCTGCACTCGCATAAGGTCCTGATACTTCGAGTTAAATAATGATGAGTCAAAGCAGCCCCATATTAATAATATCTGCCCTATTCTTCCACGTTTAATGATGATGAAGAAGATTGAAAGGCGTTGTTGCCATTTTAAAGGCGAGAGGTGTTCCATTTTATGTTACTTATTTTTCCCAACAAGACTTTTCCTAGTTAAAAGCTAATACATAAGACCACCAAAAATTAGAGATTTACGCTTAATAAAGAGGCCTCGAAACCGAAGAATTCCAGATCTATCATTAACAGTTAGAAAGCACAGGTCTCACCTTGAAGATAAAAATTTCATCATCAAATTGAGTATTTAACTATGGTGTACGGGAAATTAGACTAATATGTACACAATGCACAAGTTAAAAGTTAAATCTAGCTTAGTTTTTCATTTATTGAGTTGGACCCTGAGTCCCATCCAATAAATGTAGTGTCAACTAATGGAAGGAAACGTCATTTTACAGGAAATGATCATGCAAAAGATAAATCAATGGTCAAATGAGCATTTGGGTAATGATAACATATTAATTGCCATGATACATTAAATTTCCAGACATTCATTTTTGCATTGAAAGTTTGATTGAATCAAATGCCCTAAAGACAGTACCTCCACATATCATGAAGGCTATTGCACAGGTTGATTGTTCGTTCCACGTCCACAGACATGAACGTCTGGATTTCACCCTCTGAAAACTTTGAGCGCTCAGCAAGGCCAACTCGGAGGCACTAACAAGAAAAAAAGTGAGAGCCTAAAAAGCTTATCAAATAGGGTAAATATGGAGCTTAATAATTTGAATGGGACATTTTACTCCACTGTTTCCTTTACAAATTGAATTTGACAAAAAAATCAATTAAAAGGAAGGGGAAACATGATTTATTTTGGTGAAATGAAGGCATTGTTTGGTAAAACAATAATAAATTTCCAGAAAAATTACACATTCAAAGAGTTGTGAACAATTTGTACAAGAATCACATTCACAAAACAAAATTTACCGAGATGAGAAACAATCACGTGATCCATAAGATATTAATTGTGACTCATCCGACCTCATGCTTACTCTATCCCTCAATCCAACTTTGGAGATCCTACTAGGTTACCAGAACCACAACTTATCTCGACAACAGCCTTACTCTTACATCAAAAGACTGAATAAAGATAACTTAATCAAAGGAAGCTTAAATGTGTTCAAGTTATCAACTTAGCTCTAACTACACGCTTTATCGAAAGAGAGAGAGAGAGAGAGAGAGAGAGAGAGAGAGAGAGAGAGAGATAGAGGACAGGTAGGGAGAAGGAAAGAGAGGCCAGAAGAAATTGAGGAATTGACGTACTTGAGTTTTATTTTTTCTTCTTAGGTTTTCCTTTTCACAAAGGCTTGAAAAACTCTAAATGTTTCACATATTTTAAAGCTTTCTTTGAGAAAAAACCGTTGTGAAATGATTTTTCAAGGTTGCATATTCAAGGGTCTACATTCATATTCTCTAAGATTTTTTTTTCAAAGATGCAAGTTTTCTATTTAATTTTTTGTAAGGATTCTTAATGGTAGTAAGTTACCACTAGAAAAAAATATTGAGTGTAATTAGATTTTGTATAGAGTCATAGATAAAAAGGTCCTACATGTTAACGATATAATGTTCCGCGTTTTTACCTCAATGGACTTAGTGGAACCTAAGAGTTCCTTAATAGAGTAGAGTAATCAAAGGTGACAAGTCATAAAAAATTCTTGTGTTACTCTTTTACACAAAAAAATACACTTCCATAGAAAACCATGCATCGAGATATTTACAGACCTGCACACACAGCATAAGGAAAAACTTTTAAAGTGAAATACCAAAACATAACTACTCTTCCCTTGATGTATTAGAGAAAAAGTTCAACATTTTCATCACGGTGAATGAAAACACAGTCGAATTATCTGCATGTGAAAAGCTGAGTTGTTGTCCAGAAAGCAAATCACAACTGAAACCCATGACTCTTGTTTCCCATTATTCAATTTTACGAAGAATCGTATTTAGTTTTCATATGATTTTTCTTATGCCACCATTGTGAGAACATCTAAAAAATACACTAGTTAGCTAATTGGTTGTTTAAAGCCTACTAGTTATATTACAACGTAACAGGATTTCACTGAAAAAATACACTATTCACCATTGTGCTTCAGTCAAATTCAAAAGTAATTATTTTGTCAAATATTTTGGATCTTATAGGAAATGAGTTGAACAAGAAATGAATTACAGCAGTAACCTTGTGATAAATAATTGTCATAATGCTTGATCGTAGCGTCAACTTCAGTTTCATTTGGCGAAAAGAGTATTGCGTATCGAGGAAGGATCTGCATAAAAAAAAATTACAATCTCTAGTTTCTAGAAAGTTTACATCGTTTGAAAGCATCTATTTTACATCATTAACGAAGAAGACATGCTGTTGAGAGCAATCTAATTCTCTCGTACAAGAAACGTCGAGATATGATAGATTATAAATTAATTAGAATTGAATCGTTTTTCATCAAACACTACTAGATGAATCCGATAATTAATTCATAGTTTTATTTCAAAATTTTCTGAACTGATCATTAAGGAAATCTATGAAAAACCAAATAATATATCTAATGAATCAACTAATTGAAATATTCAATTGTCCTGCTTCTTAAAAGATGTTCTATGATGGCCAAAATGAAAAGTTCGTATGACCCATGAAAATATGCTCTATTATGCCCTGCATAGTCAAAAAAATTCCATTCACCTGAAATGCGTTTGCTTCAATGATAAGAAAACGCCGGAATTAATGAGATTATTCCTAACTCAGAAAGGAATATGTCCAATTGAGGAAAAATTCAAAGGTGAACAGACACATAAAAGTGAATTTGAAGAATTGGGTTTAATTGAGTCTCAAACAATAGCTTCATTTTGAGAAATTCAAACTTCTTATTGTAGAAAACTATGATTCATCTTTTCTATGATGATGAATAAAAACAAGAATAATTATAATGGATAAGAAAGTACATACCAAGATGAATTAAAAAAAAATCTATGCAACGATTCAATTTTCAGAACCACAATTAATTAATAATATTTGAATAAACTAATTTGGGTAAACTGCTAGTCGTAAAAATAAAGATAGAAAAAAAATAAATGATCATCTTAAGAAGCCACCATGTTGGAGGATATTAAAATTTCTCCATTCCTCAAATGGAGCAAAAAAAAAATAGTCTTATTTTTTTTTGCTCCATTTGAATAAGACTCGCAAAAAAAACTCATAACCTTGTTAAACGCTCACTTTTAATAAGACTATGTGTCCTTAGCGACTGTATCACCAAAATACAATATGCTGCAATACGCTACGTTGAGATATTTTGAGAACCTGTCCATCTCTAACACAAATACCTCCCTCTGGGAGTAAAAAAATAAAATGCCCTACTCAAAACTCAGACGAATAAAGGTAGACATTCCACGGTCTGAGAGTTTATTTTCGCATTGAGGTCAATATGTTACCACAGACTAAGTCTGCCCAGGAAGCCTTTTTCGTTTTACATTTCCTTCCTTTTTAGGTCTGAATCTTGCATCCCGCTTTCATGAAAAATATAAATGACATGGAAAGGTGATTTCATCTTATAGCTCAAAGAAAAAGAAAAACCTTTTGTACAGAAAATTTGATCACGAGTTGGTCTATGCCCGAAACATCTATAAAGAACAGTTAAAAAAGGTGACATTCAAACAGTTTTCCAGAAATAATGGTTTTTAGGAGAGAGAAAATAGAAATACCTAGTACCTTTTTTCCTCGCTACCTATAGAATTTATATACTTAGGATAATTAAAAAAAAGCTTGGCTAATAATTCATAGAATTAAATTATGTGAATATCAAAATAATTTTCATCATATTTATTTGATCCTCACTTGTGGAGTGCTAATATTTTTCTTAAAATATCAGAATGGATAGGTACGCTCTATGACCTGGATAAGTTTTCACACAAGTCTCAGGTCTTTCTATAATTAGAAATCATGCAGAGCACAAGGAGCCCTTGCGATAACTGTAAAAAACACGAAATAGACAAGAAGAAGGCAACTTAATAATTTAAATTGTCACAGTGGAACGTTTTCAATAGAAACGAAGCAGGTAGAAATGACGGGATCGATTGACAATATAATTTTATCGAAATACTTATCTCGTATCATATGCCTCTGTTTTTGTTGAGACTGACGTTATTATAGAGTCTTAATATATAACCTAGATCCAACACGTCAAAGAGGGAATGTAATTACCTGATAGTAGAAGTAAGGCCTAATAAAACAGCCAGAATATATCCATCACGATGACCAGAACCTGCAGGAAGCAGAAATAATAACAAATTTTTTTATTCAAAAATGTTTTTCCGAATTATACAGAGTTATTTTCTCGCAATGTAGAAAAGTTGCTTCAGAGTTTTCTCGCTTGAATTTTGGTTTAATTAAAAAATGCATTCTAATGGAGATACATTATTCTACGCTCCCATTCGAAACTTAGTCCTAATATCAAATAATTTAGACCGTGACTATCAAAATTAGATAATTTTCCTTCGTTCATGGCGGAAATTTATATTAAATTTGTAGTATCTTATGTACATGTGCGTTAACATGGAACATTCCAATATCAGACGATTGTTTTATCATTTGATCTTTCGCCATTAAATGGGCAGTAATGTCACAAGACATAAATATTGAAGACTGATGGAACTCATCGGTTTTTGCACTAGTAGGGTGGACGTATGGAATATGATTGAACCACGACTAGAATCACAACTCACCATTCATTTTTCTAATTTCCAATTTATTTTATTCTTATACATATCTTCCGACCAACGACTACAATCTTCATTTAAACCTCCTCTCTGATATATCATGAATAGGGACATAAATTTCAATGGACATGGTTGATTTTTTTTCAGTATGAGCGATTCTTTACATAGACTAAAAATGGAAGTTTTGCGTAATCAAATGGAATGGAAAAACGATTCTTTTGAGAAATTGCAAGAGGCACTAATGTCCATTGGAATCTTTCTCAAGCTGTTTTCAGGAGATCCCATATAAATAATATAAATTTAGAAATGCCTAGAAGTGGATCAGGGAAACTAACTTCCCAGACAGCTAATTAAATGGTCTCTTATTCCTTGATTTACTTAATTGACATTATGTACCTCTCAGTAGGGGGAAGGGGTGGGGAGGGCAGTCATATGACCTGAAGCAAAAATTCTTAACCTAGAAATCACGGTAATATATTGCTATTGATCGATTTGAAAATACTGGTGAATAGATGACTACAAAACAGAGATTCTACTTATAACATCAATGACAAGACAAATATCAGAAGAATTTACGTCAAGACAGACATATAGACACAAGCACAATACTAAGCTTTTAGATATGGAAACAAAATTGAGTACCAAAATAGTGTATATATGACGAAATATAACATAATCAGAATCAATCGTTATGAAGCAAATGAAAATTTTAAGAATTCGAAATAGTGTGGGATAGACCTCGTTGAAGAAACCAGATCAGTCGATTGAGGAGTAAAGGTCCGGCAAAACCCATGACGTCATTAACTATCTGAAGAAGAGATTACAATAATTGTCAAATATATAATTTATTTTCTACGGTAACCTGATAAAGCAATAAAATTTTTATTAGAATGCATTATTTCAGCCCAAACAAAAGATTGGTCGTTTTAACGCTAAATGTAGAAGTCAATCAATTATCTGAAATAAAATTTGAATAATTTTTAAAAATTCGCGTCACAGTCAGATTATTTATGAGTATCTAGTGAATAGGATAAGATTCCACTTTATTATAAAATGGAAAATGAGAAGCAGTATGGTCATGAGACAGGGAAAGGGAGTGGGAATCACAGCCGCCGACCACTACATAGAGCAGATGTTGGATAGGTTTACTTTTTTTCTTGCTGCCCGCTCGATTTCGAGATGTTCATTCAATATTTAATCTGCTGATTGAACCAACATTGATCCAGAAAGGTTATAAGAACTCAAATCATAAAATGAAAACTATATGAGAACATCTAGTTACGATCCAATAGTGGTAACTTTTGAAAAAAAAAAAGAGTACATTTTCGGACTTTGAACAATGTTGTCATTGTAAATATATATTTGTACTTCTATTGAGACTTATGAAAACTTTGTTTTTGAAAGGGATTGATGGTAATTGTTGAAAAATTTAATCTATTTGGAGGAGGAAGATGACAAAAATTTGGGGACCCGAGTGACAGATTGGCCACCACCTGCGCCTATCACTGCAACAGTAAGCTATTTCTGCATCCAGCCAGTGATCACCTAGAACGCTCTGCTGAACACTTTGTTTTCCGACCTTATCATATTTATCTATGTTTTTCCTTTCTTGCCTTCTTCCATTTCTTCCAGATAATCTACTCAAACCATGTTTTCACCTTAGTTTTTTCCCAGTGAAACCTCCAAAAATAGCTTTACAGCAATCAGCCACTTTTTCAGAGAGGTCCATCTATCTGAACGGTTCCAGTTTGTTGAACCTTGGATTTACCTCCCAATCTAAATTATAAAAAAATATATAGCTTATTTATATCCCTTATCATCTTGTTTAAGATGAAACTAGATGAGAACGGCTAATATTAATCTAATCTAACCACTTCCTAGGAAACAAAATCTGGGTAGTCCCCATCATGGATTTCCTAGAGTGCTCAAAGGAATAGAAGGGGATAAAATGCTTAAAGTTGAAAGATTCACAGGAAAAGGAATAATTTTATTAAGCGAAAGTCAGATGGGCAAGTTGTAGAAGTGAAAGTCCATAAATTTCATGGTCAGTATGGTCGATACTTTCCACTATAAAATAAGTATACTTTCCAGTGTACTACCATTCGCAGCCGCTTCTCATATTTCAATTTTATAAATTCAACACATCTGAAATGGCTGCTTCTCTTATAAAAAAAAAAAATTATGATTTTTTTATCCCCCTTCTCTTGTTCATAACTTATGCACGAGCCTTTCAGCTTCTTCAAATCCTTTCTTATCGTCAGTTCTAGCTTTATTAATGACATTAATTGATCCAAAATTCTATTCAGGGAAAAAAAATTCATTCATGTATTACCTTTCAGTCATTCCTAAGACCATGCTTTCTAATGCAATTGTCCTTAACACAACTCTATCGGATTGTTTTCAAACTTCAGTTTCTTCCTTCCATAAATTTATCCCTGAATTACTTCTCCACTTTCACTCTTAGTTTCACCCAACATATCTTAAGTTCTCTTCCAGAGGATTTGCATTTAATCAATACCTCCATTTACACATCTAATAACACCATCCTAAAACATCAAAATTTACTCTGCAACATTAGCCATCTGATTTTTGCATTAAGTAATGGATGTATTGGTAACTCTTTACCCGAACCGCATCCCTAGCCTCTTTGTATCTAATTTTACCACATCCTATCTCCTGATTGGTAACTCGATAGTTGAATAAATCTACCCATGGAGATAGAATTAGACGACGATACACAAATCTGTGTTCTTTTGTGTCTTTGTCTCTCTTCTCTGTTTTACTTCGATCTTATCTCTCCTTCATCGTCTCATGCAGGTTGTATGAGGGTTTTGATCCTAATAGTAAATTCAAATATAAATAAAAAACATCATTTAAATTTAATTGCCTCACTGTCACGAGGAAGCAAATCTCCGGTTCATTGTAAAATAGAAGTTATTTTTTATACCAACGTTCCATGCCAAAGGATCAGAACGACAGAACTTGCAGAATTCAATCTTGATGCAATACTCATATACATCACGTAGTTTATTTCTAACTGAAATATAATTAAAACGAGATTTATAATTGTGAAAAAATAATATCTATCAATGAGAATGAAATAAGATGATGATATTTAATTTACTCATCCAAAAATGTAGGGTTCTCAGACGTGAAATAAAAAGCGTCATAGCCAAGAAAAGATATCAATGAGTTTTTGAATGTGACATAATCTAAGTTATTACTAGGCTAACGTGAAATAAGCCAACAGAAACGGGAGCATAATAAGGTAAATTCCTAGATAATAAAATTAAATGTCCAAAAAAAGAGATATTAGAAAAGCACCTTTAATGCCCCTAGGCATAAATATGGCCAACCATACGCAGAAAACATGGCTCTAAATAATGATGGAGAAGAAGCATGGTTGCTTTTCTCTTTTACCCAGCACGTTAAAAATTTAAAGTGGCAAGAAGATGCCGTAAGTTCTCTAGGCAGCTGAACTAGATCCTGAAAGTCAAGTTGCCTTTGAACACCAAGATCCAGCATTAACTTTACTCTCGAGAAAGTGAGCGAGTTCCAATAAACTTGAAAGCTCCATTTCTGAATTAAGAAAAATCCCAAATAATTATCATGAAAACCATAATATTTATGAATGATTTAAATTAAATAATCTACGTTTCATATGTTTTTACATGAACTCATAACAAGGTCGATCAAAGAAGTCAGAATCAACATGAATACTCTAAGTGTTCCATCTTGTCCTTGTGAAACAATTTCCGCGCATTCTCATATCTCCGTTGTTACATACGCGATACACGTCACATAAATGAATGGTACCTCGTAAAAAGCTAGTGCTTATGTGCGTCTGTTTTTGTGTAGGATGCGCGATATGCATGTCCCATTACTGAGATACAAGGAATTTTAAATAGTTTCAAGTATCATTCCAACAACGCCATATTATGCTGATTAGGTGGTGCCTCAGATTGAGTTGGTTCCAACTCAGACGAGTCTGTAGATGAAACTTCAAATATTACAGCACCTTTTGAAACGATTAACTCCAGAAGTCTAGTCTAGACGTCTATTTCTTTAAGAACCGCCCAAATGATACAGATGTGCTCATGTCAAACGGGTCAGAAAAATATAGCGGGGCCTATGGGTGATAAGGGGATCAGATACTTCCATCATTCGCTATCTTCTCTTCGACTAAACCGAGTTCAGACAGCCCATCTAAAGTCAAATATTTAAACGAAGAGATAAGTTCTAGATCCGAGTCAAGTTTTAGTTAATATGTCGACTCCAAGCGGCTATTTCAGCCAGTTGACAACGCAAAATGTATTTTTGTGATTCTGTTGTCTTTTTATAATATTTTTACCCTGTAAAATACTGGAAACTGAATGGTCAATTAAAAGGAAATGTAATCATGGTGCACTAAATTAGCTAATTATATTTCATTGTGTTGCTTCGGGTTCATGCTGAAATGTAGTTTCAGTGAAGAAAATATAAAGCAACTTTATGGCGAAATGATTGAAAAATAAAAGATAAAATAAAGAAACTGGAATACATGAAACATATTCCCATCCAAGATATCATCAAAGGAATATAATTTTGATTGAACTTACGAAGACAGATTATTCTATTTTCAAATCCTTAAAATTATAAATAAAGTAATACTCTAGAGAAGATGAGTTAAATAAAAGAATACCTTGGTTTCAACATCATCATCTTTATTTTTTATATCATCTGAGAGAAGCGCCTCCTCGAGACAGTCAAATTTTCTGTAGAAAATGCAACACGAATTTTAGAAAGAGTATCGAAAAACTAAGCTTCTGTCCAAAGATGACTCAAAAAGTAAGCAACACTTTGTCTGCCTTAACATGACTATAGACTTTTTACGGATATGTTAGAGATGAAGGAATGATTTTATCGTAGTATTCAACGAAAGGCTAATTTGATAAAAGGTTACGAAGTGATTAGCATGATTACGACATTAAAATTAGTATTGGGGAAAAAAAATTGTGTGCTCAACACTCATAATGCTAACATGAACAAAAAAATCTGTCCGTTCATAAGATTATATGACTTTTTTAGTTAGTGATTCGATGGAAAACTGGATTTAGATGATAAAAAAGTGTAGTCTCAGTGGGGATATAAAAAGGAATAGAAAAAACGTAAATTTCAGTTTTCCTTTGCAGGTAATCATCGTAATAAGATACCTTATCCCAAAGAGAAAATAGAAAGCATTTTAATTGTTAATCGTGGAGAAAAAGGGGTCAATTTTTTTTTATCTCCCTGTGACAGAGTAATCAGTGAAAGACTAAGGATTTCAGAGGTTTTTCTGACAAAGCATAACAGAATCTTAGATGAGAGTAATCCATTCTTTGATACTCACCCACTCGTGTTTATACTGTTCTTAAATCATAAAAGTGAAAACCTTGTAAGTCACTGAGAATAAAAAAATTAAAAATAAATGGATACCCCTTTCCTGTTTGGGAACATAGAAGCTGAAAAGATGTATAACACGCACGCAATAATTTAGATATTAAATAATCAGAAAAGTGAAACATAATAAAATAAATAAATTGGAAAGTATGCCTTTCTTCATCACGAGCAGGCATTGTTCTGATTATGTAAACAAAGATTCCAAGTGTCGCTTCATTTAAAAATGAAGAAACATCTTCAATATACCCTGTTGCCTGCAAAATAGAGTCTTATCGTACATTATTTATTCAATATTAATGCAAGGATGCAAAGAAGCAAAGACTTTCGTGACTTTCATAAATTTATACTAGAGTAAAATGAGGGTCATTTTGTCTTTAATATATATCAAAAAGTAACCTGTTCTTAATGCACTAACATGATTAGAGACTGAAATGATCACAACCGGCATCCAGTGTTAAGAAATACAAGGATAGTAATGATATCCCAGATTCATCAAATTGAGATAAAAATATAGCAAAAACTAAAGAAATATTCATTAGTTGAGGAAGATAGAAGAGACGAAAACACGTGAGACATTTATGTCGCCAGCAACAATAAGCCACAACTTCGTTATGGAGTTCATTCCATTACCAGTTTTTGACGTTACACCCTATGTTTTATTTCACAGCTATTTGTCCGGTCATCCGCTTATAGGAGTGGTATAAAAATTTGATATAACTCATCTAACACAACTTTAAACCTCAAAGGATGGCGTCATGATCTCAAAAAATTCCATTACTAGGACGGTCTTGCACTTTTTCAATAGAGGGTGAACCATTGATACCTACGCGAGTGATCAAGATAACCCAGACGAACAGAATCACATTTTGGCTTCAAGTGAAAACTTAAGCAAAGAGTGAAAGGTTATTCCACTGAAGACGGCTAAATTATAGAAAAAAAACAGATTATTGAATTTCATGAGGCCGATAAGCATTTAAGTACCTTTAAACTGGGAAAGACAGTATATATATGAGGTATCTGCTGAAAAAATTTCGCAGTCCACCAAACGCAAAAGATACCATTACATAAAGCGACCAGTATTCACACTTCCGAGGTATGATAACTATCATATGAAAAAAATAAATCCCGGTAACATTTAATGACATTCTGAAAGCATTGAAACACGTTTTTTAAGCTGAAAGTGCTCATTCGGTCGCATAGACTTGCTTACGAAAGCATACCCACGAGACAAACTGGGAATACTGGAATAACCGCTCGTGGTATTCGGGAATAACCCCCCGCGGGTTTTCTCAAAAAGCAAAGCAATTTCATAAAAAGAAAGGCAAGCTCCAAATATTGGCCCAAAATACAATGCTTCCTCCAGGAAATGAGCCCTTGTAATCTGCATAAATGAATCAACGAACATGGTAACCCGGGTAGTTAAAAAGGTATCGATAAACTTACGATTGAAACATCATGAATATCCAAGCAGCACTTGGAGATAGGCAGGAAAAATAATTTGTGATCACGGAGGCTAAGAAATTAGATCAAACTCGAAGACTTTGTTCCGCCTTGTGAGACAAACCCGATAAACAATTTCAAAAATAAATATTTAACTGAATAGTTCAAAATAGAAAAATATAGGTGAACATTATTGCTAAATATTTGGGCTAACTGACATGCCCCACTCTCTTTCAGAAAGTGAATCCCTTGGTGGCTTTCTAGTGTTAATAAATTTTATCATCGAGACTGCTGATGCGGACACCTCCTATGGAAACCAGTATTAATTTAGCAAAGCTAATGCTATTCTCTTCCTTTTCTTTTTCCTTCTTTAGTAAAGCATCCCAACATAGCTAAATATAACATGTGTTTAGTTAGGGTTAGGTTCACAATGCATTGCAACTATTCATGCAAGATGAGAAAGTTGCAGGGATCTGAAAAGAAAACCAAATCATTTTCACGATCCTGGTGCAATGGCACGGTATTTGTCGAGCTGACATGATGTGTTCTCAAACCCAAGGATACTTATTTCGATAACTTTCTCGTAGTTTTCGTGCGTGATTAGATACAAGAACTTCATCAAGAAAACAATACATGCAACATACATGGACTTCTTCTCCTCGTCAAACAAAGCGCGGTACCCGTTACTATGGTCACTAAATTTGCCCTGAAGCCTAACACTGTGAAACAACGTTAAGGAAGGGAAGAGGATCGTTAGTTCTGAAGCTACGCGATCGATTTCACGTTTAAAAGGAAAATAAATAAGTCGAGGTGAACACGTTCCTTAATAAACAGAGAGAAGGATATACGTCCTTGAAGCAGGCGATAGTCTACTTCCGGCGAAGACCTGAAAATTTGAACACTTCAAACCGAGAACAAAAGTTCTGAGCTCATGAAAAACTATAAAACCTTCTCACCTAGTGGAACCGACCTCTCTCCTTCCAGAAGAGAGCCTGCCAGTTTCGGAAAAAAATCTACAACGGGGGGTGGCGGAAAATGATATGAAGAAAAAAAGGCCACCGACTTGAGGATCATGTATGTTTCGTCGACGTAGAACAGATGAATACGTGAAAAATGTAAAGACAAACTCCTGATTCTTAGTTTTACGTGCATACGGAGCGGAAAATTCAGAATGATAGACGCACGGAGAAAGTGATGCATCAAAAGGAAGAAAAGGCCCACGTTGATACGAAAACGCGAGAAGAAGTCTGATAGAGGACGGAGCAGAGAGCTTACCGAGGGAGAATCAGGGCCGAGGAATTCCATGAGGCCGGTCAAGTGAGCTTCAAGCCAGCCAACGGACAGCGGTAGGACATAAACGTCCGGCGACATCATCCGGAAGGGGAAAATGTCCATATACAGGGGTAATTAGGTCCATTCTTATGGGGAACGCCGCACGCCCAACAGCTTTACCGTTGCGCGGGGCACGTGATGGCGGGAAAAGTGCTCCCGCGTTCCGCACTCGATAAATGACGCGTCGCCCTCGCCAGATTCGCACGCGCATGGCGTTCTTCCACCTTTTGCCACGTGGGCGGCGGACACCCTATGGCCTCCGCGTCACACAGGCACTACCGCTGCCTCGGCCTCGATAAATGTGTATTTCCCATTTCACCCTTGTTCTGCTGCTAAATTGTCAAAAAAGAAAAGTACCGAGGAGCATGAATTTCTTACTGGGCTGGGCCCGAATAGAACCGGCGGCTGGGCCCGAATAGAACCGGCGGCTGGGCCACCGCCCAAGCGTCGCCGAGCACGACCGTGGCGTACTGTGATTAACTACGTCTAGGAAGGTAAATTCTTATAACTTGTAGAATGTTGACTGGTCAGCACGATGATTAAGGCATGCAATTGGCGGGAATTTTTTTCTGCTCCCGTTTGTCGTCATACGGGAGAAAAGACCACGTGATCGGGGCGAGGCGAGCGGCCAGCCGGGGCCCACTAGGTCGGCGCCGTCCCTCGCAACTGTCAGATCGCCCACGATTCGTCACGCACATGCGCGTTGTTGCCGCTCGACGACGCGCCACCGCCGGGGAAATCGCAACGGCTGCTCCGCCACCGCCACCTGCGTTGGCCGAAAGCGCCGCCACAGTCCCTCTCTGCGGCAGGGGACCAGCAGCGGCGGCGGCCCATGAGAGAGGAGGAGGAGGAAGTGGTGGTCCAGAGGAGTTTCAGAGGATCAACGATCGGCGTTGATCATGAGCAGAAGAGCCTCTCCGGCGGAATTGAAGCCTGTCTGAGAATGGGGGCTGTTCATCGGGGGGAAGGGTGATTCGCGAGGGGGAAGGCTGTTCGTGATTCGGCCTGATCGTTCACCAGGTCCTCCCGCAGGTTATTTCATACCTGCTTCCTTGTCTCGTCTCCTCTCTCTCTCACGCTCGCTCCGATCTCCATCTTTGTCCACTGCTGATCACGCAGGTGAAGCGACCGAGCTCGGAATTCTACAGAGGAGAGCGCGTACTTTTCTATCTCTGGTGGAGGACGAAGAAGGGAGAAGAAGACGGAAGCGCCATCCTCTTCGCCATTAACTCACGTCATGTATCGAGAGCGCCTTAAAGGCAGCTTATCTGCCCGACGGGGGAAGAGCAGCTTTTCCTGCCACTGTCTCCCCCTTCCCCTGGCACAGAGCGGGTGGTGGGGGAGGAGACGAGCAAAAAAATAAATCTGAGTAGCGCCGCAGCGTCGAAAGGGACCTTCGCGTCGTCTGATTCCGCTGCCAGGGCAAGCCCCACCCTTCAAGCTTCTGCGCGCGGAAGGAGAACAGAGTAGGAACTGGGGAGGAGGCGGCGAGGGCAATCAATTCGCCATTAAGGTCGTCATATCATCACAAAGGGGACCCTTGAGAGAACCCCCTGCGGCCGCGATATACTCCGCCATCCTTTTTGAGCCCCTACTTTCTGGAAACAGTAGTTGCAGAAGCAGGGGGGAAGCCCAGGCAGGGCGAGCGGACGAGCTAGGGATATTAAAAAGGTCGGAGACAGCTGCGGGAGCGGTCTGAGACATGCAGGGCTCGGCGATTTAGGCGTGCCACAGTGGGCGGAACGAGGTACGGCGCAGGCACAGGAGGAAGGGACGACGGGGACAATCCTGTGGGTGTGGGGAGGAGGAACCTCCGCCGAGGAAGTCGCCTGTGCGTAAGGCCCTCTCTTCTCCTGTTCTGAGCTCGTTCTTGTCGGGTGCCATTTCCCCGAAGGAGGATGAAGTTTATGAAGCTGGGATCGAAGCCGGATTTGTTCAAGTGTGAGGGGAGTACCACAAGGTGAACCATCCACCCTCCCTTCTCGACCCCCCCTCATTACTTCCTGCGTCGGCACTATGATTCCTGGTTTGACTTCCATGATCTGTTCCCTGTGATTTTAACGCGAGCTGTCAATGCTACGGAAGTTCTTCCTTGCCCCACCTTAGGGTTTATTTAGGGAGTAAAAGAGATGTGCGGATAAGAAGAAGTAAGCCCGTGATCAAGCTGTCAAGCCTCGTCGCAGAGTTGCCGGTCAGACTTCTGCAGGGTTGAAACTTATTTTACATGCGGTAAAAAGAGCAGCTGTAAACACTGTTTAAGGTGAATCTGGGAAGAACTGTCGGCTCCTTTCACCTTGCGACCTTCATGCTCTGATATCCTCTCATCTTCCCTGTGCCCCCCCCCCCGTCTCCACCGAACCCCCTTGAACCTGTGGTGACCAGGAAAGACCCACCCCGGCGATCTTCCTCACTCTAGTCATGGCCATATCCGCACCCATTTCATGTCCTAGTTCTTAAGCATACCAAGATTCGATTCTACCTGTGGAACTTCAAACTAATGCATGAATTGGGTATGCTTCATCAATGGATCTCGAGGGTTGTAAGATATGCAACCCCTGCCCACTCTAGATCAAGAACAAACCAGAGGGATTTGATAGGGTCAATTTCAGTAGCGATTATCTGATTTCTCCCCTTTTTGCACTGCTGATCTGTTTCGCGTGGAAGCGCTGACTTTTGGCTGCAATAAGAACTTTCCTGGCTACAATGCAGGTACGTCGAGTGTGAGCTGCCGCCGGATGTCATCGTGAACATTGGAGAAGCTCGATTTCATCTGCACAAGGTGGATGCCCTGTTCTACTTCTGTTTGATGTGGGATTATTCATGTACTTCCGCAAGAAGAGCTTCCTTCATCCATGGCTTCTTTTACTTGCCGCCATGTACAATCCTGCAATTGGGTTGACTTGGGTCACTTCTGTGCAGTTTCCGCTGATATCCAAGAGTCTCAGGCTTAGGAATTTGATCAGGAAGGAAAGCGAGGAAGAGGAAGGCGCTGATGAACTCTATCTGTACGACATCCCCGGAGGACCGAAAGCATTTGAGATTTGCGCAAAGTTCTGCTATGGAATGACCGTTACTCTTAATGCCCACAACGTTATTGCAGCCAGATGCGCAGCCGAATACCTTGAGATGGGTGAGGACGCCGAGAGGGGAAACATGATATTTAAGATCGAGGTCTTCCTGAGCTCCAGCATCTTCCAAAGCTGGAAGGATTCCATAATATGTCTTCAGATCACGAAGCCCTTGTTGCCCTGGACTGAGGACCTGAAGATCGTGGGGAGATGCGTTGACTCTATTGCTTCTAAGATATCTCTCGACCACCGCGTTGTCCACTGGTCGTACACCAACCACAAGAGGACTGCTGTTCCTGGCGAGATAGTTGACCATGGGACCAGATCACAGCGCAGGATAGAATATCTTGTGCCCGTGGACTGGTGGGTCGAGGACATATCTGACCTGGACGTTGACCATTACGAGATGGTGATGGTTGCTGTGAAGGACAGAGAGAAAATATCCGCAGAGGTTATCATAGAGGGTCTCAAGGCTTACGCCGAGAGGTGGCTGCCCAAGTCCATTGACGACCTGGTTTCTGAGGAGTATATCACGAGGAGCAGATCCTTGGTGGGAACTCTCATCTGGCTCATGCCATCTGGCGTCACCTCCAGCAGCTCGTGCAGTTTTCTGCTGAAATTGTTGAGGGTGGTCGTGCTGATCGGAGAGGATCAAGCGAAGGAAGAATTGTTGACCCTGATAAGCCAGCAGCTGGAGAAGGCATCTGTGAAGGATCTTCTGATTCCGGCGACGCCGCCCTGCTGCTCTGTTTATGATCTGCACCTCGTTCAAACCCTCATCACGCGGGGTGTGAGCTCAAAGGATTCAGATCATGGGTCCTTGTTCCCGATTTGGAAACTGATCGACGGCTGTCTGGTAGAGATAGCGTCTGACCCAAACCTTCCATTATCAAGTTTCGTTGACTTTGCGAGAACTGTCCCTGAGGTAGCGAGAGCTGCCCACGACGGGTTATACGCCGCCATTGACTTCTATCTCAAGGTTATTTTAATGACTTTTTAAGATTCAGGGGACGGAGCGGGTTTTCTGACGGATTTTTTTTGGTATCTCTTTCTCATATTTTCCGATTCTTGATTTACGTGAATGACGATCAGGAGCACCCGGCGTTGACGAAATCGGAGAAGAAGAAGCTCTGCGGCCTCATCGACGTGAGGAAGCTCTCGGCGGGCACCTGCGCACACGCAGCACAGAACGAGCGGCTACCGCTGCGAGTGGTCGTTCAGGTCCTCTTCTTCGAGCAGCTCAGGGCCGCCGCCGCCGCCGCCGGCGGAAGACCGGCGGCTCCGTCCTTCCTCCATGGGAGGGCTCTCTCCGGCGAGAAGCTTGAAGAAGCATGGCAGAGCCCCTCACCAGCGCCGCCACATGCCGCCGCCAGCGACCACCGCGCGTCGGAGGAGAAGGGGACCAGCAGGGGCGGCGAGAACCGATGCGACTCTCCAGCGCCGCCATCGAGGTCGAGGAGGATTTTCGACAGGTGGTGGGTCGGGAAGTTGCAGGGGGAGAAGAGCAAGAGCTCAGAGAGCTGCGGGAGTTCCCTGAGCCCCTCCTCTGCGTCTGTAATTCCAGGGAGAGTTAGAACACCCGGCCCTCCCTCGAGGCTTGGGAGGCATTCCATTTCATAGATCCGGGGGGGGGGGGGGTTGTTTCTTCCTCGAATGTACAGAAGAAACGAGGTTCAATGAATCAAATCCTCCATTATCGGGAACTCTCTGCTCTTGAAGAAGAAGAAGACGAATGTAACGTCTCATTTTTCCTCCCACTGCCCGACTAGAATATTTCTCCGGGATAAATCTCGATCTCTGACTCTGTCAGGAGGGGGGTCCTTAGTTTAATGGATGAGGAAGGAAAACGAGGGGAGGGGGGAGGGGGGAGGGGGGAGGGCGGCGCAGTGGCGCACGCTGCAGCCACTCACCGGCGGAAGAAAACAAACCGGAAGAAATCCTCGAAAGGGAAACCCTAAAGTGGACGAGATCTCCTCTCCTCTCCTCGACATGAACCCATCAGCCGGACTGAATATCGAGCTTAAAATCGTCGCCTACTTCGGAACCCGCGTGGTGGCCGCTAATGGCCGCCTACAATTATTGGGAGGAAGAGGAAGAAGATTAGGGCCTCCCTCCTTCCTCACGTGGCTCCCAATCAACTTCGAACCCGGAGAGATCGCCGCCGCCGCCGCCTCCGATACCATATGTACCTGCGGAGATTCTCTTCGAGGTGGGGCTCGAGAAACGACTCTGCACAACGAATTTCTTTGGTTCTAGGAGCTAGCTAGCTCTCTCTCTCTCTCTCCCATCAGGAGGGCCTGTAAGAGCTAGCCCTCTCTCTCCCTCTCTCTCTCTCTCTCTCTCTCTCTCTCTCTCTCTCTCTCATCAGGAGCTCCTGACGGCGGCGGTGGGTTCTTCCCTGACCGTCGATGTCACGGGGAGGTCTGCGAGGGGCGTCTCAGTAGACCCTCGGTAGCTTACTGGTTCAGACCGGAGCTCCGCCATTGCTCCTCGGCGAATCTCCTCACATTCAGACGGGGAGAGAGAGAGAGGGGAGATGAGTATCCCATCGAAGCACAGGCTTCCGTGGGGTGGGAAAAGAAGGGGGGAGGCTCTGACGGATAGGTCAACCAAGTGGGAACAAAAGAGTTCAGGGCATCTGGCGGGGAGCTGACACGCGTCGGATTGGGACTGCCAGAGAACCCAGTTTCAAAAGCCGGAGCTTGCCCACGACAGAGCACCTCTCTGTTCTGGGATGGGCTGCATGATAAAGCCAAAGCCGGAGACCATTGTCCCTCATCATTCTGCCGGCAGCAGGCCCCCCTCACCCCCCACCCCCCCCCCCCACCTTCTTCCTCCTCCCGGCAGCCGCCGACGCCGTCGAGTTCCCGTCCTCCGCCGCCGTCGTCCCATCCCACCAATCATAGGATCCCCTCCTCTCCCCATTATATCCAGTGGGCGCTGCTCTTTCCCCCTACGCCACCATCGGATAGGGCGAGCTCCAATCACCTCCTACCGATCTGCCCTCCGGCGAACCCACTTGGTCCGTCCTGTGGGAAAAAAATACAGGGTGAAACTCTTGGTGAGTGACTTACACCTCTCTTTTCAATCCTCACTGTCCTTTTCGTCTCTCTCTCTCTCTCTCTCTTCTCTCTATCTCTCTCTCTTAGACTGTCTGGCCCATCGTCTCTTGTTCGTATGCTTACTATTACTGGTATTAAAAAAGGACCTCAGGAATTCGTCGAGGGGGGCGACAGGAGGACGTGGAGAAGCTGCAGAGCTCGGGGTAGATAAGCGACGTTACTGCCGGGGAGGGGGGCCAATGAGAAAACCAGTCGCACTATAAATCTCAGGGGAACGCGCAACGGTGTTGAGGGGAGAGAGGTCAAGGAAAGGTAGGCGGAAAGGGCGGGGTAGTGAGGAGGATGGGAGAAGATAAGATCAGCGTAAGAGAGTTCGAGCCAGAGAGGGACGCCGCCGCCGTGGAGGAGATGGAGAAGCAGTGCGATGTCTCCCCCGCTGGGTCCTGCGGGGAGGATGATGACAGTGAGAAGATGCAGACGAGGAAGAAGAAAAAGAAGAAGAAGAAGAAGAAGATAAAGGCGCCGACGACGCTGTTCGTTGACCTCTTGGGCGACCCCCTCTGCAGGGTTCGCTACTTCTCCAACCGCGTCATGCTGGTACGCGTTTCGACGGACGTATGAAATGTTCTCATTCGGAAAATATTCTCGGCATTATCATCGATTCTTATGTACCAGCAATGGTCGGGATCTCGTGCAGATAGCCGAGTACGGGGAGCAGAAGCAGATTGTGGGCGTGGTGAGGGCCAGCATCAAGACTGTAACCAGAGGAAGCAAGGGCCCCGACGGCTCTCCCGCCTACGCAAGAGTCGCTTATATCCTCGGCTTGAGAGTCTCTCCCCATCACAGGTCCCCCCATCTCTCTCATTTCTCTATCTCTCTCCATATATCTGATTGACTGGTTATGTGGCTTCATACAGTTGCATGGCTTCTTCATTCACCTTCTCGCCTTTTCTCACGTAAGAGGGACCGCTAGATTTCGTCCCTCCGGCTGTAGCCATGCATAGATCCAATCATTACCTATCCGGCCCATTATTCTATGGCTCCATCGCCCTTGCATCCGGCGTTTACCATAAAGAGATAAAAGCTGAAGCTGTTCGTAAAGAACAGATCCGCCCGCATTCTTGTTTCCCAGTCCATTTATGGGCCTTCCCCACCCGCCGGCGGTCTCCCTCTTGAAGATAATGAGTTAACGCCAGGGGAAAATATAGTAAACCAAAAAGGAAATGACTGGTCGGAGGAGGGCGGCGGCGCTGAAGAACCCGCTCGCTCGTTCAAGGAGGGAGGAGAGATCGAACGCTTGTTGCGTGTGCTTGGACTGCACTGAAAGAAAGATGATGGCCGCTTCTGACTCGGGAGCGGGGGACTCGTCTGTGTTCTTGCAGGCGTATGGGCGTGGCGACTCGGCTGGTGGAAGCCGCGGAGGAGTGGTGCAGGAAGGAAGGCGGCGCTGAGTACGCGTACATGGCCACGGAGCGCTCCAACGCCGCCTCCCTCAACCTCTTCACCGTGAAGTTCTCGTACACCCCCTTCCGGTTTCCCAGTGTCCTCGTACAGCCCGTCCACGCCCACCCACTCAAGCTCTCCAAGGGCGCGGCTGTCCTCCCCCTGCCGCCGGCGGTGGCGGAGCCGCTCTACCGCCGCCTGTTTGCGGCGTCGTCGGAGTTCTTCCCCAAGGACATCTCCGCCGTCCTCGCCAACCCTCTCACGCTCGGCACCTTCATGGCTATTCCTTCCTGGGAGGCAGCGCCGCCGCCGTGGGATCCGTGGCGGACGGACGACGCCGGTGGGCTCCCGCCCAGCTTCGCCGTGATGAGCCTCTGGAACAGCAAGGAGATGTTCAGGATGCAGGTGAAGGGCGGTTCCGCCGCGGCGAGATTGGTCCTCCGGTGGTGGCGCGCCGCCGACGAGCGCCTCCCCTGGGCCGGCATCCCTTCCTTGCCGGACCTGTTCCGGCCCTTCGGGGTGTACTTTATGTACGGCCTCCACGCCGAGGGGAAGGGCGGCGGCGGCCTGATGCGCACCCTCTGCCGGCTGGCTCATAACCTGGCGCGAGAGGACCGCGGCTGCGCCGCCGTGGTGGCGGAGCTGGGGAGGGACGACCCAGTTAGAGAGGGAGTTCCACACTGGCGCAGTCTCTCTTGGGACGAGGACGTTTGGTGCATGAAGAAGCTCGTCGCTGCTTCTCCGTCCTCCGCCGAGGAGGAGGAGGAGGACTACGACAACTGGGTCAGCTCCAAGCCTTCCACCGACGTTGTGTTCGTCGATCCCCGCGACTTCTGACCCCACTCCGATCCCACCTTTCTTCTTTCTTTCTTTCTTTCTTTCTTTCCATTTGTAGTTACACCGGGGGGGAGGTGGCGGTGAGAATTTTGGGGCGGCGGCGGCCATGGGCGGCTCTCACTACCACGAGGGGTGGAGTTGGATTTTGTGTACCAGGTGGGGACGAATCAACGGTCCTCCTGGGATATCGTGATGGGTGGGTTTCCACTTCTGTTTCCGGATAGGTTTCACGTGGACGTTGGGTTCCAGCTCATGGGGGGAGGGATGGGCGTCCACTTCCCCTCGGCCCGGCCAACCGGCCGGAACCCTTAACGATCTCCATCAAAGGAACCGACTGTTTGTCTTTTCGCAGAAGACTCCCTCCCCTCCCGAATCAGCAGTTGAAGGGACAAGAGAGAACTGCTCAGGAGTGGCTCGCTCCCTTGACCCTCTCCTTCCGCCACCGGTGACGCACGTGTTCCATACATAGTCTCCCTCCGACGGATACTGGAGGTCCGGCTAACCCCCGCCAGCCTGTCTAGAGAGAGAGAGAGAGGGAGGTGAACAATGCAGGGCCCAACATTGAGGCAGCGTAGGAGGGGAGAAGAGCGGTCGGAAAGACGAAACAGCTCAGCACGACAAGGAGCTCACTTGCTACGGCCGGGGAGGAGGAATGGAGCGGGAAGCGGCGGCGACAAGCGAACGGCGCTTTTGAGAAAAAAAAGCGTCCGACGACTGCCCCCGAGTCCTTCATTCCCCCCCACCCCCCTCTTCATGCAACGTAGCCTGCGGAGTCTTTTTGACAGCGGCAGGCTCTCCCGTGAGTTCGACGACGAAAAAAAGAGATGAGAACCTCTCTCTCTCTCTCTCTCTCTCTCTCTCTCTCTTCCTGTCTCTTCCTTTAACAACGCCCGAGCTTTCTCACAGGACTGGGTGGACGGTCCGTTGGTTTGCGACTCAAAGGAGCCGAATAATAATTTGGAGTATATCGAGGAAGGGGGGATGGATCAGCCTGAGGATGGGATCGCTTCACGTGTCTAAAACGCGAGTCCAATAACGCGAGAGAAGCTCCCCAGAACCGAGTAGAGAGAGAGAGAGAGAGAGAGAGGGAGGGTTTCCATCGCCTTGACCTCGGATGGTCTACAGGAGGAGACGTCCTAGCGGCGCTTTCAGACGACGTTTTGCGTACCGAACCCACCAAAAAATGACTTTTTTTTACCTCAAAGGGCTTGGTGTGACACCCCCCCACCCCCCACGGAGGAACCACCCAGGGCCTGAGCGGACAGGCCCCGTGACACTTGTCCTACCTAAAATCCCCACTGACTTGACCCGTGCCCAACAAAGGCAAAGTCAAAGGAGACCCACCCTCGTCCTCTAGTTCACGCTGTCGGAGCTACAAGGCTCTGAGAATCTCCTGTCACGCCACCCAACAAACACCCAGTGGGCACAGCTCACGTAAAGGCTCTCCAAAAAAGGATAAGATCAAGATTGGTTTCAAATATTAGGAGAAAGAAAGTCAACGCGTTTGGGTCTTTCACAGATCATGCGCAATCTCATGTTTCTCTTTATTCAGATCCTCGGGTAAAAACTGATTTCTGTGGACTATGGGGGAAAGAACGATCCCGTGTGTATTGCGTTGACCAAGCGGGTCAGTCTCCCGGCTTTCAGACGTTGAATCCCTCGGCCCGGAGGCACATGCGATGGGCTTCGATCCACTTGGCGCAGGCGGCCTCGCCGTGCTCCACGATGCACTCATCCCGCAGCTTCTTGGTGTCCGGGCAGGCGCAGCAGATCCTCTTCTTGGGCTTCAAATCGACAGCGGCTCCTGCGGCGGCGACGCTCTGGCTGTTCTTGGTATCCGCCGGCGGCAGCTTGGGGATCGCCGCCAGCCCCTCGGAGAAGACCCCAACGTTGGCTTCCATCTGCAAGATTCAGAATCAGAAAGCTTCGCCACATTCAATCCGCAATCTGCATTATTTCTTCTTCTTCTGATGAAAACATGAAGCGAGGTCAACGGCGGATGATCTGCTTGAATGCCCTCATAAACTACCGGAGATCGTAGATGGGTCCATTTCCTGTCCTCTGATGATGAGAATCTGTTCAAAGCGAGTATATAATACATGATGGGCTGCATGGCACTTGCGGATGAGAATCTATCAAGATAAATATTCAACAATGAAGACGGATGATGGGTAAGAGATTGCTCGGTGATATGGATGCAGAAAGAGAAAAGCTGCAGGCAGTGCATCTTCCAAATATTAATAGCCCGAATGATTCGGAGATCAAAAGATATGAAAGGATGAGCGAGAGAGAGAGAGAGAGCCATGGTCTTATACAAATGCCGCAACCAGGCATTTGTATGACACCATGAATCAGATGCATATATCCATATGATGGAAATAATCCAACGGCAAGATTATCTGCCAGGCTCCCGATGCAGGAAAGAACAGTAGTTAATGTTCCCTCCGCACAACTAGCACTTACAGAAATGCCCCTACCAGCGCCAGCCTGAACTCATCTTCACTGCCCAGGCGCAGGTTCTTAAGCACCACAGGTAGCAATGTTTTCTACGAACCTGATGCCCCCACCAATTCAAAAGATCTGTTCCAGCCAGTAGATCATGGGATCGTTACTTCAGAAACTTTTGTGAAAGAGCGCCTGAGACCTGTCATGCCTAAGTAATTAAGAATTCCACCTAAGCCGAACCACCAAGGGATAGGATGTACCAGCGTAGAAAACAAAATGGCAGAGATTATATTCCTTACAGAACATAAATCTAGACTCCAACAACCATAAAATTCTCGGATAATTAGCTGGTGGGCACCCGAATACTGAAGATTATGGAAATTTCTGCTGATAGGAGCGTAGAGGAGCACATGTCTGATACAGAATGTCATGGACAATTACAAAGATTGCATCATTACAAATGAGGTAGAAAGAGTCTAGCATCACCAGCTAGGGTCAGCATTGGACTGATGCAGCCACTCATGCCAGTGCACACATTTTTCCTACAGTTCTATGAGGAATTGAGGAGGTTCTTCCAGCTCCAGATGTCAGGATCGGTTCAGAGGTCAATTCTGTATCCTAGCCAACAATCAATCATCCAACTAGTTGGGCTCAGCATGTATGTGGCACCATGCTAAACCCTATTGCGATCCTCACTTTGTTCAAGTTGAAATTCAAAGCGGCTGAATGAATCAACCCAGGCAAACCCACCTAAAACACTCTGGCTGGGCTACGGCTAAGCGATAACAACTGTAGCATGGTTCCATGCGCATGGGCCTCCATAAAAGACTTATCTTCATTATGGGGTTTGAGCCACGTTCTTCTCGCAAGTTTACATTAGAAAAAATAAGTTTTGATTTTCTCTGTCAAAAAAAGTTAGTTGTCACACATTATTCTCGATTTGACAGGCCCTTTGAAATCACCAAATGAATTCCCTCAACTAGAGAAAGTGAAAGCGAAAGGATATATAGACTGAGAGTGGAAACGCGGCCCCTGAATATATAGCATAACATTGATGTGAATGAGGCATAAAATTCTTGCTTTCTAATTATGCATGATCAATTCGAATTGACCAAGAATTTTCTCTTTCATCCGCAGCAACAAGTTGTTCATAAACATTTTGTTTAGTAATGGCTGGCTTCGGAAGTGTGGTGACGAAGGGATTACTGCACACGTCCAATGCTTTTTATCAGGAATTTCCATAAATATTATCATGACAGCCCTAGAGAAAAGTTTTTAACCAAACCGAACTTTTTTGGGGGGCAAAGCCAAATGCACAGTACTCCTAAAATAAGTATATATCTCCACCACTTATAATCCCAAAAGCGCCACCATAAACTTTTGTCCATTTCAGGGCAATGGCTTGTATTGGATTTCGATTCAATTCCTGTCACTAATGCACACTACACCAAGCATGCTTTAAAAAGAATCAAAGACCAAATTCAACCCCATTAAGATAAAGCCTAGAAGATTAAAACAATACCAATTGACGCTGACTCCACTAGAGAATATTTTGCAAAAATTCTAGAGAAGGCCAGGTGGATCGAATCTTATTTGTCTCAAATGGTTTTACCGAGTTATAGGAAAATTTTCAGAATGATTTTCCCAGACCACTGATCATTAGCAAAAGTACCTGTAAAGGAATTAATGCAGTCCCAATCTTGGTCGATTAATGCCTTTATCGTCCCGAAAATGATGAATGACTTAGTTTCTACTGAGACGAGGCATGCCATATGCTGTCAAGTTCAGCTCTGGGCTCGATTCGAAAGTCACTATCAGGAAAATTACGAAGTCATGATTTTGTCGTTAAGTATGCCAACTACAGAAATATTTCATGAAGACACGGTACCTCTGGCTCAAGACACAGCTCGCGACACAAAAAATTGTTCTCCATCAAACGAAACTCGCCACCAACAGTCTAATCATGCCACGCCCATCGAAATCCATTATATAATGCCAAATCAAGACCACTCGAAGTCGAGCATGCTACATAACCACAAAAACACTGTCTCCCTAACAACGTGTCACCCCGAGATGCCAACCCTTCCAGAGCTTACGTCCGCCGCTCGCCGCCCCAGCCGCTCCCCCCATCCATCCCTCCGTCCTCTTCCTCACTGGAGCAGAAGAGGAAAAGAAGGAGAGAACAACAGCAAGAGAAAAAACACGAGGGAGAAGATCACCTTCCGCCGCCCGACGAGATCCGGTGTCAGATAAAGCTCCCGCCGCCTCTGTAGAACGAAATGGAGAAGAGGGGTTAGCAGAGGTGTCCGGGAAGAAGGTTCGTGAGGTGGGGGACACTTTATAAGAGGCGGGTTCTTACTGCTGGGCCCGGCCCGGGCCGGTCGATGTAAGCTTTGCACGGTGCCACGTGGCATATTTTCGGACCACGTGGAGAGACAGCGTGACTCCGCCGCCACCGTGGTCACGAATACTGCTGATCGCTATGGGCCACCGTGTCCCCCAACGACCCCAACTTTAGTATTCGAAATATCCTCCAGTTTAAAATTATTTCCATGAAAATTATTATTCATTATAAATTTATTTTCGTATCCTTCTATTCCTGAAAACCCGATCGAAGTCTGAGCTCACGTGGGACCCACACCAGCGACCGGCTCAATCCAGCGCGGCCCGGCCCATTTGGGCTTCCTCGACAAATTCGCCCTTTTTTCCTTTTTTTTCCAAAGAAAAAATCACCAAAATTCGAGCGAGAACCGAAGAAGATCGAGGAAGACACGGCAAACGAGAGCAACCTTCCTCATGCAGCGTCTGCCCCGCGTCCATGGCGCCGGCCTCGCAGAAGATCCCACCTCCCTGGTACCATGGAAATACGATCCTCCACAGGTGACCAAAGATCCCGGAGTGAGGAAGAGGAAGAAGAGGGAGGACGAAGAAGGAAGGAACCTGCTCGCTCCTCGGGCCATTTCTTCAGGCGGCGGAGGTTTCTTCGAGCAGCCGGACGGTTCGAGGGAGCATGAACTCGGCGAAGACGGGGTAGTGGGAGGACGGATAGAAGCCATCGATGTTGTCGTTGACCACCTCGCAGGAGACGGGGACCAAGAACCGGCCCCGGAAGAGGATCCAGTCAACGTGGAGGTCCTGCGTCTGCCGGTCCCAGCAGAGGCAGAGAGCTCTGAAGATCAACTTCAACGATTCCATGGCTCCCTGCCGGTCTCCTGCACCGCCGTCGCCCATCGATCAGCAGATACAATCCTCCGTCGGATGTTCAGGGAGGGGGGGGGTACCTTTAAATCCATGGAACGTGCGGATGAGCGAGACGTTCTTCCTCACCCGAGCATTCGGCCAGGCGTCCCTCATGTCGCCCACCACCCCATGCTCCCTGTGGCAAGATGAAGGGGAGGAAACAGCCGCCAATTCAGCAGTAAACATGGGCAACTATCGGAATGTTGCACAGCTGCATGGCAGTCAAATCGAATGATCGATCAAATTGGCAAACCCTAAACGATGGCGGAGTTGCAGTCAAAACAGGCTGAAGCTTTTCTTCAAACGGCCGCGTGGGCACTTCCAACGAGGTTTCCGGGTATGGAGATCAGAATGAACTAGAAATTTGGGATGGTAGGAGAGGACCTTGATCTGCCCAGTAAAAAGCGCCCGGTGGTTGACTCCTTCTGGGTGTTGAACCCTCCACAGTACACAACAGGGAGATTGGGAGGCAGAGACGCAATGTGCTGCCAGGTGAGCAGAGCGCTTCGCCTGCGGGCGCGAGGGCTGAATTCATCCATGCTCGTGTTGACAACCTGGAAGTTGAACCCGGGTGGCTCCGTTCTCTTGAGTTGAAACGTGTGGGAACCGGTGTCAAAGAAGCAACACAAAGAAAAGAAAGCAGTTCCAGAGAGACGGAAGGAACTGGGGATGGTGCACAGTGAAGGATATCGCCCATGTGGCTATGCATGGAGCTGTGGATCCCCAGGACATGCTTCCAGGAACAGAAGGCGACTCTGACAGCCAAAACGTTCCACCTTCAAGAAGCTCGACCTTCATTGCAGGGAAATCTTTCAGTTTATTCACCCGTGAATCACTAACCTTTGAAGTTCTGAACTATGAATACCAGGAGCCAAACCAAGGAAACGATACCTTGTCTCTGTCGTAGAAAATGGCACAGTGTTCATCAGATGCATCTTGAGATCCTTTTCGTGAGACACCAAAGTGGTCATAACCTTCCACAGAGGAAATGTCGCTAACTCAGATAGACAAGATCAGAAGATTGAAAGGGATACGAGTTGCAGGAGCGGCAATGAATGAATTGCGAGCATGCGATCCAAAAATAGGTCACAGAAAGATGAACCAAGCGCTCCTCTCTCACGAGTGAAATGTCAGATTGACCGCATTCGACTAGGAGAAAGACGAAGAGGGAGCAGGAGACGCGGCGGACGAGAAAAATCAAGCACGCACGGCGCGTCTCGCTCAGAAAAACCTGTTTCGTCTGGGGAAAAAATCCTTGCATCAAAAGGATCCAAGAACTTTCCGGCTTTAGCGGGGAGACAGCCGAGAGAAGAGGGAGAATCAGGAGTGCTACGAGAAGCTTACTAGGTAAGCACTGCTGAAGGAACTCCAGTTGCGACTTGACACCTGCATCGTACAATCCGAAGAACAAAAACAAAGAGGAACAACCATCAGATGAAACTAAAACAAAACGAAGAAAAAAACAAGCACGCGCCTTCGCCGGATCGGTGGCCTCCTCCCTCTCCCACCAATTTCCCCAAAGTAGAGGCACTCATCACCTTGCTGGGTGCACAGGATGGTGGGGGAGTAGCTAGTGATCACACTGACGCAGATGTCCCTCCTCTTCTCCCAGCAGTTGGGGCTGTCGCCCCCTTGTTCCCCGTCGTGCAAGTTCAACGTCATCACCGTCATAGACAAGCTCATCCTCCCCCTTCCCTCCCCGCCCCAAAACCAGATCCACCGATGCGAAACCAAGCAAAGACGAAGCCAGAAGCAGCTCCGCCGGCTTCCCCGCCGCCTCAGCAGGACCCCGATCCCCCGAGATGAGACTGTCTTCGCCGGTCTCCCCACTTCCCCCAAGATGCCGAAGCAGCGGAGGAAGGGAAAACAAAAAGAGGGGAGAACACCCTCTATGGGTACCAAATCGGGTCTACGGCCCAAATCATACCATTATCGGAACCGATACGGTTGGCCACCCATCACCACGCGTCGGGTAAAATCACGCTAGGCTACACGCATCAGACGGTCAATAACTGACCACGACAATATCAGACATTTCTTGATGGACGGGGAGAAAAAAATAGCGTTTCTCACATTATTATGATAAAAACAATTATATTTCTCATGAAAGTTATTAAAAATATCAACTTTATTTTCCTCAAAATGGAAATTAAAATCAAATAGAAGCCCGGTCCAAACTAGGGTTTTCTTCCTCATATTGAAGAGCACTGCCCATGACAATGAGGGGAAAAAACGTATTTTCTCTGGTGAAAACCTGAGCGATAATTTCCCTAGAACAGCAAAAAAATGTAGGAAATAACGTCATGGCTCTACAAACTGTTTTTTCTTTTTTATCAGGAATCATGAAATAAATAATTCACTTGTCCGCAGATTTATTGATCAAGGTCCAGTGGATTCTAATGTCTCTGGCATTTTTATGGGTTGACAAATGGAGCCAACTGAAACTGCCCGAGAGAGAGAACGCGTTGACTTTAGGCAGAGTTCTTCAGAACCCACTCCACCAAGGTGGAGACCCCAAAGCCTGTGGCACTCTTCTTTTTCTCGCTCCAGACAGGGCCCGCCATGTCGATGTGCATCCATTGGACCTTCTCATCAACAAACTGCACAAAATTAAAAATAAATAAATAAATATGTGGGTTTCAGTTTCGGCACACCCAATATATATATCTAGTATGGGTATTAAATATATCTGGTTTATTCGCATCACTACGGCCATCCAAGAACAGAGAGACTAACAGTTCTCTGAAAAAAAGCAAAGAATTGGAAAGAATATTGGATGAACAGAGGACAGTCAACCAAGAACAGAAAAATACAACAGTACGTAGAAAAGATATGAATCTGGAGCCAAGGAAGCCAGGTGGGCAGTAATGGAGTTTACCTGTTTCAAGAAAAGTGCCGCAGTGATGGCGCCTCCCTGGCGACCTCCGGTGTTCAGCATGTCTGCCACACCTGATTTCATAGACTCCCAGTAGCTGTCTTCAAGTGGCAACCTCCAAAGCTTTTCTCCAGTGATCTCTGAAGCTGAGAGGACATCCTTCGCAAGATCATCACTTGGGGTGAAAAATCCTGGAATTTATGGCAAAAAAATATTAAAAATTTGGAGACCCATTATAAAATGTTCTAAAATTACTGTCGCCTTCCAAAATAAATAAATAAATAACCGAATTATCTTTTGGTACATGGGAATACCCATAATTGAGACGCTGGTAATCTAATAAATGGGAAAAGGACGCGTGATTATCAAAGATTACCCGCTATTGTTGGCCCCAGAGCGACAACACACGCACCAGTGAGTGTCGCCAGGTCAACTACCTGCGGGTAGTGAGACAGTGTCCGTTAAATAAAAATTCCGCGCTTATTGAGATATAATATAATTAGTCAAAGCCAATAAAATTGGAAAAGGACTACCAATAAGTTGGAAAAGCAGGACTAAGATTTACTTCCTCTTTCCCTTATATGGTCATTTCATTTTATATAAGCACCATTAAGCATGGACCAGTGGCGCCAACCTTAAATCAGGCTTGTCTGAGCAGGAGCTTTCAGCCCTTCTGAAAGCCTACTCAGGCTTCAGTACAAATGCTGAAGATGTCCATGATATTTCATTGAGCTCGGGATGGATATGAGCGAGAATTGCAGCTCAGGGAGAAGTGAAAGAATGCCTGGCTGAAGCCTATCAACTATTTCTGACGTTTCAAACAGGGGCATTTTTCGCTCATGGAAAGGGAACCATATCATATGAATGACCAAGAACAGGGCACCGAGGGATGCGTTTCCCGGTGAAGAGTTCAGGAACATACCTTATCATCCCACCAAAAGGCAGAAAAGCACTACTTCTACATACAACAAGGTACCTCGATGCAGATTAGGGTTCGAAAAGGAATAGTACACAGTGGAGGATGGAGACAGGATGTATGCCTCCATATTCCATTGCTTTTAAGAAAGCAGGGAAAAAGAAGTCACATCAATTGTCGGTGACTCAGAATGAGGAGATGGTTATAGAGAAAATGAGTCCGAAAGCTGGGTAGTAAAGAAGCATAATCTTCTCTAGGCTGAAATGATTAAAGAAAGATGAAATTCATATCGATTAAGGGGATAAGGGAGATTTGGTAAGTAATAGAAACTGAAGAGTAGAGAACACGGATGTGAAGGATTTTTTACTTCATAATCTGATTGCTAAAGAAACCAGTTCAAATTATGTACTGAGAATCGGCAGATTGGGATTGATGACGCAGCTGAGCATCTGGGCTTACAGAAGAGAGCAATTAGTGGAGGCAACTGCAACGACCACTCATCTCGATGTTTGCTGTCACCTGGTGGTCAGAAAACATCCGAACTGTAGTTTTTAAGTGATTGCTTCTGATGGGAACTGGGAGAATCCAGGATACATGCGTAGGATTATGAAGATAACAGCAAGCAATCATGATTTTCATAACTTCCAGAGGATGCTTGCTTTCAACGGAATCCAGAACCAATGCCAGTGTTCCTTGTTTGCCATAGATTTAAGGTAGAATTTGTATATAAGGACAGTTTTTTTAATTCCTGGGCAAGGAAAAGATCGGTGACACTGTATTCAATGCACCATCGACAATACTTTTATTACATAAACGTGATTTTACAAATTGACTGAGCTGTGTAATCTCAACATTTCGCAAATTTTCACTATCCTTAAACATATACAATAATTGTCATTCCAAAAAGACTTACCTTCTCAACGCCTTGATTACAGGCATAAACTAAGGCATCTGCTAGCGTTAGCCTTCCTTCTGCATCAGTGTTATTCACCTGCAGTATAAAATGAAACAAAAAGACAAGCATACATCTGAAGTGAGAAGCCTGTCCATGAAACAAAGGGGTGATGAGACTTACCAGGGTAAATATCTGAAATTTATGTACATGTATCAATGACAACAACACAGAGAATTCGAAATGTACAAATAAAACTGGCTCGGCTAGCTCTTCAAATTCATCGATCAAGATTGTCAAGCTCAAAGGCGAAACAAACTATATTTCATTCAACGTATAATAGTTGAACTATTTTCAGTAATCTATTAAGAGTTACGCGTACAACATCTTCGTTTTCACATAGAATCTTTCATGGCCAATAAATTTTCGCAAATATCAGTCCTTAGCTTTATTGGATAAAGATCCTAAAAAGGATGATTAAGACAACAATCAACTTTAAAGCATGCTTCCCCAGGCATACAAAGGCCTTGTCGTCATATGACAGCTTGTTGCCAATAGATGCCCAGGCTTCTCCCAAAAAGCCATACGAATTTGCAAAATACATACAGGAGAAGCATCAAATAAGACAAATTAGCATCTTGGAAGTATATCTGTGAACAAACTGACCAGCAAGTCTGATAAGAGAGTAAATATGTCATTTATTTTTAAACATAATAGATTAAAATGATATAGACGATATATCGTAAACTAAATCTATAGGCAAAATAATTTAAGGCATGACCAAACAAAAATAACAGTCGTTTGAAAATTATTTCAATATCTACCATTAAAGAATAAAAAAAGTTCATGCGAGAGAAAACTAGCCTCAATGGTCTTCCCGTTTGAAGCCGTAAGAATGTCCCCTGGCCTCATACCAGTGCCACTAATCATATTCTCACATGCTGCCACAATAAAATGAACCTGAAACAATCCCCAATCATATTTGAAATTCATCTACTGTCTCTGACCATTTTTTAGTGCTTCCAATGCAAGCTTTCACAGAGTAGAAAGAAAACGAACAAAGGAAAACTTGCCTCTACTCCAGGAGGTTTAATCAGACCAATGGCTTTTGCAGCACCCAAAGTTGCTGCGGAACCTCCCATGTCGAACTTCATAAGCTCAATTGAACAACCTGGTCCAGTCTTTATGTTGTAGCCACCACTGACAAATTACGGAAATTGAATGTTAGTATTGACCGCAAATAAGCAAAAAAGATATCCAGCAGCTGTCCCCATAAATGCAACAAAGTAACCAATTAGAGCAAAAAGATAAGGTAAAAATCACTTCGCATGAGCGTGTATCCATAAGATGGTAAATAAGCTAACGTGGAAAAAGACATCGATCCACCTGTCAAATGTCAAACCCTTCCCCACTATTGCCAACTTCGCCTTCACCTCCCCAGTAGGAGGCTTATAGCAAATATGAATGAAATGTGGGGGATTTGCAGACGCAGCAGCAACACCCAAGTAGGAGCCCATCTTCAGCTCTTTGCATTGCTCAGAATCCAATATTTTTGCTGAAAGAACGTCATTGAATTCAGCTGCAATTTTTGAAGCCTCTTCGGCTAGCACTCCTGAAACAAGAGCAGATGTCGTTACGACCTCGCAGTCTCACAGGTCATTCCTGAGAAGACAGTTCCCAAAAAGGAACCCAATGGCCAAGACTAAATTTGGTTATTATAAATGGAAACGACTTAAAAGTGTATTACAAATGAACAAATACTACGAACCAGGCGTGAGAACATTGGCCGGTGCATTAACAAGCTCCCTTCCAAAAATCACCCCAGAGCAAACATCACCAGCATACTTGATTTTCTGCGCCAAATCAGGACCAGAACCCAAGCCAATAATGTCTACAGACTTAAGTTGCGCCTTCTTTGATTCTGATTTGAATCTAGTGTCCTCATAAACACCAAGCACAGTTCCTATGGAAACCAATCATAATTAGATGTCAAGCAACGTCAACTATGAGAATAGCTATACTAATCTGATACAAACCTAGTACGATCGTGTAAGCAGTTTTCAGCTTGGACTCTGCAGAAAACTCGTCGGTGGATACAAGAAAAATGCCCGCGCTGGATGCTTTTGATGCTTTTGCCGCTGCTGCAACCCCCTCACCTAGGCTTCGGAATGCAGAAGTTGAGGATAGCGCAGAGTTCCCAAGTCCAAGTAAACCCAGACGTTTGAAACCCAAACCCTGTAATCTGAGAATAGTTGATTGCCCTGCCTTTCCAGAGAAGTCTTCCTCACTTGATGCTTCAGACAGCAACCCGTCAAGCTGTTCGTCCAGTCTTTTTAAGATAGGGTTCTCAAATTTAGAGTTTGAATCCTTTGACATGTCCTTCTCCGTCACACCAACTGCAAGTATGTCTCCTTTCCACTCTCCAACATCAATTTCTTTAGCAGAAAATGAGATCTGCAAGAGCAGTCCAAGTGAAATGACAGGACATTTGAAAACGTGAAGATGAACTGTGCACGGCGAAATGAGTCGGAACAAAGTTATGGACTAAAGTCAACGCCAAATAGTGAGTACTGTGCGCCAATAAGACTATTCCACAGGGGTTCTACGGTACATGTGATCAGTACATTGAACAGAGCTATGTTACGACGTCACAAGAAATAGACCAGCAGATTCAGGGATCGGAGAACATAGAATCTTGATCATCAACGGAGATATACTGAAGAAATCGGAAATTGGTCCACGTATATTCTATGGAAATAGAGAGATAGAGAATCTCTCTAAACCTATTTCGCATCAATAGTCTGGAGTAAAGAACGAATGTACGCAAAAACTTCTAAGACATTAGTAAACTTTACGACAGATCTAAAAAGGGCACCATACACTCCTTTGCATAAAAAATTGGCACCCCTAAGAAAACCATGGAAGAAAAGGACCGCGCGGAGAACCCAACTCTCGGCTGGAAATTTCAGCAAGCATGTGAAAAGCGACCAAAATCGACGCAAAAATAACGAGTGATCGAGTGAAAAGAGAGAAAGAAGGTGGCGGAGACCTGAGGCGGTTCGACGGCATTGGGCTGGGTGAGCCCCAGATTTGCGTGGGCGACGCCGCTGTGCGCCATCCTGACCCGACTGCCGACGTGGCGCGGCACGAACAGAGAGATCCTGTCCGCCGGTGGGGGAAGCCGAAGCAGAAGGAGGCGAGAGCAGGCGGCAGATGCCGAGAAGGAAGTGGAACTCGCGGACACGCGCCACGCGAAGATCGCAGCGGCGGATGCTACAGCAGTGGACATCTCCGTGGGGACTCGTCCGCCTATTTATCCGCCAGACTACTCACTCCGTGGGGGCTTCTGCAATGCTCCTCCCACTCTGAATCCCACCAACGAAAGGAGAGGATTTTTAAAAAATCATTTTTTTAAAATAATCCATTAAGTATTTTTGAAAAAATGAAAAATTAACCGATTTTTGTCCGCAGCCCAAAAATGAATGCAACGCAGACCGCATCTGGGCCTCAAAGAATATGCTTAACTAGTGAGAAAATATATCTCTTCATATATTTAGTATCACATAACTACATGAAAATACAATTAATCAATTAATTAGTGGAATTTATAATTTAAAATATAAAACTCAACCCCTTGTAATTAAGTGAGGGTCTCCTCTTCCCCTCTTCTACTTCTCATGAGTAGGAGTCAATGTCGCAAGTTTACTAAACATAAACATATGTGATTTAATTTTTTGTTATTTTAGGTGAAATATGTAAAATTTCATCAATCATAAATGATAGTAGGATTGTCTTGGGAAGGTAAATGGAAAGAACCCCTCCAGCACTCTATTGGGCTCCTTCAAAATGCATTCCCTCTGTGCCCATTGGTGACGGTTGACTTTCTTTAAGGCATACATGTCCTTTTTTTATAGGGCTAACTAGAGGTCACAAGTATATCAACATTCACTTCATTCTCAAGGTGAAACTCTAAAATTTGTTGCTTGATGTTCTAAATAATTTCTCACAAACATTATATTATAAGATATCATTTTATTTGACTAAGACCTTGATACCTTATGGAATTTGTTTGATGGTGATAACATCTGACAATTACACAACACAACTAAATCAATTGTCCATTCAAGCTACAACATATGAAACACAAGGGCCACAACTACGAACCAAAAACTAGTTGATGCTTACTCCAACTCTTTCCAAGGGCCAGTGTTGCTTGTCTCAGCCCTTTTATATGCCTTGTAACCAAACCTTGTCCTAAGTGAACATTTTCAATTACATCAATAATCATTAAGACAAGTAACTTCATTGTTTGTTCAAGTAAGCATTACTAATAATGAATGCACCGACAAGAATGTTATGGACTTCTCAACAAACCTAAAAACTTGTTCTTCTAAAAATTATAAGGGACTGAACCTTTTTTCTCTAGACTCAAACATGTCACAACAAAAGTTTATATTTTTCTTACAATGAGAAATACTTCTAAGCCACCATTGTTATAAGGAATTACAAATCTTGGTGGTCCATGAAGACATTCTTATAGAAGATGATGTTGAGTTTAGTTTCTTTGACAAGTCACTTGATGAAGAAGTCATCACTAATCTTGGAGTATTGTTTAATTCACTTGTTGAAGAATCACCACTGGATATCATCAAATTCCAAGAATGCATATCATAATACTTGTCAGTAGTAATACATCTCATGATTTTATCTCACATGAAATTATTTATGAATTACATATCTCAATCACTTTCACTCTATAGTATCAAGTGACTATCAAAATGGACAAAAATTTACAAAGCTTGAGAATATGTCAAAGGGTAAAACTTGACTTTTAAGCACTCATAATGAACTAAGATCTCTAACTAATGTTGATATAATTATGGGGCTAACGTGGATGAGGTCTATGAAGAAAATTGAGTTGAATTTAAAATGGTGGATGATATCCATCATGATAAGCTTTGAATGAGTCATTCTTAAGTTAGCTGCCATTAAAAAAAGTCAGCAGTCAACATCTCTATTGAAATCTTATCTAAGGTAATGAAAGAAAAGGTGAGGTCATCATTGAGTGATATCAACTTACTATTGAGACCCTGCCCAGTACCCCTCATCCATGTAGCAAGAGAACTATGGGGATACAACTGTTGCACCCTTAATAGGTGTTAAGAGGCCAAGATAGTAATGGAAGATCAGAATTGGTAACAATTTGAGGTAACCACCGGCCTAAAACTGTTGCCTCTAGATTCTTGAAGACTAGAATGACACGTAACGGCTTAACAACAACATAAGAACTGGTGGACTACTCACAAAGTAATAAGGAGCATGGTCTTTAAAATGACATAGGAAGAAGAAGGAAGGCGTCAAATATTTCTTGAGCTTCTAGAGAGAAGAGAGGAGAGTGGCTATCTCAAATCAGCCAATCGAGGGTTCCCAAGTGGTTCCCTCATTTATCTTCTCATTTTTTCTATCATTTCTCCTTTCTCACCTCGTGTCACCCCCACCATCTTAGACTTGAGGGTCATGTGAGTTTGTTGTTGTCATGTTGTCTCTGTTCGTAGAGTATGAAATAAGAGTTATATGTACTCTTTTTCTTTATTTTTTTATCTTTTAGTGGGCATCTTAGAAGGGGCACTTATCGATGTGGTACCATAGCCACACAAATCTAGATGGGACCTAAAACCAATGAATTCTTGAGAGCTTGGAGAAAGAAATGGAGACTATTAAACTCCTCATTACCACAAGACAAGTAGACAATTTGCAAGAACTGAAAGGGGAGCAGATGGCACTCAAACATTGACTAGGGGTCATCACCCAATCCTTAGAATAACTTCAACTCTGATTACATCCTCTATCATAGAGGGACGGGGAGGCAAAAACTTTCTCCGATAGGCCAACAGAATGGGTTGTGGGCAACTATAGCCAGCAACATATTGTTCTATCTAACTACCCTCTTCGGCAGGATGTGTCGGGCCATTCCACAACACTTGAAGCTAAGACACAACACTGACTCGATCTTCCAAACTTCATGGGGTTAGACCCCAAATGGTATATTTTTCTGGCCAAACTTTACTTCTCCACCTATTGAGTGCTAGCACTAAAGAAATTGATAGAAGTTGCCCTTTGTATGAAAGGACTAACACTATATTAATTCCATTGGACTAAAGAGCAACGTTCATTAAGAACTTGGGATAATCTTAAATACGAATTACTATAGTGATTCAACATAGTGTAGTCGAATGTCTTGTGTTAAAAATTACTTGTGCTGTCACAAACATGAATAATCAACGAGTACAAGAAAGATTTCAAGTTGCTCTATGGAGTGCTTAAAAATATCCATGAATGTCCTTAAAGCATCCTTTTTGAAGGGACTCCCAAAAGATATTCATGCTGAGATTTACACCCTAAACACGATCGAATTTGAAGCTACTATGGCCACTGCGTAATGCATTGAAAAAGAACTCTACACTGGTGGAGCTAAGCTCAATGTCTTGACCCTGCATGGGCCATTTGGAGGGAGCTATGAACTCAAATGCATAATGACTACAACTTAGTGTTTTCTGTAAGATGGGAGAAGGGGGAACCCAAATGGGACCCCCTAACCACAATCCTTTGGACATTGTAGAATGAAGGAAAAAACTCAACTTGACCACTACAAAGATCCAAGCTCATAGAGCCAAAGGACTTTGCTTTTACTACAACAACAAGTTCACTCCAAGTCACTAGTGTAGGAAGGACCTATTCATTCTACTTACTCCTAATTCTGATTTTTCATAAGAACCAACTAAGGATGACACACAAGTGGAAGTGGACCAAAAAGAAGCCCTAGAGGTCACTTTGAACTCATTAGTTAACAAAGGCTCTACTCAATCGCTGAAATTTGAGGAGATGTAGGTGAACAACCAATGTTCATTCTAGTAGATATTGAAGTAAACCACAACTTTGGTGTAAGATTTGAATTTATTAGTGTCTAAAACAAATGCATTCAAAGTGATTATAAGCTTGGGAGATGTAATGATAGTCACATAAGTTTACCCCACAATTTTATTTTATTTTTTAAAATAAAACCATGCATAGATGAACATAACTAATACATAGGACTAATGCTTTTTTTTGAAGTATATGAGAGAGGAGGGTGATAAGTCTTCATTACCATGAGTTAATAATTAATAAATAATATAGTTTTAGTCTTAACTCATGATAAATAGACTTATATTTATGTTGAAGTGTGAAAAGTGATTTTCAATTGATTAACGTGATTTTTTAGCTAATTATATGATTTTCTATAAATTTATATAATTTTTATAATCTTTTATTTATATAAATAAAGAAAAAGAAATAAAAATAAAAATATAGTAAAATGAGAGGAGACATGCCGGCCAGTCGAGCCCACAAGTGGGTTGAAAGCATAGTCGGGGAAGAGTTGTGAGTAGGGGCTCAAGTAGTTAGGACCAATAGAGGCACATGTGTACCACTCCTCTTCCACGTCACCAGTGGCCAATTGGTTGTGGGGCAAGGAGTGGTCGTACACGTAGGAAAAAGGGACTCATTACTTATAAATATAATATTATTACATATTCACTTGAAACTTTATCACACAAGTAATGTGAGACTAAACCACATCACACCTTCCCCCAAAAGGCTTTGATGATTTTAATACCTAAAATACCCCTTATTTATAATAGAGATATATCATGATGGTGTCACTTGATAAGGGCATTAGAATACTTATTTCAACATCTCTCATATAGGCCGATGTGGGTTTGAATCCTCCTAGAGCCAAAACTCGTATTTTTATCTAATTATCGTAACTTTCCTACATATCGTCAATGAAGGATTAAGCTATTGAAATCGCTAGATCATTGGCAAAATCTCGTCATCGTGAATTACAGAGCATTGTTACTAAAATTGTTAAACAATTCGTAATAAAAAGATTATGAATCTATTGAGTAAATCATCTCTGATTGATCGATAAATAAGTTGTCATTAGGAAAAGGAAGATCCATCAAAAAATGAGTCGTCACCTCCTGAGAGCATATTAGATGCGATGAATAGCCTCCTCTTGCTATGTAGACTTGAGGATGAAGTTCTCTGACACATGCCCCACCTCCATCTAGCTCCTCT